GACATTACCATCCCTGCCTAAAAACATCCAGCGGAGCCATTAGTTAGGAGTGCTGCAATTTCAAGGGAGCTCTTGAGCTCCGTTCCCCTCACTGATTGTTGATTTGATATTCAGAGATTGTAACTCGGTGAGTCTGAAGTACCTCGCTGGGGTACGCTGAGACTCAATCAGAGTTTATTATATTCACTTCTCCTCGGATGAAACTTTCCACAAACACAGTTTGATCAATTCAAGTATGCAACTTAATAATCTTCCTCTTACAGAAAATAATTCAACTGCCAATTTCCCATCAGCTGTGTGTTGCCTCCCCCCCCCCTACAGCCCCAGCTTGTAATAGCCATTTAACACCAAATTTAGGGGTGAAAAGTCTGATATTTGGGGTCGGTGATCAGTGTTTCACTGACTCAACCATGACACGCTGCATCCTGATGTCGACAGAGATCTTAAATTGGCTCTTACAAAGAGGATGTCAGTTTGGCTTCACACTTGGACAAACAACTCAATGGGATCAATCACCTCACTGTGCATTGGACTGAATCAATCTTAAGACATTATTCACAGAAGGAGCGAGTTGTGAGTTGTGTTCATTTAGAAATGTGATTTAGATAAAACATCAAAATGTTTAAATAAAGTTACAAGAGACTAAAAATCTAAAGCGTATGTGAAGCTTTGGCACTAATTATTCAACTTTCTGCTGCCATCAGACATATTTTTAGTTACATGAAAAGGCAAACACTGACAACTGTACACGCTGAGACATTCGTGTGCTATCATCCCCCCAAAAAAGTTGGCAGGCAGTGTGGCAGGTGAGCCTCACTGATTCCTTCTGCCACCACAGACAGTATTTTCCTGGCTGTTCTGACCTGAAGTAAAAGCAGAGTGACATTTTCACAGGTTGGCTGCAGGTGATCTGGAGTTCAAAACAAACAGCATGAAAACCTACTACAGCTCCAGCAGAAGAATGCTGTGACAGTGGCGGGCAGGCTGCAGCAGTGCTGAGTGCTAAAATGGCTGCTCATTCTCCATACAGACACAGAGCTTAGCTGGAGGAGGAGGAGGAGGAGGAGGGCTCCCACTCCCAACAATTTCCCTCAAATGTGGCTCATCCTTAGGTAGGCTTGTATGTGGAGCTAATAAAGCAAATGCCACAGAATAAATATTAAAACACACAGGTTTATGGCATTATACTCTCATAAGAGATGCACAATACTCTTCTAAAATCATCAAGGAGCAACAATTTCCTCCCTCATCTGCCTCCACATTATTATTGGGTGGGTTTCGTCACCGGTGTCACGGACTGCCACGACATGTTGCAATACCATCAGTACCGTGATAAATATTTTATTTATTTATTTATATAACATGCAGGGAAGAGGGCAACGCACAGACTCCTAGAAGCGGAGTTACATCCAGTGACCACCTTTTCCTCACTAATGTCGACTCCAGTAACACGGAGATGTGGAAGGTGGGAGCGAAAGCATGCCAATGTCTCTGTTGTTGGCTACAAGAACCAACACAAGAGGCGCTTCATCTACTCCCATCATCGAAGGAAGTGGAAGACCCAGTGGATCGACTTTATTTTTGATGGAAGTCGCCCCACAACAACTGGAAAACTCTTCAGCAATTTTACCTTGGACTGCTTTCTCAAGGAAGGACCATTACAAAGCAGAATTAGCTTGAAAAACTGAAGCTCACGGGTGAATCGGTACCGACTTTAAACTGGAAGCCATGTACGTTTTTCGCTGTTTATTTGTTTGTTTTTTTATGTTGCTTTTGAAGGTTAGCCTTCTAAGCTTGTCATTAGCACGTCCTGTGGCTAATGTGGTTAGTGTGGCGCACGCGCTGGAGCAGATAACATTGAGGGGAAAAGTTAAGAAAAGTTGCTTGAACTTTGAGTCTCATTTTGAGCCAATTAAATAACGCAGTGTAGCCGGTTGGTTGTGGGAAACTGTTTTTTCCACGTTGCTTTCTGTGCAAGCTCAGCTGTTTTTTTTTTGCTGTTACACAAAAGCTCCTTCTTTCTGATCCTTACCGGTATGCCTGTCTGTTTCTGCTGCATGTAAATGTACTTTATAGACCCGTGGTACACTGACTATTGTACTTATACAATAAACTTTAGGTTTTCTGCCAAATGCTTTGGAGATGCTTAATCCTAACCCCTCTTGTCTAACTCTGAGGATGAATCACACTCACTATTTAACCTACATTACGGGGCTACTCCTCCCAAAACACATGTAGCATATTTTTAGTCTTATTTGGAGCCAATACACATAAAAAAACAACACACAGAAATATACATTTTAGGTCATATCGCCCAGCAGAGAGGTGAATCAGTATCATAGCATGTCACCACGCTGTGAAAAGATCTGGTAGAGGATCTTCATCTCTTCTCCACATTCCAGTTGCAAGAGAAAGTGCAGCCATCAATAATATATTAGTTTCCATGCAGTGTTTGATCCGTCGTATATGCCACAAGACAAAATTAATGATTATTTAATTTAGCTTTGAAGAGCTGATAAAACACTGACGACTATTTTCACTTTCTTATTACGTTGTTTCTGTTTTGTTATTTACAGTGAGGTTGTACTCTGAGCTGAATAACTGAGGTCTGAACTCTATATCCTGGCTCTTATCTGGGGGTAGACCTTAGCCTAGAGAGGCCCGGCTACAACGCCCGTCACTCAGAACACGGCATAAGTCTGCAACGCCAATACTACACAAACAGACTGCCTACTATCAGCGAGCCTACTCGAGCAAAAACAAAAGCAGCCAAATGACACAGGCATTAAGAATTTATTAAAAAAAAAACAACAACTTGTGTGCTAGTTTGATAGCAGTGGGTTCTGGGCATTATCCAAACTTACATGATTTGAGGTAACTAAGTTATCAAACTTCACATTTGTGTCTGACTGCAGCGAATGGAAAACAAAACAAACTCAAAAGGAGCTTTATAATGTTAAAATGGGTCCTACTGAAATACCTCTCCCCTCCGTTGGACACTACACAGATATATGTTTAAGAAAACAAAGCACATTTCCAGCTTATTATCAGATACACATACATGTCCACCATTCAGCCGTCTGCTTAAACAACTTTCTTTATCACCTTACAGCATTTTTAAAGGCACACAAAGGCCATATTTCAGAGTAATGCTTGAAAAAACAAACTAATGCAGTGCTTCAGTCCTGAACAAAACACCAAGCAGGTCATAACTATTTTGTCATTCAAGGCTACTCCCTCTATACAAGTTCCCTGATTGGATGACAAAGAATAAATAAAGCCCTTAAGACTTAATCTTGTGCAAGAAAATCTCACTTTAAGTGTGAAACTTGCGTAATTTGGACATAAATCATCTTTGATCGTCTTCCAAATTGTTCAGATTTCAATGTCAGGTAAACACTCCAGTGTCAGAAATCAGTGCATCAGAGTTTAAACATGACACTGATTCCTCACATGGACGTTTTAGGGATGAGATATTTATTAATCCACGTGGTTGAAGCTGTTGACATTTGAGGATGACACATTCATTCATTCATTCACCTGCTCGAGGCTGTTCACAATCAATATGTCTACACTCTAAAGTGTTTAAATGTTACACAGAAGAAGAGTCCCACCACTATACTATCTCTCTTGGCTCTGATTGGTTGTTTTTATTCGGGGCCAGGCGGACATTAGGAGCACTAGGAAGAGGCCCGAGAAACCTGATTTTTCACAGATTATCCGTCTCACAGACGTCTGTCGGGATATAGCGAAGGTTTCACCTAATAAGACACAAATAAAAAAATATGTGTATAAAAACTACCTACTGCAGCTTAAAAGGTGAATATTCTCCATTTTCATTAAGGCTAACATCTTTTGGTTTAACATTATACATAAGTTAGGATCAATAATAATAAACAAACACAATCTTTCCTGCAGTCTACCAAGTACGATGGAGTATTAGGGCCATACTAAGAGGAAAAATAAATAAATAAATAAATAAATACAATTTTGTATCAAAGTCGTAATATTACCAGAATGAGGTCGTACTATTACGAGAATAATGTACAAAAGAAGCAATTTCTTCCAAGTCTGTGTGGTTCTTTCTTCGAAATAGACTCGTTTTCACAATTGTTCCAAAGTCCTGATACTGATAATAATTTGATGCTGATGGTCCAAAAGATTAAGTATTTCCTTATTTGTTAAACTGATACCAAAGTATAACTTCACAAGATGCTCAACATTCCTCATTTTAACGCAGCGGGAAGAGTTCTCATAAAATCACGACTTTATTCTCGTAATGTTACGACTTTATTCTGGTAGACCTAATATTATGACTTTATTCTCGCAATATTATGACTTTATTCTCGCAATATTTCGACTTTATTCTCATAATATTATGACTTTATTCTCGTATAACGACTTTATTCTGGAAGATCTAATATTACGACTTTATTCTCATAATATTATGACTTTATTCTCGTATTGTTCCGACTTTTTTCTCGTAATTTCCAAAAACATAAAATAAAATGTTTTCTCTTAGTCTGGCCCTAATATTAATCCGTTGTAACCAAGAGGTCAAGCTGTCCTTTAAAAGTTTTTCGCGTTCAGGACCTAAAGTTTCAGGTCAAACTCCCCCAAAAACGCTTTGCAGCGACACCCTGAGGCCGGTTCTGGATGGTGGGTTGGGCTGGGGGGCTGGGGGGGGTTCTGCCTTACATAAGAACAGCTTCGTGTGTTTCTTTGCAGGTGGAGGAATAAAATGTCCCCACCGCACGTTGTGTTGTGTGTATTCATTTTTTAAGAGAAAGTAAATGTCGTCGTCGTTGTGTGAATCGTAGCAAAAAACGTTATGTGGAAAAATCAACAATGAGTCAGGCGTGTTTGGAGGCCTGCAGCATATTGCTCCTCTGCAGCGAGAGAGAGAGAGAGAGAGAGAGAGAGAGAGAGAAATACAAAATCCTGGATGACATGTTGTCATGCATTCAGTGTGTGTGTGTGTGTATGTGTGTGTCTCTTACCTGTTTTTGATTTTGTCCGTTTTATCACTGGGTAAATAAAAGCTCCTGTGCTGTAGATATATAGATCCCCAACAGCAAACTGCTGCTTTAGATTGTGCGTTAGAAAAAAAAAAAAAAAAACAACAACAAAATAAAAAAAAAAAAAGAAAAACAGGGCGACAATGTCTGACTTTGTTGTATTTTAATATGTGTGTGTGTGTGTGTGTGTGTGTGTTACTTTAGATTGATAATGCTGCGGTCAGCTGTGGCGATCATGTTTATAAACCCTCCCTCCCCCTTTTAGCCTTTAAAGTAGGGTTAGCTCGGTAAACCGGGCAGAAAGTTGTCCGGTAGCTGGCTCTCTAACAAATGTACCGTCAGCTTATGTTGACAAACAAGCCTCCGGAGTTTAAAACCACCCTCGACCTGAAGGCGAGCTAACGCCAGGCTCTTTTTTTTTCCCCAAAAAAGCACTGTTAGCTGTAGCTAGCTAACCCCAAGCTTTGCATAAAACACCCCCCCACCCCACCCCCACCCCCCCTTGGAAAAAAAAAACCCTTTTGTTTTCTTAAAATCCGTTCCCGCTTGAGTCCGACTTGTGTCCCATCGGCAGCTGCAAGTCGTCGGTCACTCCGAGGATCACTTGCGGGCGGGTTTCTGTGTTTCAATGACGGCGCAGTCGCGTTTGCAAACCCGAGTTATCGCTTTGGTCTCTGCTCTCCGCCATTTCCAATCTCAACACAAACAAACAGGGCTGATCGTGCGCACGCAGCGCACAGGCGCGTTCACGAGGAAAGGGGGGGGGGGGGGGGGCAGCGGGCAGGAGCCTGACGGGGAGCGAGCTGACTGCCTGTGGGGGCTGTTAATGAGATGGGATTAATGGGATGTTTGGAGAGCGAAGGGGTGCAGTAACTTTCATTTAGAGGCCCGGGAATGTAAAGTTAAAGCTGCAGTAGCTCTTTATCTAAAAGTCCTGTAGGATCTTTTCCTTTGGAATATTCTTTATTATTCCCATATATTTCTATTATTCCTGTAATTGGTTCTTTTCTAGTGGTGCCAATAAAATCCCAAAGCATTCTTGTATTCATTTCTATACATCCTATAAAAGGATTTCTAATTGGAAAACCATTTGGTTCTCAGAGGATTTTCTTATTCCTGTTGGGAATTTGTTTTTCTCACTGCTGGTGCCGATAAAATAGTTTAGGATTTCCATAAATGTCTATAGGGGAAAAAAGGTTCTTATGTAATTTTTATTCCTGTTGGGAATGTTTTACTATTGATATTGATATCACTGGTGTAGGATAATGTTTGGAAATCAGTTTTCCTTTTTGTATTAGTGCTAATAAAATCCCAAAGGATTCTTATACATTTCTATAAATTCTATAGGATTTCTATTGGAAAACAATATGGTTATCATAAGATTTTCATATTCCTATTGGAAATCTGTTTTTCTCACTACTGGTGCCTATTTTTCGCCTTTAAGAGAAAAAAATGTTTGGTTCTTGTAGGATTTTCACACTCTAATTGGAATTTTCTAAATGTTTTTAATTGGATCTTAAACATCTTAGCCATTTCCAATCTCTCAACACAAACAAACAGCTATCTAAAAGTCCTGTAGGATCTTTTCCTTTGGAATATTCTTTATTATTCCCATACATTTCTATTATTCCTGTAATTGGTTGGTTCTTTTCTAGTGGTGCTAATAAAATCCCAAAGCATTCTTGTACATTTCTATACATCCTATAAGAGGATTTCTAATTGGAAAACCATTTGGTTCTCAGAGGATTTTCTTATTCCTGTTGGGAATTTGTTTTTCTCACTGCTGGTGCCGATAAAATAGTTTAGGATTTCCATAAATGTCTATAGGGGAAAAAAGGTTCTTATATAATTTGTATTCCTGTTGGGAATGTTTTACTATTGATATTGATATCACTGGTGTAGGATAATGTTTGGAAATCAGTTTTCCTTTTTGTATTAGTGCTAATAAAATCCCAAAGGATTCTTATACATTTCTATAAATTCTATAGGATTTCTATTGGAAAACAATATGGTTATCATAAGATTTTCATATTCCTATTGGAAATCTGTTTTTCTCACTACTGGTGCCTATTTTTCGCCTTTAAGAGAAAAAAATGTTTGGTTCTTGTAGGACTTTCACACTCTAATTGGAATTTTCTAAATGTTTTTAATTGGATCTTAAACATCTTAGCCATTTCCAGTCTCTCAACACAAACAAACAGGGCTGCTCGTGCACACACAGCGCCCAGGTGGGTTCATGGTGAGGGCAGTGGGCAGGAGCCTCCACTGTAATGATGCCTCTCTGCCTATAGAGCTATTAATGAGATATTATTAATGATAGTGCACTAACTTTTCCTCAGAGGGCCAAAACGTAAACTTAAAGCTGCAGTAGCTCTTTATCTAAAAGTCCTATAGGATCTTTTCCTTTAGAATATTCTTTATCATTCCCATACATTTCTATTATTCCTGTAATTGTTTGGTTCTTTTCTATTGGTGCCAATAAAATCCCAAAGGATTCTTATACATTTCTATAAATCCTATAAAAGGATTTCTAATTGGAAAACCATTTGGTTCTCAGAAGATTTTCTTATTCCTGTTGGAAATCTGTTTTTCTCTCTATTGGTGCCGATAAAATAGTTTAGGATTTCCATAAATGTCTAAAAATCCTTTAGGATTTTTATGGGAGGAAAAAAGGTTCTTATATAATTTATAATAATAATAAAAGTCCTGTTGGGAATCAGTTTTTCTCACTATTGATGATGATAAAATCATTTAGGATTCCCATAAATGTCATAGTTCATATTCCTATTGGAAATTTGTTTTTGTTTTTTTTGCTATTGGTGCCGGTTCTGGTGTAGGATTTCTATAGGAAAAATGTTTGATTCTTATAGGATTTTCATATTCCTACTGGGAATAGGAAGGTTCCTCTGGCTCGGTCTGGTGCTCCTAATGGACTTCGCAAGAATCCAACGGGACCCGGACGAAAACAGCCAATCAGAGCCGAGAAAGATATAAAGAGGCTTTGGGCTGGAAGCAGTATTTGACGCCCTGGGAATGAGACTCAACAATCAACTATCTTTCTTGCCATTAGGAGCACTAAGATGACCAAGGACCATGCACAAAAAGATTAATCTCACCACGAGGAGAGATGATTTACGTCAGATTTAGCTATCAGCTCATTTCCATCTGCAGGTACGAACAATAACCAGACACTAAAACCATTCATGTACATGCAACACCAAAACAACAAAAGCCTGTGTATGTTTTGAGCTCAGCTGGGAGCATGTTGTCCAATGTTTGATGGCTGTAAATGTTAAATGGAGGGAGAAGTGGCTTTATAAATGATCCTGAATCCCACTTCTGATTCAAAGAGATTGCATCCGGACAATAATGTTACAGTGATGGTGATTTAATGTCTTCCCATCAATCGTTTAAGGCTTGTTTGAAGTTGCTGTCAGCACAGTCTCTCTGGCCTGAGACCAGCATATACAGTACTACTATTGTATTGTTAAGATGCAAAGTTTGCTCAATAGACCCTTTTCATGGCTGACATTTTGACTCGTCAAAGCACATAAAGTACGGGCAGCATTAATAACATTAATGACGCAGGCAGGGCCGACTCTGCAAAGGGGCACATGACTGTGGTAGATGTAAATCCACTGTAAAGCTAAGAATGCTGTTACGTAACCTTTACACCTGAGGGATTTCTAGTGTTTCTTTTAGTCAGATTATTAGACGATTAGACGATTATCTTTCTTCAAATGTTCTCCTAACTCATACTACTGTATGGTTTCACTTTCACTATGCAGGACTACATTGCCACTCGCCAGTGGTTTGTTGCCCCCCCCCTTATAAGCCTCTGACACTGCATGTAGGTGAGCCAGTTCCAGGGTTCTGGTATTGTGTGCTGCCATGAAAAGGGTCTATTGACTGACTTCCAGCTTAGTGATAATTATGGATCCTATATATTTCAAAAATATTCTTTACCCCACATAAAATAAAACAGCTTAAACAGCAATTTATGTTAGAATTAAAACATGTTTATACCTTTCACTGGAAACATCTGGCAGGCCGGAGTGAACCTCGTCTCCACTTTGGTTACAGAGAGTGAGAGGAAAAGGGTGATGATTCATAATGGTGCAGTGTCTTTCTGTGACCGTCATTAAGTAGTTAGGATCTTTATTGTCTACAGTGTTGTAACTTGACATCACCACATGGCTTTAAAAAGACATTTATTGAAGGCAGACATCCAGAACAACAAACAACATGAATCAAGTTGGTGCTCACACTAGAGGGTCATGTCCTCTGAAGTTGGTTTTCTGGGAATTTGTGGGTTTCAGCAGCTTGAGAGCAGTTTACAGTTTCAATCTTACAATACAGAGTTTTATTCCTGCCAAAGTTTAGGGGCATTTAAAAGATAATTTAGATCTTAATGTTGGGAAATAATAAAAAAAAATCTTCTAATTTCCCAGAAAATTCCCTGTAAAGTCTTTATAATTGTTGTATTAAGTTTACAAACTGCTGAAGCTGATTCCACCTTCTCAAATGATCCCAAATGTGCTGTTTTTGTTGTGGTTGCTTTCTGTTTTATATCCTAGTTAATTGAATATCTCTGAGTTTCTGGACCCACAACACCTTGGAAAATTGTGATTGCTATTTTTTTTTCTTGTTCTGACATTTTGTGGAATTAATGAATAATCAATCAATCAATTAATCATAAGAAAGGGAAGAGGTGCTGATGCATGAAGGAGCCATATAGGTGCTATACATTCAAATGTCTTATTGTGTTTGGCATCAACAACTTGCAAAATGAAGCATTTTATGAATTTATTTTTAATTGTGTTATTAGAGTTGAGACAGACATGGTCTCTTTTCCATTTGGCGCTGGGTACAGTTGGCATACAGTTTATACATACTGCTGCAGCTGGAAACAAGGTCAGCATCAACAACTTTCACATTACACACAGTCATTTGAACCACTGTCCAGCTTTAACGCTGGTATGAAACAATGTTATGCTCGGACTTTGCTCTATCAGAGTGTAAAGATTGTAACCAGCACATTTCCTGCTGTTTACCTTCCCTGTTACCGTCACAGAGTTGTGCAGCTGTTTTGAAGAATCACAAACGTTATATAAATTCTGTAGATCTCCCTCAGGTGTATGAGTTTTTGCTGTTTAGGTATCCTCAATGTAGTATTGTTCTCCAGGGCTGCTCACAGTGTACATTTCACTTTGTATTGTGATGAAATTACACGTGAGAACGAGAGTAGCGTGTGTATGGGCGTGTCTTCAGGAGATATTCTGGGAAATACTCTGAGAAGTAATTACATTGTGTGTAATATGTTAATTGGTCACTTACATTCCTTTAGAGCTCGTAGTCTTACTTTAAAGTTCAAGGTTATGACTCATGAAAGCTGGCAGTTGGATCTATGGGAAATTCTGACCGTTGGAGCTGATTTATTAGGATTTTGTTTTGGTTTTATTGTTTTATTTTTCAAATGTAATAATTGTTGGTAAGCGCCTCGTTAAAGAATGCCTGAAATGGGTGGCAGAAGTTGAAGATGAGTCACTCATGGCGGTCTAATTTAAAAAATAAAATAACCTCCCACATTTCCTATGTGAACTATAGAAGACTTATTCACAATATGCAAATGAGCTACAGTTAATTTGCTGCCACTTTACTCTCAGTTGGCTTATTTCCCAGATGTTTTTTATAGGTTACAGTTGAGATACTTGTCTCTCATGGAAACTGCAAGCCTGCAATCAAGCCTTAATATCACCAATCATTTAAAAATCAGCCCAGAAACACTTTGTGGAAGAAGTGAAATTAGCTGTTAAGACAAATTACTTTCTATAAACTCACTCACACATCGTACAGCGGAGACTGAAAGGGCAGTGATAGTGTGAATAAATTCTGCTGCTGTTTCCATAAAACTGCACCCAGCCATGAAATGCATGCATAAAAACATGAACCACATTTGTTATTTATGTAGTTATTTATATGAAATATGAAGCTTGGGCAGAATGGAGCTACAGAGGAGCAACAGGTCCTCTTCAAAGCATCTGCAGCCACTCTGGAAGGTTGCTACTGTATAGGGCTCAAACTATTAGTTAATTAACATAAATTAATCAACTATTTCAGTTATTTATTCATTGTTTAAGTATTGTTTCAAGTAAAAATTCACAATAGTTAATTTTGTCTCTATTTTATTGAAAAAATAGAAATGTCTGCAGAATAACTGATAATGAAAATCAATGACAGTTGCAGCCTTGAGTCTGTGTAAGATTATCAGTTACAGTTCCTTTGTCAATAACCAATAAGAGGCTGGACTGATCAATAGCCTTCTGCCCACACATTTGGTGTCATTAAGGTACTGAGGTATTAATACACATGATATATTGATTTTGGCTCTCAATTACACACACTTTACATCCCATTAGGGGTTCAATGATTCATTGCAGAGGTATCAATAACAAGTCCTGTATGTTCCCAGTATATTTACAGGGTATACAGAGTAAGTAGTAAACACATCTACATTAAGTTAAAACTGTATTATATCTCTTTAAATACAGTGTTTCATGGACATAAGAGACCATTTTGCAGTGAATTTTAAGGAGCACTTTATATATTTTGTAACCTTTTAGAGAGGGAAATACAGGCGACAGCAGTTCCACGAACTGCTGGGTAATATGGAGAGAGCAGATGAGCAGTTCTGGGAACACATCAGAGAGACAAACACGGCTGTATTTAATAAAAATGGTGGAGGACACAATTATCTGCCAGGTCTTAGTGGGCGAGTGGTGGCTGTCTTTCATTTTAATCATTAAGATGCAGACACTTTTTGCATTTTCTACGCTGATCTATACCGAATGTTTTTCCTCTTTCCCACAAACACAGACAGACCATAACAACATGGGAAGTCACTTAGGTAACGGTCCCATTAACTGTTTACGACCACAGTGCCAGCTCAGAGCGGAGCCCAGAGAAAGAGGGCATCACCCCCAGGTTCGGAAATGCAGTAAATGTGCCCTGTTGGATGCCCCTTTAGTAGATAGTGCCCTCTAGTGTGTCCTTATCGTGGAGACAACATGATAAAGTGCTCTCTAGTGTCTCCTTATCGTGGAGACAACATGATAAAGTGCTCTCTAGTGTCTCCTTATAGTGGAGACAACATGATAAAGTGCTCTCTAGTGTCTCCTTATCGTGGAGACAACATGATAAAGTGCTCTCTAGTGTCTCCTTATAGTGGAGACAACATGATAAAGTGCCCTCTAGTGTGTCCTTATCGTGGAGACAACATGATAAAGTGCTCTCTAGTGTCTCCTTATAGTGGAGACAACATGATAAAGTGTCTCTAGTGTCTCCTTATAGTGGAGACAACATGATAAAGTGCTCTCTAGTGTCTCCTTATCGTGGAGACAACATGATAAAGTTCTCTCTAGTGTCTCCTTATAGTGGAGACAACATGATAAAGTGCTCTCTAGTGTCTCCTTATAGTGGAGACAACATGATAAAGTGCTCTCTAGTGTCTCCTTATCGTGGAGACAACATGATAAAGTTCTCTCTAGTGTCTCCTTATAGTGGAGACAACATGATAAAGTGCTCTCTAGTGTCTCCTTATCGTGGAGACAACATGATAAAGTGCTCTCTAGTGTCTCCTTATAGTGGAGAAAACACGATAAAGTGCCCTCTAGTGTCTCCTTATAGTGGAGACAACATGATAAAGTGCTCTCTAGTGTCTCCTTATCGTGGAGAAAACACGATAAAGTGCCCTCTAGTGTGTCCTTATAGTGGAGAAAACACAATAAAGTGCTCTCTAGTGTGTCCTTATAGTGGAGAAAACATGATAAAGTGCCCTCTAGTGTGTCCTTATAGTGGAGACAACATGATAAAGTGCTCTCTAGTGTGTCTCCTTATCGTGGAGAAAACACGATAAAGTGCCCTCTAGTGTGTCCTTATAGTGGAGAAAACACAATAAAGTGCTCTCTAGTGTGTCCTTATAGTGGAGAAAACACGATAAAGTGCCCTCTAGTGTGTCCTTATAGTGGAGACAACATGATAAAGTGCTCTCTAGTGTGTCCTTATAGTGGAGACAACATGATAAAGTGCTCTCTAGTGTCTCCTTATAGTGGAGAAAACATGATAAAGTGCCCTCTAGTGTCTCCTTATAGTGGAGACAACATGATAAAGTGCTCTCTAGTGTCTCCTTATAGTGGAGAAAACATGATAAAGTGCCCTCTAGTGTCTCCTTATAGTGGAGAAAACATGATAAAGTGCTCTCTAGTGTCTCCTTATAGTGGAGACAACATGATAAAGTGCCCTCTTGTGTGTCCTTATAGTGGAGAAAACATGATAAAGTGCCCTCTAGTGTGTCCTTATAGTGGAGACAACATGATAAAGTGCTCTCTAGTGTCTCCTTATAGTGGAGAAAACACAATAAAGTGCCCTCTAGTGTCTCCTTATAGTGGAGAAAACATGATAAAGTGCCCTCTAGTGTCTCCTTATAGTGGAGAAAACATGATAAAGTGCCCTCTAGTGTCTCCTTATAGTGGAGAAAACATGATAAAGTGCTCTCTAGTGTCTCCTTATAGTGGAGACAACATGATAAAGTGCCCTCTTGTGTCTCCTTATAGTGGAGACAACATGATAAAGTGCTCTCTAGTGTCTCCTTATAGTGGAGACAACATGATAAAGTGCTCTCTAGTGTCTCCTTATAGTGGAGACAACATGATAAAGTGCCCTCTTGTGTGTCCTTATAGTGGAGAAAACATGATAAAGTGCCCTCTAGTGTGTCCTTATAGTGGAGACAACATGATAAAGTGCTCTCTAGTGTCTCCTTATAGTGGAGAAAACATGATAAAGTGCCCTCTAGGGTTCCTTTCCAGTGAAGAAAACACGATAAACTTTGAGCCAAAAAAGACAAAATCATTGAACCCGTTTCACAGCATTTGTTGACGGCTGTTTCTCCAGCTGAAAAATAATTAATTACCGGAGAGAGAAATTTTTTTTTGCTCAGTCTGTCCTGAAATGCCAACATGTGAACGACATTACCACAAACACAATCGTTTCCAAACACAAACATTTAATCAGGTTACATGCAAATAAAGGCTCCACACAGTATTACGTCTGTTCTCCTGTTGCACAACAAGCACGTATCCATTTAAAACCATGATTGTAAACTACTTTAACCTTTAACATCAAAGTTTTTAATTATTTCTTGTGCGTATTTATTCTAATTGCACACTTGCCATCACTGATAATGAAGGCGTGTCTTTAATGGTTCCTCCAGATTTAAATAAAGGTTGAATGGATGAATGTTTATATACAGATTCTTGAACTTGAGACGCCATTTCACAGGTTGAACTAGTACTGACTGTATTTTAGAGTTCATGAGCCAAACGTAGGCTCACCTGAGTAGTAAAGACAATCACAGTCAAAATCCACACATATTATTAATTTAATACTTCAAATTTGGGACTTCTGTGTCATTTTCCAACCAAGAAATTAAACATGAATAATGAAAGACAGTTTTTTTTAAAGGCCTTTTAAAGTAGTTTTTTGTGGCTAGAATTCAAACCATTATAAACTTTATTTAACTTTTTACAACTCACCTGATTGGTTGTGTTAACATGCTGTGGCTTAATGACTCTCACTTCTTAATTAGCAACAATTTCATTCAGAAGATAACATATATCCCATCTTTAATCTTAGAAATCAGCACTGACAGATACTGCGGCCCCCCAACAGGAAGAGCCCAACTGTCAGATGTCCTTTTACAGATGAAATTACAGTATTCGTCTGTAGTTTATAGACGGACAGCGTCTTTCAGGGAGTCATTTGAAGAGTTTGAACTTGCGCAGCAGCGGCTGGACAGTCTCTTTTAGACACGGCTTCAGAGCCAGGCAGGTGGGGATGTTCTCTGGTTGCTCGATCCAGAGTTTGTGGGCCACACCAGCCTGCGTCAGAGTCTCTGACAGGCCGGAGAGGGCGGCCTCGTCTGGAGCCTGGAGGGAAACACACAACACACACACACACACACACTTACTGTACAGTCAGATTATTAAAGACTGGATACCCAATAATTCATTTCATTACAGTGCTGCATGTGAGAAAATAAATATTGTTTCTAAAGCTTTTATTTAATTTGAAAAACATCTGAATGAAACACAAAATCTACAAATGATCAAATTGCATCATATTAATCTATTAAGCTTAAGCATTATCATTTAATAAGATAATAATATAAACCCTTCAAGAATCCCTTCTCAATATTATTGTGTATTGTTAGACTACTGGAGTAAATCTTGTATGGACAAATACCGCCATACTCAATTCGAAACTCCGCCATTTAAGAATTGATTTGCTTATTAGCACAAAATTATACTACCTTGAAAACCATTTAAGACCTTAATATATTCGTGAGCAGTCACTTGGTAATTCGGCAGGCACATTAACACAAACAGAGCTTCTGTTCATAGTAAAATGGAGGACTTTTCAAATCGCTTCACATTCATTTATCGCACGCGTTTTTGAAAGCTAAGCTACCTAAACACTGAAGGAAGGTTAAAAAAAAAGACACTTTATAAACATTTTATGTCGCCGAACAACATATACAACAATATTATCTTCTAATGTGTTATTACATAAACTGTAATAACCTATATATGCAATGGTTTGACAAGCCGAGCAGCACTAAAGTGGCCAATATTTGAATGGAGTTTGGCGTGACGTGTCGCGCTTACCCCAAGCACCACCTTGTGCATGGAGTCCAGCTCCGCCAGGTACCGCTGTGTGTCCGGGTCTCCGTAGTGAAGGTGGATGGCGGCGGTAGCAGCGTGACAGGCCTGAGTTATAACGGCTCCCAGAGGCCAGGACAGCTTGTGAACCAGGTCCGACCGGACTACGACATACTGGACCAACCGGCCAGGAGACCCGGCTCCCGTGGCAGCCATAGTTATCCCGCACAGGAACGGGTTTGTTTATGTTCCGGTTCAGACTGTATTATAAACCGCTACCGCCCCCTGCTGGTTGCTTTCTAACACTGCACAGTTATCCTAGAGGAATAATCTGAACTCTTAAAAGATTTAAAATATTAATTATGTGTAGTTTCTTTTTTAGGAAACAAAACAATATTTTACTTTTTACTTCTTTACTTGACATCTTTAGTTACTTTATAAGGAAGAACTTTTAAAACAACAAAAGTAGGCTACATAAAAACAGATTACTCAATCAATTGATTTGTGAAATATACGTATATGTAATATATATTCAAAAATAAAATAAATGCAATGTTTGATTTATTTCTCATGTAAAACACCAAATATTTAATGGTTTCAGCTTCTCGGATGTGACATTATGCATCTTTTTTTCATCTTAAATTACAGTAAACTGAAGAATTTTGAGGTTTGAACTGTTGGTCGGACAAAACGAGACATCTGGAGGTGTCACTTTGAGCTTTGTTTAATTTAGGTAATAATACAGAATGAATGGACTGATCAAGAAAACAATCCAATATAAAAATAATCATTAATTAATTTAAAGAAATGTATTCCTTTAAAGGTCAACACAATGAGGTTTAACAGTTCACTGTGTTGTTTCTGTCTGTCTCTTTACCTTTTTCTTCTATGCTCCTCCTCAGGCTTTTTGGCTAATATAATATAATATAATATAATAAACCCTATCACTGCAGTCAGCCTGGGATTCACTTTTAAAGGATATATGAAAGTCTTTTAATAACAAAACTATGGAGCGAGTATTAAGGCTTCAGTTATTCGTAAGTTAAGTTGAAACTCACTGGATTTGACCAGAAAGTGAAGCTTCAACCCCGTTAGACACGTCTTACTTAATGTCAGGCTCCTCTCAGTGTTTCATCAGATTTATTAATTGTGTAAAATACAATAACAAATAACTACGTATACTTACTCAAGAACTGTACTGAAGTAGCTTACAAATTCAATACTTTGCATTTCCATTTTATTCAACTTTCATCTTTTACTCTACCTAATATTAGAAGACAAATATGGTACATTTTCCTCCACTACTTTGCACTCTCTTCACAGTCAGTGATAGAATAGTTAAAAAAAGAATTCAAACTGGCCACAAGTTGAACATTTTTAACTCGTTCTGTATCAAATGTTGCTGTTAAAACTCAGTTTTGTTGCATCTCAGTATGTTTTTCATTAATTAACTTCCGACATTGAATGCAGCTCTACAAGGCTGATTAAAAACAGCCAAATTGAACACACTAATTTAGATTAATTTTTTAAGACAATGTGTTGTTATGATCTGTTATGGCCACAGTGTTAGGGTAGAAAACAATGTATACATTTCTAATGTCACCTTAAGACACTTGCATGGAGACTTTAAAGCGGCGGTGGCAGAAATACGTGCTGATTTAATCACAAACAATCACAAACAATCAACATTAGCTTTGAAAAGCTCCCAATTACTTTATTGTGTCACATTAGCGAACCATTGAAGAGAAATATCTAAATGTAGCTTTAGAAATTAATAGTTTTATTTACAAATCTTCAGACACTTTTCTAAGTAAGTGTCTTTTAATGTACTATTTTTTTTAATTAATGTGTTAAATTTGACACCAAATTTGGGTGGCCAGGTGTTTTATTGCCCCCCTCTCAATCCGCCCCTGCCGTAACATATTTCAAGTTTAAATATCTTCATTTGGTGTTGTTTCCAAGCAAATACTGATACATGGGATTGTTTCCAATTACATCAGCATGTCCCCCCCCCGCCACCCTCTGGCCACCCCACAAACATTCCTCCAGATCCGCCCCTGATTAAATTAAACGCAAAGCACCGATTTATTCAAATAAATGACAGAAAAAAAAAAAAAACACAAATAAATGTCACAATAATTATTTATTAAGCATACACATTATAATATAAATATAAAATATGCTATTTTTGTTTTTAAAATTGGTGAGACATCATTATATCTGTGTTGAGACAGACAACCATACAAACAGGTTTTAATATTCTACCAAAATCTGCTGAAACTTCTATGCAGCTGTAACAAACTTGCCATGATGGTGCCGTCCTAAAATCAGAGCCTGTATTCATGGAGCATATCAGAGTAAGTGTAACTGATCTAGGATCAGGTCCATGTAAATGTCACCATAAATGAGGAGGCAGACTGGTCTTAGATCATCGCTCCTAGTCTAAGATGCTGTATGCAGTGGGCCCAGGTACAGAGAGAGCACAATAACCTACCGAATATTTCTTTATATATATATTTCTTACTGTAGTCCAACGATGGCAATTAGCAGCATGATAAATGCACCACTCATGTTTTTTTCTAGTTCCGAGAAACTGCAAAATAAGTCAGGAAGTAAAGAAATAAAAAAAGAAAACATCCAACATACTGATGATCATTGTCACTGTACTAAGAGAGAGAACTCGTCCACAGTGAAACAATCAGAGATAATCAAACAATCAAATCAGATCAGAGTGATGACATTTGACGGTCGGGATCGGGTTCAATCCGCTTTCACCTCAGTCAACACCAGGAAGTGGATATTCATTACATCTTTTACCAGAGTGAGAATGAATGACATCGAGTTCTGCCCGTATGTGTTTCGCTGACAGATCCGTGACAACTGATTCTCTAAAACCGTGAATTGCAGGTTTCAGTTGACTGAATCTGAAGTGAATTGATCCCCGAACCTATCAATGACAATAAAGAACAAATAGTTTTAACATTTTTCTCTTTTTTTCCTGTGTTTTTTTTTTTTTTTTTTTAAACTTAGTTTTTTAGTTTTTTTCCCCAAGTTTGGTTGACATGCTGAATCCTTGTGTTTTTGCAGGTTTGTGGTCAATCAAAAGGAAAAGTATTGAGCGAACCACTCCTGGCGCTGGGCGTCCGGGGAGTCGATGGCGGAGTCCTTGGTTTCAGGAGGGCTTCGGGGGCGGGAGCGCAAAATCACCACAACAAAAATCAAATCAAAGACAAGAAGAAAAAAGACAAGTCAGGGAAGAAGCAGGAGGTTGATTCAGTATAGTGTTTAAAGCCCCCCTCTGTGTGTTTCATTAAACTTACTACAGTTACTAAAAGATCTCTTTCTGTGCTAAAAGTGGATTTTTTCCCCACTGAACTGAACTTTTCGCTGTATTTCACAAAAACAAATTTACGTTTGTGTCTGATGTATTTTGCCTGGCACAGTACAGCAGTGCAACCACCAGATATAATACTAATGTGCAGGTTTAAAGGTCTGCGTGAAAGGTTGTAATCCACATGTTTGTGCACAAGGGGGCAGTAAAGCCAGTGTCAGGATCTGGAGTAGAGCCGAGACACAAATTCCCTACTGCATATCAACTGTATATTGCACTTATACTGATTGTTATAATATAGGGTTTCTGCAGCTTTTTATGCAGTTAACAGTATACTTTAGCAAGAAATTAAGTAATCAATCAAACCACAACTTTGGAAACTTTATAAAGAGAAAGCAGAATATTAAAGTGGTGATCTGGTCAGAAACATGAAAATACCAAAACCAACAATACATTGATCGCACTAACTAGAACTAGAACTGTGTGTTTGTAAAGTCTGATGTATCTTCTTCCTCTGTGTGCCATAGAGCTCCGTTATTGTCTGTTCAAACACATCAGTGAGCCATGCTGTTGTCCCACATACACCATCCTGCTGCTGCTGTAGATACTCACTAGAGCAACCAAATGTGTGTTAATCCGCTGCTGGAAATAGTCCCCAAAAAATGCACTAAACCTTTGTTTGAGTAACATTTACTAAAAACTAGAGAAGCCCGGATGTTTACGGAAAATTATAGGGAACAATATATTTATGAGCTTTGAATTAGAAACCGATGTATTTGACGAGAGTACTGATGGATACATTGTTGAGTTTGATCTTTTCACAGGATTTGTTAAGAAAAATCTCCAGACTTTTTCTTTTTTTTGCAGCTATGTCGCCCAAAAATAAAGAGGCTTTTTTTTATAGGTATACTTAATTTTGTAAATTTTTCCACTGCGAAAACATATTCAAAACCTGCCTAACTCTCACCTGAAGGTTCACTTACTTGCTTTTAACCTCACAGTCTTTTTCAGCATAGGGAGTTAAGCTGAGGAAGACCTTGAGATGTGGACTGATTTACTGTCACTTTCATTTGCTAGAATTAGCATGTAAGTATGGAAACTGGACACAGCTTTGCAGTTATACTCCAGAAACGTTGTCGGTGTTCCCTTTGGATGCGTGTACAGTATCATCTCACAGTTGTGTCTTCCATATATTAGGATGTCATGTGTCTATAACAGATACAGTGTCTGACTGCACAACCTCAACCCTCATGAACTACTGACAGTATTTGCTTTTACAGGAAAATGTCAGTCACTGTTGGTATCTGTAGATGAAGCTGTACTTCTTGACTGAGGCCCTCGGGGGGGAAATGTGTTCCTCAAAGTTTGAATTAATTAGGTTGAGTGTTTGCATCTATCCAAACAAACACCTATTGGAGCTATGTCTGCTTCCTTAATTGGCTACGTCTTAAATAAACAGTCCCATAACCTCCTGGGTAATGTTGAAATTTTTTTGGGGAGGTTGTTTTTTTGGTTGTTTTCTATGCTTGAAGAGGTCAATGACTTCCCAAGGCGGCTTCCCTTATGTTTGTTTATACGGTACATGGTCACAATGCAGACTCAAAGGATTCTGGTTTAAAGGTCCAGTGTGAAACATTTACGAGGCTCTAATGGCAGAAATTAAATATAATATTCATAGGTATGTTTTCATTAGTTTATAATCACCGGAAAATAGGAATCATTCAATCATTGTGTGTATTTTGTTACCTTAGAATGAGCTGTTTTTATCTACAGAGGGAGCCGGTCCTCTTCTTTGGAGTCCACCATGTTTCTACAGTAGCCCAAAATGGACAAACCAGACTCTTATAGTTATAGTCTTATAGTTTCTCCTTCACATTCCCAGGTGGTCAAATACCTACACAGGTGGCATTCAGTTGGTTGCAATCTGCAACTTCACCACTAGATGCCACTAAATCCTCCACACTGGTCCTTTAAGTCCATAAAGTATCTTATATAAAGTAATTTTATTTCCATACATCGTTTCCATATTAAACAAACACTATAGTGAACCAGCAGCTTTGTATTCACTATAAATTTGCAATAATTACCATTCATGAGCATTTGTGACAATAAGATGAAAACCGTATTGATCCTTGTGGGGAAGTTGGGTTGCAAAAGTGTTCCTATCTGTTCAATCAGTGGTTATATTCTGTGGATTTCAACATTATGTGTGCTTCTGATAATAAAATACTTAGTGGTAAATATATTAAGGACCAGCCTGAACGGTTCAGCGACCTCTAGTGGTGAAGTTGCAGATTACAACCACTTGAATACAGCGCAGCCTTCCTTTATATTTTCTGGTTCTATGATGGCGGCCTCTAGTTTTGACAGAATATTTTTCTCTCTGTCCATCTACGAGTGGAGATCTTATGCTGATACTGACAGGCTACAACGCTAATGTCTTCTCTATTAGCAGCTATCAAATATCAACAAAGACCCTCTTAGCTGCCGTGCAAGCGAGACGCCGTCGGCTCTCGACGATTTTTGGAAACTTGACTTGCCTTTGAAAAACAACTTGCTCCCAAACTTGTAGCAAAGAGTTGGAGGTTTGCCTACATCCTCTAACGCCAGCCAACTAGACTCTCTGTTTCCAGGATCACTGAAATTCTTGCTTGCCCTTTAGCGCATAAACTTTGTCCTTTGTACATGCCGCCATTTTCTCACGAGTCAGCACTGAGCATGTGCGACTCTCAACAGAGATGAGGAGGAAGCGAGATGCTTCACTCTTTAGCTACTTCCATCATCTGCTCAGGAAAACAAACAATGTGTTTCATTCTTTTTTAAAAAGTTGTAAGATTTACGAGCGTGATGTGGTGTTTTACTTGCTCCAGGCAACCCGGCAATCCTTCTTGTTGAGCCCTGACAGCCAATCAAGTCTCGGATGAAGCAGTGAAGTTCTATCATAGCTGGAGCAGACGGTCACACTGAGTCAGACTGCAGCTTTATACACAACAACTCTGAGCAACAACCCACATTAGCTTAAGTCTCCTTATCAAACGTACAAACATGAACACGTCTTGTCCTGCACCTCCGCTTGCAGCCAGACAAACATTCACCCGGGAAAACACTGCACTGCTAACATCCATTTGCACACTAGATAGATAATTATCTGCTCAGCTGCAGCACATGAAGCAGCATCAGAACGTACCAGAAAATGTCACTGCAGTCCAGTTCTATGCTGCTGTGGTCCTTCCTCTTCAGCACCACTAACAACACTGTCTGCCCGTCACACGCAGACTAAAGCACACGTTTTTCCTGCTGCTTTTCCTCTCCCTTTTCTATTGATTATTTTTGACTTAAGAAGGGAAGACTAAATGGTATTACAGTTGGACTTTAAAGCTGCAACAAGTTCTCATTTCTAGACTTTAAAGATAATTCAACTGGCTTTCTATCACTTAAAATAGTGTACAGTACTCTAGTGCAAAACAAACCATATTCAGGTGACACTGATAATAGCACAGATGACCAAGACGATACTGTACAGGAAGGTCAGTGCAAAGCTGCAACTCCACATTTATTTTTGATCTGATTCTCTGAACAGTTCAGGTGTATTCATTTAATTTTACCTTTATTTAACCAGATAAGTCAACCACCTGGCCACGAGGCAGCGAGAGGAAGTCCATACAAGCAATTAAAACACAAACAAATGTTTAAAACTGTGTGCTTTTAAATAATGGAAATGTCTTACAATAGTATTCAGCCTGTAGTGTGCAGGGACCATGTTTGTATAAACCACACTGACCACAATATCAGGTCTTGAATTTTGATTCACTGTCTGTAGCATGACCTTTCCTTCCTTCCCCCTTACATTATTTTACATTATTCTGTTTAAATCTGACATTTTTATCAGCCTATTTACTCTGTTCCCCTAAACATCTAGCTATAATCATGTTCTCATTAGTCCTAATAGACCAAGTGTCAGCTACCTGGACTTCTGCACATTATTCCCATGTTCTTCATCATTGCAAGAACAAACACACACACACACAGTAATGGGAGGTAATATGAGGATAGATTCTTTAGATATACTGCTGGAGTTTTGCTTTATATATCTGTATAGTTGGTTTGCAAGTTGGGAAAAAATACATTTAAGTTGGGAGACTGACAGACTTTTATAATTACTAATTTAACTCTGCTCACTGTTGTTTGGCTCCCGATTTAATATTCAATAACAACAGTAATATTCATGTTCTGATCCACTTAGATGAGGTTTGTAGTCTTATAAAACTCTCTTCAAGATATGAATACTTAAAGGACCCAACGGTTTAACGGGGTCAGATTAACAGAGAGTTACGGCCGGGGCAGAGGGATCTACAAATGTTTGTCAAGAACAAAGAGCGTGCAGGGGGAGGAGGGACGAATCGTTTAATGGAGTCTGAAAACATTTCCAAGCAGATCTATAATATCTGACCTCATACTGTCATTGCTTGGCTCTGCTGTGTGTGTGTGTGTGTGTGTGTGTGTGTGTGTGTGTGTGTGTGTGTGTTGGGTCCCATAATAACAAAGCAGCCACCACATCTCATTCTTCACGTAAACAGCAGCAAAACATGCAAAAAATAACCACAACATGCTCTCACGTACACACCCGCACATGCTACATATCCAAATATTAATGCCCTTAAAAAAACACATTTCTTGGCATGCGATACACAAACTGCATGTATTCATGTGAGAAGCATGTTACATAATTTATCATCATATCACTTCACACCACAGCGACCAATCACAGCCATTAGCAAGAAACCAGAGAAGCATTTATTGGACCATTGAGTTGAAGAGTAAATAAGACACCGCCACACACAGAGGGGACAAGTCCATGATAGCAAAAGACAATATCTACTTCATTATTAGTTCAGATAGCAAAATAGTTTATTTACTTTGTGCAAAAATAGTCCCATTTCGAGTTGTGCTGCGTGTGCCACATGCTGGAATTCAGATGAAGATGAGGATGAAGAATCACAAAATGACACAATGCACAACAAAGAGCCACAACAGATATTAACAGCAAGTTGAATAACTTCCTGAACAGAAAAGGGAAACCTGTCCGCATGCACACTGTTAACATGTTCAGACTGACGGACACGTGGAAACAAACAAAACTAAAAAAACAAACAAAAAAAGAAACATGCCCCTTTTGCATTCCAAGGCCATTCTTTAAAGCTTCAGTCGCATGTGGGACTCTTGTGTTGATTATAATGTTCATTTCTAAATAATCATCCCTTTTTTTAAAACCCCTGTGATGCTGTCCGATGTCTCTGAGTTCAGTCACGTCCTTTAATGTCAAATGAGGGTCAGTCATTGTGTGACACAAACCTCAGGGCTCAACAGTCTCTTTTAAGTGCGTCCAGTATGGCTTAGCAACTGTAAATAGAAACACGTAGGTGGAGTATTACTCCATATATAAAGAGCTTGGACGCCGGTTTCTTTAGTAACTCCTTTCCTTTAAAGAAAAAATTAAATAGTTTGTTTATCTGCTCAACTGTAAGCTGCAGACGTTAGCAGGTCCGGATAACTAGCTTTATAATAACCCAGCCTTCCTTCTACTATATCAGACTTTATGTTAACATTGGCTGCTCTGTCCTGGAGATTTGGGAAGTTGTTACCTGAGATAGCAACCGGTTTGTTTGGTTAATCCTCACCCTAAAGCTTTTTTCTCTTCTCAGTTTGAAAATACAAACAATAAGGCATAAATATAAGTTCTGTTATAAATAAATAATGTTGGAATGAAGAAACAGTCTGATCGTTCCTCATCATAGTTATAATAGTAGGAGTAACCATTTCTACACTGTAATACAAGAACAACGAGTTCTTTGTGTCTTCTACGTGGATCATAAGCTGGTGAGGATGCTGACATTTGACTCGGACATACAGCTGTAGCCTCTCTGTCCTTTAGCAAGCTATCATGCATGTAGCTGTTAAGTGCGTAATTAAGATCATTTTACAGGTTTTGTTTTAAAAGCTGGAAACATTTAAGCTGCTTTTGTCTACCGCCGGCTGAAATCAATCAGAAATGACAAAGAATAACAAAGAAGACGTTAATCTTCCGTTGCTTTCATTGTAAACCAGGTGTGGTTTCATGCTACTTATGGTTTATGAAAAAGGCCAGACTTGGCAGGAAGGGATGAAAATGTAAAACAGTAAGTTATCATCCCACTGAGAGGTTCTCGTTTAAAGCCAGAAACAACAGAGAGTTCTCGTGGTTTTTTTTTTTTTTTTTGGTTGTTATTTTAAGGCGTTTGTGAGAGCCTAAAATACAGCTTATACATTCAAGGTTTGTCTCAGGCTGTGAGACAAATCAGTAACAGTGCTTTAACCTGTGTAACCAGCAGGTCTTTCCAATTAACCTGAAGTCTGTGATTGGATGGCTGATGCGTGGATTGACCAGCTGCTGCCCGTCGGGGGCTAAAAAGGTCTCACCTCATGAATTTCTTGGGTTCGGTGGGAGGGGTCGGCGGGGGAAGAGGTTTGTTGGAGTTGAGTTCAAGGTGGTGGAGGGGGGAGTTGGGGATGGGCTCTAGGCGGCTGGGCTGGGCTGGGGGAGGAGGTGGGGGCTGTGGGGGCTGCCCACTTCCTGAACCTGCCATGCCCACGCCCACACCCGCTGCCTCCATAGCCCTGACATTAGAAGAGCTGCTGAATCTGCTGGCTGCTGTTTTCTCATTCTTTCTCTTTTGCTACACAGAAGAAAAAAAAAGAAAAGGAGGGGCATTGGGATCAAAAAAGGAGCAAAAGGGAAGTTTGAAACAAAATAATAATAAAAGATAAGAAGAAATGGAGGGAAAAAAGGGGAAAATGGAGTACAGGGAGAGCCCTAGAGGTCCATCCAGTGAGAGACAGCAACAGAGCAGCGTGCTAACTTGATCATATTTAAATGTCGATCGAAAGAAGAGTGAATGGATCAATCTGAAAGACTGGCATCAATCAGTCTTAAAGCATCAGTCGCTCTGAGCACAATGGAAGTTCAGATGAGCAGAGATGTGTCAAAGCAGCAAACATCTCACACTAACAAATAAATGGCTTGGAAAGCAAAGGAGAGCTGGAGAAAAAAAGGTCAGGAAGAACAGTCGAATTTGGGAGGAAGAATCAATCGCATATTGAGACGAAACACACACACACAGAGGATACATAGAAACTAGCACACGGTGAACACACACGACACATATACACATATGTGGAAAAAATACACGTAACAAGCGAGAACAAAAATACTGGAAGTTATAGAACTCGAGAGATGGTGTCAACAGGTATATATTGATCATGCACTGGGGACCAGTCAACTCAGGCATACTTTGCAAAATGAAATATCATGTTTTCCAGGAGCACTGGGAGCTTTTAAAGGCCCTGAAAACATCTCTTCTCAAAAAGGCTTCTTGTTATGAGCAATGGGATCCTTCATGACCACACAATTTTCTGCGACCAGTTACAACAGTTTTGTTTGTTTTTTGTGCTATTTTCACTGGTATAAAGCGGGCGGAGGTCAGTTGGACAAACGTCACGTCCTTCCACGCACCAATCAGGATTTAGGAACGTTTGAATTAAAATCTGACAACGAGTTGTGGGCTTGTTTTTCCAATGTCAAACTTTAGAGCATTTTTAAATGTGTTAAAGAAGTTTAAGAAGTTTAACTTTGATTCTTTAATGTTTATACATACGGATTTATAATGTTTACTTGCTTTTTTCAGAGGAAGTTTTCAGGGCCTTTAAAGCATTTCAAACTACAAATAAATGCAATGTCATTTTATAACTCAACTGACTTATTAAAAAGAAGCCCTAGAATCAATGAGTTTTGAGATTAAATGCCGTTCTATAGTCATGGACAGTGTTCATTTTTTTATACTGCATTTCCTTTTCATGAAAGTTGAAGGCTATTTCACTTTTAACAATCATTGTTAGTGCTATACTGTGTGCATTGAGTTTTAGATACTTTTTTGAACTGTGACACCTTGTTTTAACTGCTGTATAGAAATGAGACCGTGGTAGGTAACAACTGTTAGCCTCTATTTCATTCTAGCTGCACTCTTATTTAACAAATGAAAATGTAATTTATTATAATTGTTTTGTGTCCTGTCCATTTTCACTGTCCTTGGTGACTTCATTTTCACTAAGAAGAATTAACTTGTTAAAAGGGTTTTTTCCATTGTCCCCTTTTACCATCTACCAGAACTTTTATCTGGAACACCATAATCCTGTCTTTTGCTGTAAAACATCCTCCCTTTGTGTTGTACATATTTGTGTTGTGTTCAACCTTGAAACTCTCTGGCAGAGGCTGACAGTGCACTCTAAGCGGTCTCATTCGTTTACAGCGATTACAGTAAACTCTGAAAATTACTGTGGTCATTTTTTATGGTCGTTACAATGAACCTCAGTGCTGATTCTTCTGGTCGATCAGCACTGATGCATATGAAATGAGATGGAGTGGATATCATCTTTGCTATGTAGTAAAATAAAGCGACAGGCTTTTTTCAGTGCCCCTGTGTGTGGCGTGTTACAGGATATCAGGGCCTACCTTAATGAGCGGGTTGATGACTCCTACGTTAGGACTGGCGTTGAACACTTTGTTGAAGTTGGTCTCTCTGTTGACAAGTTCCAGCTGGTAGAACTTCTTATCGTCCTGGAGGAGAAAACCATGTTAGCTGACAGCCAGAAAGGCTGTGGAAGACTCGAGGGACCGAGAAAAGACTGAAAATCACACATTTAATGAGTTCTGTCTGCAGAAGAGGCACACACATTTGACGCTGCAGTTTCACGCCTTCATAAAAACTGTTTCAAAACATACATTCTAAATGTCCTCAACTCGAAATTCTTCTTCCTATCTGGGTTTGAGCACTCTAGTGTCAACTGGATCAACTCAAAATGACTGCAGAATGGCAGTGGCACTACACTGTGACAAATTGTAAGCTGATTTATGAAGTCACCTTCATGTGATTAGTGGAACCGCAGTGGCCTTGTGTTATTGTTAACTGTGTCCCAGACAAACCCAGTTAAAATTGCAGCGTTTATGAGGTAAAGTACATTGGATCTCAAACTGTCTGAGAGATGAGAAAGTGAGGTCGGACACGAGAATGTAAAATGGATTAAACAGTCTTCAAATAAAGCTTCAAATAAGATATAAACTTGAACGTCTGTTGACCATTTTACTAAACCAATTGCATACAGAAGCCCTGAAAGCCAACAACAAGTTGTTTAGAAGTAATTGCATTTTAATCATCCTTCATCTCTGTTTAATTAGCTATTTAGAAATTGCTTGGTCATTAAACGTTTTGTCCTTGAGTGGTTCTGATCCTGTCTCTCAGGGAGGCTGATGGTTTAGGAATTACCCTCATCCAATGTGGTATGCCTCAAGGCTGTATCTTGGGTTCCGTCTTATGCTCATTAGTATGTTTTCTTCAGGACAGTTCACTTAAGATTGATAAAACCTTTGGACGCCACCCATCAATGAAGGTCACTAAACTGAATAACTCAATGACAATGGATACTAGAAAATTAGAACACATTTAAAATTGTTTAATTTGGTAAATTCCATGTGGTCATACTGTGATGACAAGACTCCAGGAAGTTACTCCACCTGGTCGTTTTAGAAGTGCTTACTTTGATACTTGGTGGTATCGATGTTCTCATCTGACTCTCGTCAAATGATAACTCTAAATCATGCTTTTTATAATATGAGACAGATTCTAAAATAATGCCATGCATATATTTTATCACTTGCACTAAAGACTGCTGTAATTCCCTTTATTATAAAGGAACAGTTTCTTCTAAAAAAACATTTGGTTTGCATTCAAATGTGTTTGTTGTATATATCCAATATGTCAAAAACAGACAAGTAATATTTTCCTTTCCACACATACCCCTGTATATAGTGCACATTACCTCATTAGCAGTTACCTACCACCAGTTTCTTGACTAGCGATTCTCTCTCAGACACCATGTCCTTCAGCTCAGCAATAATCTGCAGATCCTCATGACGACTTTCCCTGTTCCTGAACTTCTCCTCTGTTCCTTCCAGCCTGTAAGATGAGAGACAAAAAATATAAAAATACATAAATATTCTGCACGAGAGATCCACTAAGCACCACTTCTTCTTACGAATGCAAATACAATTGTTAAATAATGAAAATGTAAGACACTGAAAACTCAAAACCAGGGTGCAATTCCATCAAAATGAAATATGTAACATGATATATCAATTACATATAAAAAAAAGAGCAGGAGTAAGAGAACTTGTTAGATCTTGCACTTTTTAGTGTGTGTGTACTAGAACCTTTTATGAGAAAGGAGAATTATACTACAGGGAGTGAAAATATGAGTGATTCATGGGCTTTCTGTTTTCATTAGCTTTTGATCAATAAAACAGTAATTGTCCCCGGTCCCTTCCTTTCTCTGCCCTCTTCTCTTCTCATCACAAAAACAATTAAGTGGTCGGGCGTTCGAATCAAAAGCATGGCTGCGTAGTTCCTCCGGAAGACTTTTTTTTTGTTTTGTTCTGTGAGTTATGAGAACTTTCAAAAACGTTATAATGGATTTTGGTTATTTTCCGACTGGCCCTCTGAGAAATCACCGCTTGTGTAAAAACCTGTGACTCATTTAAAATTCGGTGACATTTTCCCTAATGTGGCACATGCTAAAGATCTCCGAGGAGAGTGGGCATTAGCTGGTGGAAATATTCTTCAAGCCAAAGACGACCAATCATAAGTGACACTGCTGCCTGGAAAATTACTCATTTTTTAGAATTGTAATAAAATGAAAGAAAAAGCCTTTGAAAGCCTCCATTTGGCAACGGTAGCACATAGTTGAGAGAACTAATGCACTTTGGAAAGGTTTTTCAGTTTCAGAAATGTTACCAACACACACGATGATGATGTAAGTCATTAGTTGCCCACTACTTAATAATTGTGTCGTATAATTTGATACAGATATGCACTGAAATTGTTCCTTAGAGTGTGTACAGAGCACTCAGTTTGGGGTATTTACTGAAAGGTTCAAGCATTCTTTCAAAATACTGCAATTTTTAGTTTGGGTGGAGGACGCTCACCTTTCTGTTTAAAGAAATACAACATGACACCCACTGAGATCAGAAAATATAAGGTTAAATTAAACAAGAACAAACAAAAAGTACTTCTGAAGCTCAGGGAGTTTCAGAAAAACACAAAATATTGGAAAATGAGGCTGGTAGAGATGAGGCCTTCTCAGTAAACGTCACCGGTTGTTTTTGATCAAACTAGGTTTCTCTGCATGTTTAGCTCTGAGCCTATTTCTGTTTTTTACCAATACCTTATGTGACAGTGAGCTAAACAGCCTTTCACTTCCCACACAACCACAGTACAAACCACTGAGGGGTATCTTTGTGACATTCACGCCACAGTGTGAAATCACACTTTCTTAAAGGCCGAGCACCAGAGCAGCTTGTCTTCCCGATAAACTGCGCTCTCTCCAAGGAATGTCCTTCGCTACAGGAGCAGCGACTGAAGCACTGCTCAGTGATACTGATACACACTGATCTGCACTTTCATCAGATATACTGTCTGCTGCTGTGCTGGTCCTCCTGTGCACTTCTGATAGCCGATTCATCGTGTCCCTCCTGTTTGTCCAACATTTTCTGCATCAGAATCTCTTTTGCTGCTCTAGCTGTGTTCTGTGTTTGTTAGGAACCGAAGTCAAGGGAACACATTAACTTAAAGTATGCTTGCTAAGCTTTATGTACAATAATGTGTTTGTTTGTTTTTTTGGCCACATTAGGGCAGCAAAAAACAGAGCTGTCCATGTAGACATCCAGCAGATAAAGTGCAACATTAGCAATGCATATTGAGGTTTGATATTCTAATAAATCACAATGGCCCTTTAAAGCTGCATTAATCAGTTTTTTGGCTTCTGAAATGAGCAAAGCAGAGCTCCACAACGAGCTAAAGATCACACATCATGGCCTATTTACACCTCAAGCAGACACTTAAGCATTAGCATTCATGTTTACTAGGTAGTTGCTAACATTGTATATCTGGTATTTGGTGCTCGGCAGAGAGTGTGCAGACGTTTTATTGCAGCTTTTCTTTCTAAAATGAGTTGGAAACAAGGTTGAAAAAACACTACAAAGAGCTGAAAGATGCTAAAATGCTCTTGAGAACCTGAGCAGAACTGCAGAGTTGGGTTATAACTCTACATTGTTTCTCCAGACCAGAAAATGAAGTTCCAGGAAAAACAATGTGAGGCTACCACTTCCAGAGAGACCATTTGTTCAGTAAACTCACTTGTTCCCACTGAGGCTGGCGGGTAACTCATATCAGATCCAAAAATTCAGAGGGTTTTTTTTTCTGCTTGAGAAGAACTGGTTATTCCAACGTATGTATGTATTTATGTATTAGCACTAGCTGGTTGAACTGTGGCCCTCTGGGCAGGAGCACACGCAGGCCAAATGTTTAGTGTCCCAACTATTTTACGCCCAACTTGCCGCAGCATCAGCAACCCTTCACTGAGCAGGAAGACCCTCAGTGTCACCCAGCTGGAGCGTCAGTGACACGTGAAAGACAAAGCAGTCCGGTGTCATTCATTGTGTTTTGGGGGTTTCTTCTAAGATCACATGAACAGAATATTTCCAGTGATTGGACAAGCCATCAAACCGATTTTCCCGCAGGAGGGTGAATCCACATCTACCCACTGCATGGTTGAGCTGATAAGAGATATCGGACAGGCACTACTGCTCTAAATGTCACCAGTAAAGCTGCAGCAAGGTGCTGATGTGGTTTTTCAGGAACTCCTTCATTATGGGTTTTCAAGGTGATGGAATTTAATATAACCCAAAACTGACAATGACTGATGGTCAAGAGGAGGTGTTGGGTGAGTGCTCCTGTTATCGTCACTACCTTCTGGTCGTGTTTTTGTCATTTTGTCTCATTGCAGCTGCTGCAGTTATTGGCAGCATTAGCAAACTCACCGGACTACGTGTTTAATAAATGATTCATTCCTTTTACCGCCAAATCGATGACCTCAATGCACAAAAATCATAACTGTAAAGGTGCATTCAGTGGCTGGTGTTGCCACATTATTTCCATGGGTGGCAGAAGGGCACATCTCTGTCGTCGCTACATCTGATCCTACTAACAATCTACAAGTTGTAGCTTAGCAATAAAAGCTGTATGATACAATGAATATAGCAAGTTTAGGTAACTCATTTGATAATCATTGTCTATGGAAAATCAAACTCTGGAGCTGATGTTGCTCCTTTGTTGACTGATATTATCACCACTGATAAAGAGGTGTATAAATCAGGAAACTAGGAAAATTTACTTCTGGAAACAATGGAGCAAGCAGCGGGAACCGCTCACTGTCTGAAAGTAACTTCATTCTAATTCAGGCATCATCCTACAAAACAAGAAACACTGATTACACAAACCCAACCATGACTTAAAGTAACGACAAGCAAACATGAAATATGTACAAAGATTTAAACACACACAAAATATATTGAATTGTAACCCCTGTATCATAACACGTATCGTATCACCAGATTGTTGCCGATACACAACCCTAATCGTGACGTCAGCGAATCAAATCAAAGCAACTTCCTACACAATGTCTGTCTATGTTTTTGCTGTCAGAAACATCGGTTATTAGAGATGTGGCGACGCTGGATCCCCAAGATCCTGTCTAAAATATGAAGCTCAGAACCATGACGCAGTTTTATAGCCGGTAAGAAATATTTTTGGCTGGCAGATGAGCCAAAAGGTTAATTTTGGACCCTGCACACATTCCCTTTTCCCGTTTTATTAATTTGCTGTCTTATAAGTGCAATAATGAGCTGTACGAATATAATAAATAATCGACAATAATGGACGAGGAACTGTCCCCTGTCAGGTTATTAGTTTTCTTATAATAGAAAACTCACTGTGCATGAAGGGGATAATTATGAAAGAAAGACTATAAGACTATAGAGACTATAAGTTGCATTAAGAGGCTTTAGACCTGTATGTCCCATATTAACAGCAACACACCAACGTCAGTCTGTATAGGACTGTAAAGCCAGCACAGTATTATCTACACACGCCAGAGACAGCTACATCTTTTAAAGGGCTGTGTGATTTGTACGGTGGAACTACACTTCATCCTTATGAGATTGTCACAAGCCACAGCGAAGAGAGACACCAGGCTTCGTAATGTTCTACCTCTTTCTTTGTCATGATGAATCTGGGCTCTTGGACTGTGCTGTCCGCTCCATTTGAGAAGAAATAGCTGTTCTGAGTGTTTAGGGGTTCTCGCTCGGCATCCAGAGAGTCTTGTTCAATCTTGCAGACGTTGAACTGGTGAGATTTAACAGGGTAATGTAGCGGGAAGCAAAAGCATTGTTGCTATGGTTACCTGCACTTTAATATACTGATTTTAGAGCTGCTGCTAAAAAGTGTTGCCTGTAATTACGTTTCTGGTCGGTGTCAGCTGCAAGCTGGAATATTGCTGACGTGACTACAAGCTGCATCTGGAGTCGGCACGATGACCAAAACCCAAACAAACGCAGACTGTAACCCACAGACATGCTTTTCCAACTCCCAGAGGACCCAACGATAAAGCACAGGCGCAGGACAAAACACTTAAATATTCATAAAACTTAAATGGTGGAGCTTTCTCAGTGTCTGTTCGGGGACAGGGATTTGTAGAGAGGGACGAGGCTGTCGTCAACACGGTGATTAATTAGGTAGGAAGGGACAGGGCTGGCGGTTAAGATGGATCTGTGTTGTTGTTAATTAGATGGAAGACAGTGCCATCTCTGGGGACAGCCCCAGAAATACTTCTTTACTAGGTTAAGTGAAGAAAATCCCAGAAAATTAAAAACTGCTGACCATTAAAGTAAATTTGTCCCAGAAAACTGGTTAAAATAACACAGAAAGAAGACTGCCTGACTCCATATTTAGTCTGTAAACTTCCTGCACAGACTGTATCACTTCACTTTATCATGAGTATACTGATAAGTAGGCACTTGTTCTGACAGTTTCTCCAAAATTTTGCCTCTTCGGTCCAGTCAAATCTTCATAAACTTACTTTTACTACATACTAGTTCATTTCAAATTAACTTTAAAATGTCACAGTAAAAAAAGAACAGTTTTAAGTCTTTACCAGAGTTATTTAAATAATCCAAAGGGAACAAGATGTCTGAGCGAACCCCATCCTCTGATATGAAGTAAGTAATAAATAAAAAAGCTAGTAAGTGGACCTTGAGCTGTGTTATCAAAAATCTTTAGAGAGTAAGAACTCACAGAGAAAAACATTGGAGCCTTTTCGGGAAATGTCTTTACTCAATCTATCTGCCCACCTTGCTTCCTCTTTAACTACAGATCACACAGAGTAACAGTGTGTGTACGGCAACAAAGAGCCTCAATGTGGCATTTTCTCTGTACATGTAATACCAACCAACACTTGTTGTTTCGTCCTCTTTAGTCCAGCAGGTGGCGCTTTGCTGTCAGCTCAGCCAGAGTAAAAGGAGGTCAGCTCTGAAGAGGATGCTAGCTCGCTGCATATCTCCTGACTCTGAGACTCAGAGGTTTCCATACGGCTTTACTTTCCTCATGTCACTCTGTTTTTATCTGTTGTCCTCTCTGTCTGTCTCTGTGACTTCCTCTTGAGGTTTAGTTTAGCTCATTTCCCCCATGACTTGGCATCATCCACTGCCCCCGTCCCCTCCGAGGTAAAAATGTACCTTTCAGCTCACTTCTTTCTTTCTTATTTCTCCAACCATCCATCTTCTCCTCTAAATCTGTGTCTTCACCTGCAATCATCCCCCACAGCCCTCAAACTCCTTGACTCTACAGATACACTGCAACATCTGCTTCACCCGAGACCTAACCTGACCTCTTTTTCCGACAGTATCCTCACTGAATGTCATCTGGATGTCTTCAATAATATAAATCGCCTTCTTCATCTTCAGTAGTTACATAATGTCCTTCCACTAATTGGATTCCCAGTATCATTACTTGCTAAGCTAAATGTCTTTGATCCTTACTCCATGTGAGTCTATACATTAGCTTTGATCTCTGCAAGTTCTTCTGCTGAGGAAGTCATTTGATATGTAGACTGAAGTTATTCCATACTGTACATTTGGCAGGACATGTCCTGAGTTTGAGGATTTGTAGTTCATCTGAGGACGTTTTAAGGTCGCAAGGAGTCCAAAAATCAAAATGGTTTTAAACCCGTCGTGCATCCAATTGAGTGATCATCACTGTCCTTCTTAACTGTGTTTTGAAGACGAACAAATTCAAGGAGTTTGCAGAGAGTTGGATTTAATACTTTATAATATTTAATACTTAAATTTATTTACTTATTTAATACTTTATATATATTGCACATGTACAGTTGGTTATAAAATATTTTTGCACACTCTTACTCCAGACTGCATATAGTGTATATATTTTCATTAAAGTCTTTATAATATGTATTGTATTTTTACACTTCTGTACTTTGTGCTGCTGTGTCAAACTGGAAGTTCTCCCACTGGGATCAATAAAGGAACATCTTATCTTATCTTATCCTAAAACTAATATAAGATGTTGGTTGGAACTAGCAGAACCGGTAACAACGGCCTTTACAGGAGGAATATACTATTATAACTGCACACTGCACACAGGGACCTAACATATTATGTTACAGTTGAGGGAACAGGCACACCAACCAGTCAATCAACAAGGCAGAACAATGAAACTGGTTCATGGGAAGTTACTGTTTACATCAGACGGTCGTAGCTACCAGCAATAACACCCAGCTCAAGTCTGAGAATGTGAGGGGTCAAACTATACATGGTGTGTTTTGTATGTAAGTAAGATGCTGATATATATATATATATATATATATATATATTTAACCAAAGATCTATACATTTGATTGCATTTAGACAATAAATAGGAATATAATTTAAAATGTAACAAAAGAAGAATATTATCCTGGCAGTGTGGAAAAGTTTTACATAAAATGTAATTAAAAAGTTAAATTAATTAATATTTTTGGTTGTTTGTCAAAAAAGTCTCAGTATTGACAATATCAATGAATAAATTTGGTGAATTTTGGCAGTAACAGATGATATTATTGATGCTTGAGGATTGTTTTTGCTGTATAATTCTGCTTTGTGCTTTGTTTGCTTAAAGGATGGCGAGACAGTAAATCTCTGTGAGACAGGTAGCGTTTCCTATTTGGATTTACACTCCAGTGAAGGTAACGGTGAGATCGCCAACACGCCGGCACTGTTTGGACTGAACAGATGAAAACCAAATGAAAACCAATGTTTCTGGCAGGCTGGACAGTTGTTACAGTTTATGTGACGCAGCCATGTTGACGCACATCAGGATTGCATACAGCAGCTGTCGACGCAGGCAGACGTCCAGGACATGAAACCTGGGATTTCTTTCACTCGTAAACTGAAAGCTTTTGATATCAATGTTTCATTAAGTTGGAATCAGTTGTCTGAAGAACACATATCTGTCTAGACAGTGTTTCTTTTAATAAAAGACTCCAAAAGGAGCGTTAGACAGTGCTGGCATTTGTGTTTCTCTTCTTTTAAATCTTTGATTTCATGGAGTAATTTAAATCTCTTTGTGTTATTTCCTTTGTTTTAAGATAAGGAAATGCATTGTTTCCAGGAGAATGTGGCTCAGGTACAGATTGAGGCTGCAGCGGTAAATCTCTCCCGGTGCCTCCTTTCATGGTGAGCCAGTTTCGTCATGCACCGGTCGTGCTCGGTGCAGCTGTTTATAACGTATGACACAAGCAATATGATTAGCTGAGAAGAAAAAAATAATTCATCAAAGCCGCCTCCTATTTATACTCCGCTTCACCTGACGCAAATGGAAAATAAAAATAGCCCGGCTGCTCCTATATGACTAACAACTGCGAGTGTGTTTAGATATGTCCTAATTGTCTGTATGACGCAGTGATTTTTTAGGTCATTGCATGGACGAAAAAAGAAAAGCAGAGTGTTTAACATATTTCATCTAAACGACACGAGCGAGTGCAGACGATGGGGATAAAAAGATGAACCAGGAGTGTTCAGGGAGGTGTGAACGCGTCGTCTGTTACTCTCCCCAGAGAAAACTTGTCTGTTGTTTTAAGCTTCCACTTGACACCTGACAGCACACAATCACATTATCTAGGATGAAAAGGGTTGACCTGCGCACACACGGCAATCATAATGTAATTGTCATAGACCTCCATCGTTGCATAGATCACACAGTGTGTTTACAGTGTATACATACAGGATCTGAAGGGCGGAGATCTTGTCTTTGAGCACTTCCTGGGCTTTGTTGAAGTCTGACAGCATGTTCTGCGTCTCTCTGCTGTGGAGGGCGTTCATCTCGGCGAGCTCCCTCTCGTGCCTCTTCGTCAACTCTTGTTCATGAGCCCTGATGGGGGAGAGAAGAATGGACATTTGAGTGGCTACAAAAAAAAAGGATGACAGTCTGAACACCACTACTCTTGGTGGTCGTGGTATAAGAGCGATAATGCACTCTGAGCTGTTGCTCATATAAAAATAACAGAGTCAGAGCTTTGCAGTGGTGGAATAAGTATTCAGATCCTTTACGTTGGTAAAAGTAGGGATTCAGTAATTTAAAAATACTTCAATACAAGTGAGTTCTGCATTAAGTTTCTACTTAAATAAAAGTACTCAGTAGGCAGCAGAATTACCGTGATCATACCGTGTTTGTGGACACTTTGTTACATTTTTCATACTGTAGATTACGTAATGATCATTCAAGTACATCACTTCTCTATTCAAGCTTTAGGCCAGAATGAAACACCTTCTAAAGCACAGTCCAAAACGTCCTTGGTGGCTCAGAAATAACACATAACACATTTATTTACTTTCGAACAGGTGACATTTTGCTTCAAGACTTAATCAGGACCTGCAGACTCTCCTCCTCTGTCCGTCTCTCCCAGGAGAGGCAAACATAATGGATTGTTCCACAGGGGAAATGGTGGCGAGATTAGAAAAAGGAGACAGATGCATAGAATGAATTCCTAGAACAATAATTGCAAGAAAACACACTATGAATGTTATTATGATAGAAATATGACTTTTGAGTGTGTGCAACAACAGCAGAACAGGAAGAGACAATGAAAATGCACCAAAACAGAAATGTGGTATGACTTAAGTGCAGAATATGATCTACACATAATGTGAAAACGTGTAATAAATTCTTCCTCTTATCAAATGTGTTCAATTTGCAAATGCAGCAGGTTTTTTCTATGGCAGGAAATGAGCTAAAGAAAGAGGAGGATGATGGAAAATGGGAATAAAAGATGACGATAATTAAATGAGGAGGAGAAATGGGGCTGATGAAAGGGATGCGAGGGAGAGGAGGAGGATGGAGGAGAAACATGGATGTCTGTCTGCCTCTCACTCTGACTGGGCCAACTCTCCCTGAGGGGCGCACATCTTATCTCTCTCTGCTTCCTCTTTATTTATTTATCAGCCTATTTTTATCCCTGTGACCAGGATTCAGACGAGGAGTTACGTAACAGCAGGAGAAATGTGCTGCGCAGGCGCCTGCCAGCGACGCAGAAGAGAGAGAATGAGAGAGAGAGAGAGAGAGAGAGAGAGAGAGAGAGAGAGAGGACGCATGTACATAAAGCCTAGCAGCGCATTAACGTAAAAGAATAAAGCATCATGGGAGCAGTCATCAAACACACACATGTAAATCAACGGCTGCAGATTGATACTAATGAATAGCTGGACCACATTAGCCATACAGCACTTTAAAAAATTCATTAATCGCCGCGGGGAACAACATGATTATAGATTCCATTTTGCTTTTACCCTAAATAACCCTCACATCTCCTAATCAATGGGCCGCTGACACTGGTCGAGAGAGAGAAAGAGAGAGAGAGAGAGAGAGAGAAAGAGAGACAAAGAGGGAGACGGATTTGTCTCGTTTGGTCTTTTCTCTTTCATCTTGGTGTGTTTTCCTCAGGACTGGAGCAGGAGAAAGGATTGCAGCAACTATCGTCATCCGAATATAATAAATTCAGCAACATGCACTGATGACAGGGGCCACCGGGAGCGGAGAGGGTGTGTGTGTGTGCGTGTGTGTGTGTTAAGAAAAAGGGTGTGGGTGTCAATGCTATCCTGAAATGTCAGTAATGGTGTGTTCTTAATGTTCCTAATGTTGCTGCTCTGTATTTACCGTACCTGCAGTAGGTGATTTGTTGATTTTTAACAGTGGGGAGCACTTAAAGTTCTTTTAAGTAACTCGTTATATAAGCTCTATAGTTTGGAAAATATTATAGATCCAAGACCAAACTGGAGAGTGTCATGGATTCATCAATAGAGAGCACACGTTAGGCTACTGAAGTTAGACATTATGATGTTCTGGACCTTTGCTTAAGGAAGTTTTCTCTTTTAAGAACACGCCAAGTTAAATTACTTTTCTCTGACTCCCTCTTGTCTTCGACAGATCATAATGCTCATCAGAATGCACAGATCTGATTTGCTGGGCAGCATCATGTTGATTTACAATGCATGCAAGTTGGTCTGTGAGTTTCCTCTGTCGTTAAACCAGTGCTGTAAAGGCTAGAAAAGCTGCACCGGTTAAAAGTAAAGCGCTTTGTCATTTAAATAATTGAATAATTCTCAATAATTTATTGGTTATAGGTCTGGGTCGGGACCTGGTAGGTGCGAGCTGTTTCCCCCACTACCAGCCTTTATGCTAAGCTAAGATAAGCTGGAGCTCATAAGGCAATTAATGCATGTGAGTGGTATCAAACCTCACATCTAACTCTCTGAAAGAAAGCAAATATGAATATTTCCCAACATGGTGAAATATTTCTTTACTAACTGAGTTCCTGGTTCTTACTATTCGACGTCTTTATAAGCAGAAAATTCCCAATAAAAGACATTATGGTATAAACCCTATTTGATTGGTAACTGAACTAAGGCTAGTGATTACCACGAAAGCACCATATCAAGCGCTTAGTGCCCAAAATGGAGGCAAAGAAAATGAGAAACAAGGAACTCAAGCACCATCACTCAGAATGCATGAGAAAAATATTCAGAAGCTTGGTTGCCAGGTTACAGTGTATTAAGACAAACAGCATTGTGAGCGCACACTCGGGTCTATGCTTCTTGAGCTGTGGACGTCCAACTGTGTGACTATGAATATTTCAGATAGAGACAGAAACTGACACACAGAAAGGAGAGTACACATCAGACGTGGAGGAAAAGAATGATGTCTGTTTGGCCTATAAGTCACTGTTCTAATATACAGTACGTGATGAGGATCTTGACACAGAGTTTGCATAAAGGAAACCACTTTACAGTATGAACAGCTTGGACGACTGAAGTGTTTGAACAAGTTTGGAGGTCAGTAGAAATAAATCTCTGCTTTGGTTTTGCCCTTGGCAAACGTTACTGGCATGGAATGGAATCGGTAGAGCTTGCAGGAAGCATCAAACTCTCTCTGTTGGCTCTGAACTCAAGTTTGAACCGAGGCTTTCATTCCAGTATTGTATTCTTTTGTGTTGTGTTTGAGTTGTGCTCTGAGCGCTGAGTCATACCTGATCTGCTGATTGGCCTCGCTGCGGATCTTGAGCACTTCCTTGCCCTTGAGCTCCAGCTCTTTAGTCAGAGTGCTGATATTCTCGTTGAGTGTGTGGATCTGGTGGTCCAGCTGGGCGATGTGGTTCTTCCTCCTGGAGACCTCCTCCTGCAGCTCAGTGATCCGGCCCAACAGCTCACGCTCCTGGGATTTAAAAAAACAATCAGAGTTGTTCATTGACATGTTTTAAAGAGTACCAGTACCACTGTGTCTACTAATGATTTTTAATTACAGCGTCTCTCGCTCTACAGACCTCTATCGGATTTTCTAAATAAATTCCAGGACAGAGCAATTTACTTATTTGCTCAATTTTCAGCGGGGCAACCATCAGTTGTTAACACAGTCTGATTCACATGAACCGGCAGGCACCATATGTCTAATTATAGAGGAAACATCACAAACGGGCATTATGGGATGTGAATGGCCCGGGACCACAGCTACCCAGCATCAGTGATATCGGTGAGTTGAGTTGTCTGTGCAGAACCCAAAGGATACTAAAAGATAGCACCCTTGCTGCTGTAATACTTTTATTTTTATGACTTATTAATCCATCTTTATTTTATTGTACAAGTAGCAAAGAGGGAACTATACCTGAATGTAATTATGCAGCCCTGCATTATAAATAACAATAAATGTCCTTATGACACTGCACACACAAAGTCACTTAACAACGTAGTCTTTAAATGACTTTGAAGAAAATGTGAATAAGATTAACTACAAAACATAGGATTTAATACAAGGTTGTGTCACGAGGTGTACAGTACAGTAAGTATATTGGTCTGTTATCACTTTTTGTATGAAATATAACAAATAACTGGAACTAAAAACTGGACATTTCACTCCTACTTTTAATGAGGCTGTTGTTTCTGCATTTATCAGATTTAAAGCCAAAGTTCTGGGGCAGACGTGTCCACTAAAGGATCCACAGTTCCTAATCAACAGCACAAACTGGGCCCATAATTAAATGAGATGATTAATCTACAACCAGTGAGTCAAAGTTCCACACTGACTGTTAAATGCTGGTAAACTGACAATGAATGTTAATGAATGAACTGACAATGAATGTTAACACTCATTCAGTGCCCAACAATGTATATAAATCATAAATACCCATGTGTAAACAAGGCCGAGCTGGCTGTTTGCTTCTGAATTACAATATGTATTGCACTTTATTACTGAAGAGCCGTTGCAGTGTCACTGGATAATACAAAAGCAACCTGCTAACATGTAGCCTGTAAACAAAGTTGAAGGACTTTAAAGTTGTAATCCATACTAATTAGGGAAGACGCAAAGTTTTGTTCTGACTTGTAAATTAATGTCAACTTGTTAATAGTGATCAGCTGGGAAATTGGTGCCAATCGGGACCGTGTCTCCCGGCCGGGTTTCGGGTCCAACATTTCTCGGGTCCAGGCTTTCAAATAATAGACGGGTCCAGTTTGATTCCAGGTCATATATATCTGGGTCTTTTTGGGTTCAGGCACAAATGTGTGGACCTGTGAGGACCTCTACACTAGAGTACAAAATGTGTATTAATCCCCGGCTGACAGTAACACTTCACTCCGGTTTGAGTAAAGTTTAATTAAAACTACAATGACCAGCTGTTTTAGGAAATTACTGGGCTGTTTTTAAGAAAATTAAACTTCATGTGTGACCAACTTTTAAAGATTTATGTCTACAACAGGGAACAGTTGGGTTGAGGCCAAAGACAAGCTCAGGAAGACAATAATACTGAAAGATGGACTTACACATTGTTAATTTAGGTCTTTTCATAGGATTTTCTGACAGTAAGAGATATATAGAGTCCGAATCAGTCTGAACTTTATCTGATAAAGGTCTAATGACTGAAATGTTGTTAATAAAGTGAGTAGAGGCGACAGACTGTTCGGGATTCTTTCTCAGTCAAGAGTTTTTGATCCTATGTGCCTCTTATCTTGTCGTTAAACAGCCATCAACACGCAGACCTGCCAGGTTCAGTGTTAAAATCCACATCGTAATGGGGAGCTGAGTGGGCCTTGTTTGCCAAATTGATCCTTATGATTAGAGATCTGAATGAAGAGGCAAAGAAAGGCAAAGATGTGATGTGAGGACTCCTAGTCGAGGGCCACTTAACTCCATCAGAATTAGATTAAATATTTTTCGAGTTATTGTCCACTAATGATTCTCCACTCTGCAAAAATCTCATTTCACTTGCCTCTATAACAATTTGTGCCAAGAGCTATGTTCATATATCCAAAAGCCATAATCTTGTATAATCGTCTGATGGTCACAAACTCCCGTCTCGCTCTCCGTCTCTATCGGAGTCTCCCTCAACATTCAATTTAATGTCATTGGCAGATTTCTGTTGTCAATAAACCTTGTGGCGCAATTACGCACAATGGGGACAGGGGAGATTAATCTTTAATGACTTCCATTTACTCATTTCACTCTCTAGCTTGTCAAACTCCTGGCTTCATTCTGGGAAGAGATGAGGCACAAAAGCAAACAAACAATAAAATAAAAGAACAAGCAAACAATATAAATATATATATAAAAAAGCTGGCAGAATAAAAGAAAGGACCAAAAGAAATAAAAGGAAATGAACCAAAATTGGTTTCTTTCAGTGCATCCAGAATGATTTGAAGGGTACGTAATGCACAGGGACTTTTTTCCGAGGTCTAATCTAATAAAATTAGAGCCGATATCTGTTCGCTGTTCACATCCACAGGCAGACAAGCGGCGAGATAAAACTGCTGGTGTTCACTTTGGGCTGTTTGGAGCCTTATTTCTTCATCTTCTCTCATGCTCTGTCTGTCACTCTGTCATCACCTTCTGTCCTCTCTTTCACCATCTCTTGTTGTGATCTCATTTTCCTCTCCAAACGTGTCAGTTAAATAAACAAACAGCTCTGTAAAGGAGAATCTCTGCACCAGTTTTTGCTCTCTATTCTCATTTTTAAACTCTTTGAAAAATAAATAAGTTCTGCAAATATTGATCAAGCGAGGACATTAGTGGGCCGAGTCTCCAGACTGAACCAGGGTGTGAATTCCTGATTTAGTGAAAATGGAAACTAAGTGTATTGATGATGGTTGGACATTTATTGGATTGTATTATCTGGTTCTTTATAGAAAACCATTCATCTGAACTTGGTCCTTGGTTTCAATGGACAGTTCTGATGTTGAACTGTCTAAATCAGTGGTTCTCAAAACTTTTTCTGGTGTGCCCCACTTTAGAAGTCAAAAAAAGTTTCCGCCCTGCAATTTTTAGCAATCATTAAAGGTCCAGTGTGTAGGATCTATCAGGCTTCCTTATTAATAAACAATTGGATTTTAAAATCAGTTTCACGCCAATCACAACCGCCCATTTTAAGCCAAAAAGGAGAGGAAAGGAATGATGGTGAAATATTAAAATACTGGACTGAGCTACAAGAGAAAATAACAGCCCTTCTAAAACACATCACATATATCGATAAAAATAATAATTTCAAGTTCAAAGTGGATTCACTTTATCACGAACACTAAAAAAACCATCAGAAATAGACCAATATCACACAAATAGAAGAGAATAGATATCGGATGTCATGAGTTACTGTAAGTGTCTCCAGGGAGAAAGAATGACAATGCACACACACACAAACACACACACCATACTTCATCGGCCTCTTCCTCCCCGTCGGTTACGTAATTGGAGGTGTAAAAACATTATTTAACACAGCGTGACGACTGTCTGCTGCTGAGCTCTTCCTCTCTGATGACTCAACTCAGGAAGTGTCAGTTTATGTGCCATTAGGGCTTCGGCATAGTAAACAAGGAATTAACGTAAACACAAACTCTCGACATCTCTGGATTCAAACACTGCGCATGCAGCATTTTAACATGAATAAATAATTAAATAAGGCGCTCTGTTTTACTAACTTTTTTTTTTTTTTTACTCCAAATGGAAATTCACTGAGCGGGTTGCAGCTTGTGCCAGGAAATCTGGAGGATTATTTTGAAGCACAAAGGGAGATACGAGCAGATGGTAAAAGGACAGAAAGGATAAAGTCGCTGTCAAATTAGGCCAAACAGTGACCTATCCTCCTTAAGACATATAACATAACTGCAATGTCCCCAATTAAAATCCTCTGTTGCATGTCGTCCCATATCTCTCTGCCCTCACATTGTCTACCTGAAATAAAGTCAAAAAATGCTTAAAAAAAAGTCTTTATTCAGGAATATTTCAGCCAAAGCGTCAGTCTGAGCGGAACTGTTCAACTGTGAAGATGATAGGATTTGAGATGTGTTTGTGTGTCTGTGAAGGTACTGTTGGTGGGCCGTGACAGAGGGTCATCAGCAGCACCTGGGGCCAGTGCTCCTTCAAAAACCCTCCTGGAGCTCAGTACTGGTTCTCCCTCCTCCCTGAGACACACATCTGGTTTTTGTTTGGCTTGTTCTGCTCGTCACTCATGCATCCACCTACACTGCTGAGCTTCCTGATTTCACACGTTTGTTTTAGTTCTTTTCTTAGTCAGTTATTCTTTTTTTTATATATAAATAATTTGTTAATTGGCTGTCTTAAATAAGTATTTTGTCAAGGCTGTTCGGACCCCTTTGTGACAGTTTGCATGGGAAAAATAATTCGTTTTTCATAGGCCAGCACTAGAAATAAAATCCCTGAACAGTCATCCTATTGCATCTTTTTTTGAGTTATTCCAATACATACGTAGAGAATAAAAACAGTATTGGGACACGTTATATCATGTTGCTTACAGAATTTATATTATGCATCATCTCCTTCCCACTGTTTGTACCACCACACTTACATTGTAGACAGATCAATAATCCACAGTAATCAATACAGAGTAAAAGCCATTCACCAAATAAACAACTAAATCTTCTCACATGTTCGCCTGGGACAGGTAATCGGACTAAATGAACATCAATTTACTCCAGAAGAAGCTTGTGTGCTGCAGAAGCAACTGAGATCTGAACTCTACAGTCTTTGCTATAGTCTGATGATTGACAGGCAGTTCAGACTGAAACACTCCTATTAGCCTTTATTGACTTCATATTGCTTTGGCAACTAAAGATGAGAGGGGCTGATAGTGGCGTGTGTGAAGGGTATTGAAGACAGCCAGCTGTGCTTCTCAGCCAGAACATCTGTATCACAAGGTGATGAGAGAGAAGCCCACGGTGTTTGGGGTAATTAGTAAGATTTACAAGAGATGGTAAGAGGGGAGCCTGCCGGGTGGTGTGTGTGTGTGTGTGTGTGTGTGTGTGTGTGTTTGTGTGTGTTTGTGCGTGTATGTGTTTGTGTGTGTTTGTGCGGCAGGTGTTATGTGAAGCACTCTGGCTCACATAGCCTTCATCCCCATTTAATGTCTGAAAGCCGAAACAAGTAAACATTAAAAACAAATACAGAAAAACCACAAAAATATAAACGTCTCAACTATTTTTTTGTGTTTAGTCTCAGAAATAATACAGACTGCTCATTGTAATGGTTTCAAATAGCTTCTTTTGTCTAACAGTCCAATACTGAAAGATATATTCAATGAATTAATCATGTTCATTTATTTTTTATTGATCAATAATTGACTAATTGCTTCAGAACTGTAAAATTTGAAAGTTAAAATCCTGAAGATTTTAATAAAATCAAACCTTGTTCTTGATATTATTATTATTTGTGGTCTGCATTAGCCATTACTTACATTTATATTTACATTCAGTCTCTCTATATAATAGTTTTAATTGTTAGTGGCGGAGTCCGCCATTCCAGTACTGGATTCAAACGGCAACGTAATCCAGCACCAGTTCATCCCGTTGATATCAGCCTCAGTGTTTACACCTCGTCACTGCTGTATTAATGGAAACCGAACGTTTTCTACCGCTGCTGCTTCACATTAAAAGCCTTCAACTGCCGAAACACGGGGTGGACTTTCATCAATAGTGCGTTTTCACAACAAGACAGCGAGGGTCATTTTTTCACAGGGAGTGCTGTTGGACGAAGAGCTGCAGGCGACAACCAGCTTTACTGTTCCCAGTTGCACTGTTTGCAGAATAAAACCAGACTGCATGAACAGATTCACTTCTGTTGCTCTTCTATTGGATTTCTGACAAAGTACCTGCTCAACGACTGCTCGCTGCCCCCAGAGGACCTACAGTTGCCGCAGCGATGGGTTGTCGCTAAATCAAACTGGACGGAAATCTTTTGAGTTATAACTTTAAGCTTTATTCCAAACATTTCGGCATTGCAAACAGCTTTTTTAAATTTCTTCTCAGTAAATCCTGAGAGAGGGAATGAAGTCTCTTTCTTTCTCAGCTTCCTGAGAGATTGTGGGTCGGGTGAATGTGTTTGATAGTGTGTGGTAGTCCTATTCAGAGGCGTCTACACATTGTGGATTTATTATTTTATTTATTCTAATCACACGCTCTTTACTCTGGCCAAGAAAGAAAGGAGAACATCCTGGTTTGTTTGGGAGGATTCATACTTGACTAGAAACTCATTCATCAGCTTTGTTTCCATGCGGTGGCCAAATGACGGCTTGTGCCAACAGAAACATAAAGGTGGTGATGAGAGCACAGATGGCCACTAAATTAGAGTTCAGAGTATCATAATCAACCCTACAGACGTGTTTTTTTGTGTGTAAAGATTTGATTTATATTCATTAAAATAAAAGAAGCGGTGCCAACGTGTGGAGTCCTACCTGTGTCCGGTTGTTCTCCAGTGTTTTCTCCAGCTCCTTTTTGGCAGCAGCTGACTCCTGTTGGTGGGTTTGTCTCAGGTGTTCGATGGCTGATGCGTGGATGTGGTTCAACTCCGATCGCAGAGAGGCTGATGGGAGAGGGGGAAAATGCAATGGGAAGAAAAGGAAGGAATAATTCATTGGTACAAATACATCACACACAAAGAAACACAGCTTATTTGCACATTACATATTCAGGGGTTTTCAGGCTTGTTAAAAAGCTTCTTCTAATCTTAAGTCGGCTTGCAAAAAGTGCTCATTACATGCAATGGCATTTTTATGGCAAAATAAATAAATGAAGCCTTTTTTAGTTTGCACATAAAGCAGAGAGCTTCGGCTGCCTTTTACCCAAGTGGCCTTTAATCCTCACTCCAATGAACACCTTTCATTGTAAACAGTGTAATGGTTTGGAGAAGCATCGGGAAGGGAGGGAACACACACTGCTATTAGCTTTCTGTTTGAATACAAGACCAATCTAAAAGTGTCAGAAGAAGATAGGTGCAGCCGTTGGAAGTTGAGATTACGTCTGACTGACCACTGCAAATGCAGAATGAGAAAAACGTGTAATGTTCCCGTCCACGCCCACGTGAGCACGCACTTCACAGACAGGAAGAAGAGATTAAGAGAGGGGGGGGAGGTAATAAAAGGATGTCAGGATGTGGGAAGTGAGAGAAAGATGGAAGCAGCTCTCCGGTGTCAGGACCAGGACATGAAGGTTAATGGAGGACCATCTTTCACAGCACTGTACTGATGTGTAAGCACTTAAAACTGAGTAAGACTGAGATTCTACTGCACTTTCCAGCTGCGTTGGTCTATCTTTACTTTACATTTCCGCTCATTGTGCTTCGCAAACTACTGTTCCTACATCCCTTTATTCCATATAAAAGTCAGACTGCACCTTTTTGTATTTCCTCATATTACTGCACCGCCTTAACAAAGAAAGCAATCTGTGGTAGAGGTATCGAGGGCTTCCTCTGTGCTCCTGATATAAACAATCATTCAGGTTTTATAAGAATTTCTTTGGGTGGTATTGGCCGGGACTTGTGCAGTCAATGTGAGTAAATGTGAGCTTTCCACCACATTAATGTACGGTGTGTCCCGTTTGCAATGTTGAGCTGTTGACCAATAAACTCTTCAAGGGATTTGTTACATAAAGTTGTTTATTGACGAGAAAAACTAAAGTTTAAAACTACAATAACTGTATATCCTGTTCACTCTCAAGATCAAAGTTAGCTTAGTTATAATGCAAATGTTTACAAAGTGGATATTGGAATCAAATTGAAATCTAAATCAAAATGGCTTGCAGGTAGAAATGAGAAAATATGTACACCCAATAAATTACATGTAGCCCAACTGTTGCTAATATTTGACCCGTTTGGAGTGAAGGGTAAAAAAAAAGTTCTGACCTGACGTGACGTAGTGGGAATTTAAATTACATGTTACAAAAATGACAAAGCACGTCTAAAGCATAGTTGGATATGCTACTAACTAAAAAACTCACATATTTCCTTCCATGTTCGCAGATAAAAATAAATAAAATAAAATAAAATGTCTTTACTCACTAGCTATGAAATGTATTTTGCAAAGACAAGTATGTTGACATAGCATTATGCTGACTGATAGCTTGTTATGTGATGACATGACGGGGCAAATACGCTGCCTCTTTATAAATGTTATTATTCAAAACATACATTATAAAACTGTACTTCTGTATTCCAGCTACATTCAGACAGACACATAACAGCAAAGTAACAGTCTTATATCACTATTTAATACATGAAAGGACTGAGTTTTTACTTTTCAGCACTTTCTTTCAGTAGAACTTCCAGTTTTCACGCTATAATCAGAGCAAACTGTGACCAAGAAACCCCCAGATCTGTGCATCCCTGAGAAAATGTGCCAGCGGGTCATGGGAGGGTGAATCGTTTTAATGCATGTCCCCACACACAGCCTCTCTGAGACCTTACCCAGCATGGCTTTGCCCTCGTCCTCCAGTTCAAAGCGGAGCGTCTGCAGCTCCTGTTCCGACTGCTGCTTGAGCGTCTCAATGCTCTGGCGGTGAGCCTCTCTCAGAGACTGCAGCTCTGCATGGTGATGGTGGCGCAGACGCTCCTCCAAGTCCTGATGGAGAGAGAGGGGGGGGGGACAAGGGAGGGTGAGAGAGGAAAGACAGAAAGGAACAAAGAGAGAGGCCAGGAAAACAGAGAGAATGAGGAACAGTGGGAGGGCCAGAGGGAGAGAGTGGGAGGGAAGTAGGGTAGAGAAAAAGAGAGAAAGAGAAAGAGGATAATTTGTTGATGAAAAGTTTAAGACGTAGGAGGAGATGATGGAGTGGGAGAGAGAAGTAAGAGGGAAGGGAGATATGAAATTGGGAAAGTAAGGCAGGGAGAGATAGGGAAGTATTTTAGTAACAATTTAAATCCTCTAGAAGAGCTGAAGGAGAAACTGGCCAATCATCACACTGACTTAAACTGCACTGAAACATCAGCCAAGAATATAGACTGTTTCTACTGTACAGGTTTCAGCTCCTGTGTCCAAATACATTAGAAATGTAGACAATTGTCCCTCATAATAGAAGTCTTATAGAAAATGTTCTTTAAAAGATCAGCTGACAGTTTTAATGGATTTCTGTGCAGAACTATTGACTGTAACCAAATTCAATCAGAAGTCACAAAACAAAGTCACCTACAATGTCAGAATACATTATAATATCTACAGTTCTCTATCTCTTTCCTTAACGGACCCCTTTTCTATCATTTAGTAAACTGAAGACTCCTGATATAAGTGACATAGTTTATGAATATTTCATATTATATTCAAACTGTACAATGAACCCAAACAGTGAACTCAGTAACTGCAGGAAGTTTGTGTAAAAAGAGTAATTTGGATTAATTTTGTACTTTTTTTTTTTTTACAATTATCTGTCTGTATTATGTATTTAATCATTTTTAACAGTCATACATATTTAATAGGCTTCTTCTTTTTTTTGACAAATTCAGTGTTTGCTGTTACTTTTCTTCACAGAAGTGAACCAAATGCTGACATATATACGTCTACTGTGTATATTTTTAAAGTTTTATTACATCCCTTAAAATCAAGAAGGCCTCGCGACCCCTCCATGAAGCTTTGGCGACCCCTAATGGGGCTCCCGATCCCCAGGTTGGAAAACCACTCCTCTATGTGAAGGAAACAAGAGTCTAAACTAAACTTTTTAGTCAAACAGAAGGACGTGTTTGCACTGTTTTGCTAATTGTTCATTTAAATTAGGCGATTAATTACATTGTGTTCAGTCAGCTTCATCCAGCTGTTGTTGGCTTCATTACAAGAATTCAAACAAACAACTTAACCAGAATAAATAATAGAATATTAGCAAAGAAAAGTGACAGCCACTTATATACACACAGTATTAACATCAGGCATTAGCACTGCTGACTGGAGGGCTGCCACGACACACACACACACACACACACACACACACACACACACACACACACACACACACACACACTGAGGACAGACCTGCTAACGTTACACCGCTGGCATTCGAACGTTTACTCTGGCAGAAAAAAGCTGTTGTTGATGTGTGAAGTGTTTGTCGCAGCGGGTTTATGGGAAATATGCTTTTATTTTATTTATAACATTCACTGCTGTCAACTGGATCCACAATCCAACAGACGTTTGTCGTGTCGAGTGTCTATAAAGCTCATCAATCTGTTGGCTGTCAACCGGCTCGTTGGCGGAGAACGAGAGACCCAAATTACATTTGACCGTCGGCAGCCATGTTTCTGTTTCAACTAGTTTTAATATAAACGTGACGACAACTTTTAGAATTGATCACAGTGAGTTTCCCTGCGATGTCATTTATACTTAAAGATACTATAATCAGAATGATGTTTGGATATTAATGGATTCAGCTGCTAGAGCCAATATTAGGTTGTTGTGCAGTAGCTTTTTAGTAAGTTTTCCCTTGTCGCTGCCCCTCCGCACTGTGCATGTGCAACCCTCAACAGAGAGGGAGATAAAACAAGATGGCTCACTCGTTTCAGTCGAGTTCACCATCATCATCATCAGTTCAGGAAAAAGTGTTTAATTCAGAATGTTATTGATTAAGTCTGATATGTACATCACTTCTATAAGCATGTGTGAGACATACATTATGTACAGATACGTTAGTTAATGTTAGCAAATACTAAGCAGGAAGAAAATGTTACATAAAAAAATAAAACAATGCATCGTAACAGAGCTGATAATTGAAGTACTGAGTGAGCCATCTTGTTTCCTTCATATCTCTGTTGCAAATAATAATGTTGATAATGATACATTTCATTAACAGAGTGATTGTCAAGACACTCAAAAATGCAAAAAAAAAAGTACCTTGGCCATTATCTTACTGTCTATAAAGGTTTTTTAATAAATCATTTTTCTGGACCTTTTCCAGGAAATTGTTCCTTGACGATACAGAACAGCACAGCCTCTTAACTGACTACTGTAACATTATCTGGACTCAGCACAGACTAAAATAACAATTAAAGATTATTTCCAGGATATTTTGTAATTTTTATCAATTTCCAGTTGTTTCCATTACTGGAGAACTAGTCTCTAAATGTCCCGGTTTTCCAGGATGCCTGGGAACCCTGTTATATACTGACAATATGTTGTATTGGCAATAAATGTGTTTTAGTGTGGTGCCTGTTAGTGTAGCTGTGTATAAACCTCACTAATAATGTATGTTGCAATGTAAACTGCCTCTTATTCTCCCTCAAATAAACATTTTCCAACTTTGCAACCCTAGAATTAGCTGTGTCTAAAATAATATCCAGATAAATGATTAATATACAATCCAACTGATAATGTATGTCAGTAACAGGCCATGTTTAATATCAAAAAGGGAGAAAACACAGCTGCTATTTCCATCAGCAGTCTTCGACAGAGTCGAGATCTCATTTTCATTATTACACAAAGCCATAAAAGCTCACCACTGTAGACAAGAAAACTGCTGTTCACACTGAGTTCAACCCATTTTTCTTTGTCTGTAAAGTGTTAAGATGCCATTTTGCAAATTATAACTAGAACCCATCAACGAGGAACATCTAAAATGATATTCATAGAAGGTTGACAGCAACATCTGTGGCATTTTAATTTGCCAATATGTAATGCCTCTGGGAAATGATTCACGGAACGAAGAGAGCCCTGAATATTCAAATGAAGCTCGCTCCGGGTTGGCGGACAGCAGTCTCAGACTCTTAGCGTTTGAAAAGGGGGCACCCATGCTGTTTTTATGGTAACACTTAAATAGCCCAGAATGCACAACAAAAGTCTTACGGTTCATTAATTACGAGATCTCTGCGGATGGATGATAATGTTGTTCACGCTGTATTTAGTTCTGTATCTCTCTCTTGTGTCAAACAGCAGCTTTTAATATTCAGCATCATTTTTCCTCCAGTGTCAGTCTACTAACTCTTGCTGTCATTTCAGAGCCTGGTTATTACCATCCTGTCCTATAATAGTCCCTCGTCCCCAGAATGAAGCCTGGTTACAGAGAACAGCCACCTGTGACAGCACCCACCTGTCACTCAAAGCAACCTTTCCCTTAATTATGCATAACTTTAAACCCTAATGTAATTTAGGTTTAATTTGGCTATAGAGACCGAAACCGTTATTTGTACCAGGCTGTAAACAGGTTTATTTCTGAAATAAGATTTATTAAACGTCTCCTTCATCCTCATCCTGATCTAAAAACATAAACCGGTCAATAAACGTGTGAAAACACCGGTGTTACTGATAACACCGCACATTTTACAGTATCTCAATTTCTGTAGAGCTCTTAGTTTGATCTCATCATTCTGGTAACCTCACTCTTGTGGAGGAGTGTGTGTTGCCTACAGATGCCGCCACCTTCGTCAGACAAAGTTTACAGATTGCCGCGTTATTGTTCTCTATTAGCACTGGGTTAAAGTTCCCTATTAGCTCTGGGTTTAAAACCAAAGTCCACTCTCCTCCCTCCCCTCACATAATAACACAGTGACCCCTTCGACTGCGTGCTACTGCTGTACAAAGCGACACTTGTAGTTAATAATCATAGCATCTTGTCATCCGACTATGTAATGATAACGTAAATATTATTCCACACATTTTTCATTTGATGAACTTGGGCACTGACAAACAAAAATGAACTTATTTATTTAACTAAACTAAGCAAAATGACAGTGGGCAAGTGTGGGGGCGGATCTAAAGGGATGGCGTGGAGTAGCAGCTGCCTGATTTTAAAAACAAAAGTGTAATGATCTGTTATGAAATGAAACAATTTATTGATTTCTGATACTACCATTAGATATTTCTATCCAGTATTTACTAATATAATGTAATATTTCATATATATGAGAACATATATCTTTATTATGGGTTTTTTCCAAGCAGATACTGATTATATGATTGTTAGCGATTAAATCAGCAGATAGTTCTTCCACCCTCTGAAGTCTCCGTGCAACCCTTTTGCCATCACATGGATATTTCTCGATCCGCCCGAGGTAACACTGGTAACACCGACTACTGGAGCAAGCTTACCATAAAGCTCTGTGCTATGTTCACTAAAACATTAAAGACTTTTTACTGTTCATCGCTGATGCTCGGTTCTTACTCGCTGAGCGCGTAAAGACACGAGTAGATGTGTGCTGAAACTCCAGTGGGACGTTCTGTCAAGGATGAGAAAGTGAGTTTTAAAAGCCACTAATCTCTCTTATTCACTGGTATTGATCATTGGTCTTTTTGTGCCGTGGATCAGTAAAAACCATACCTTTTATTCCTTTAATTAAAGGGAGCACATTAATTACCTCTAATCGCAGGGACTCCTATAATTACAAATTGACTGTAATGGTGTTACAGTCACCTCCTCCTTTCCGCGCTGTTCGTGTGTTGAGGCCCTGGTTGTTCAATCTTCATTCCATTACTGGACGGTCAATAATTGTTACTTTGCTGGTGAATCCATTTAACTAAGTAAAAAAGGGGTTGATACTGATGAACAAGAGAGAGGGATGAACACACAAAGACATGAACTGAGACTGTGGCCCCGGGGTCCTCTGGCAGCCTGATCCACCTGCTTCAGCACAGGTCTTAATCCTGACCCCAAGGACAACTTAAAGACCCGATTTGGAGCAACTGAGGCGTCTAAAAAGGGATGTAGCTCAAAAGCGTGTCTGATATGTATTCAGGTGTTATACTGTTGAGTGATTTAAAACCTAAGAGCAGAATTTTAATGCCTAAACTAACCTGGAGCCAACACATCGACTTTGAAACAGGTGTAACATGTTCTCTTCCTCTGGTCTTAGTCAGCACTCGGGCTGCAGCATTATGATAATCTTTAGTTTATTCAAAGCTTTCTTGGGCAGACCAGAACAAAGAGCATTACACCAGTGGAGCCTGTTAGGGATAAAGGCGTATACAACCTTTTCAGGATGTGAGCGTGAGAATTGACTGCACCCTGGCAGGATTCCAGAAGAGTTATTTAAGTTTTTCATGTGGGCCTAAATATTCAGATCAGATCATAAGAAAAAAGAGAAGATATGTAAGTTGTGGGATTGACACGCAGTGGCCAAGATTTCAAGATTCATAGAATTCACCCTGTAATATTTTATATATATCGGCTCATAAAGACGTTTTACACATTTAAAGGGCCAGTGTGTAACATTTAGGAGGATCTATATCATATCCATAGGTGTGTTTTCATTAGTGTATAGTCACATGAAAATAAGAAGTTAAGGGTTAAGAGTTAGGGTCTTTGGCGTTTTTCATAAGTTTGACGGACACCTTAGTTTCTCCTAGGAGGGTGAGGCGACAGGGTTGTGACAAATACACCGCTAGATGTCACTAAATCTTACTCGCTGGACCTTTGACAAAGTCCACAGCACTGCTAGTCTGTGACTTTACAACTTTGACACTCCATCGAGCAGATGTCAACATATCTCACAGGAAAGTGAAAACTTTGACCAAGTGGTGTTACTGTTGTCTTATGGTACAGTAACCCGAGAGTTAACGACAAAAACACAGAGATCCTTCTTAAGCGCTGCCCCTTTTGGAAACACTTCTCCTTTACTGTACTTGGACATGCTATGCTATGTGCTTGTTGAAAAGTCTATTCAGTCTGGATCAAAGTGGTGTATGGACCGACGTTGGTCCTGCCGCTAGCATGGCTAAAAAGATGAATGAACTAGTTAGTATAACTAACATTTCTTTTTCTTCCATTTTATACATTGTGTACATTAATTTGTATTAATATCCACAACTCCTTATGAAAGTTGACGTTTTTATGGTAAAACAGCTCTCGCTCTGAAAGTGAGCGAGAATCTGAGAAATAAGACAAAAGATGACAAACAGATCAATAAGCTGTCATTTGCTCGATGCACCCTCGCTGCTTCTATTTGTGGCTTTCTTTGGTAGCGGGAACTCGGGAGAGTTAAATTAGGTTATTTGTGTAGCGGGGATTTGTATAAACTTTATTAGTCCCTGGATGCGACTGTGTGCGAACTGTGAACAGATAACGGCAGACATCCACCCAAACACACATGAGCCACACGTACACAAATCATCGCTCTAATGCCTCCACTCTGGATAATTGAGTTTTCTCTCCCGGCACCGCTGGCACAAATATAAACACCCCACCACCACGAAAGCCCACCGTGAAGCTTTTAACACTTTATTCGCCTGCTTATTAACGTACCACTGCGACAGCTAGACAGAATACTCTGAGTGTCCGACGCAAAAAGGTGGTCAGTTCTGTGGTTACATTGAGGGAAAGTGCGCCGGCTGTTGTGGGAGGAGGAAGGAGTGGAGGAGGAGGAGGAGGAGAGGGAGATAACGGGGAGCAGCATCTTTGTTATAGAAGTCAGTTTGGTTCACAGGGAAATAAGTGCCGTGTGACTCAGAGGTGCTATTCTTTCTACCATATTCGTACTCAAGGAGTTGCCAAAAACACATCATAAGGACGCCGCTTCCTGACCTCCGTTCCTGCCTGAAGCATTAATACAATTACAGCGTCCAAGTCGAAAGAAGGGATTTGGAATTGTGATGTATAGCTGATCCAAATCGACCTTGACTGTGAAATGGAAGGATTAGCGCTGAAGAACATTTTCTTGGCACCTTGAGGAGAGTGTATGTTGTGTTTGTGCGTGCATATTTTGACATTATAAAAAAGGGGAAACACAGAGCTGTCAGTATAGCTTCTTGGTATAGAAGCTGTCTGCTGTCAGTGAGAGTGACTAACGATGGTGATGACTCACTGCCAGTCTAACCTTGACTCCGACGAGGCGCTATTGGATTAAAATGTCAAGGCTGGCTTCTCCCGAGGAGCTCCTCTAAGAAGAAGACATAAATGCTGCAGCTCATGGTTCATATGCTCTTTTAAAGTATTTATATTGTTTGCTAATAATTACAGGATGATCATTCCTCAGTTTTGAAGAATTAGTTTGAGGTTTGAGAGTTCAGTGTGCTGACAGTGCAGGTTTCCTTTCATCGGATTACAGCCAGTTTTACTAGATCTGAATTAATTATATTGTGATATATTGAGGTGAATAATCTACACTCGGGGGCAAAGGGAGGTTTTTGTTGACAAATGTTGATAGTGTGATACATCAAATGGCTGTCTGTGGCGCTGAGGTTGATGTATGCATCCAGTAGCGGTCCTTGGTGCTGACTCTGCCTAGTTCTGAGGTTATCAACCACACTGCTGCCCTGCTGCACTGAGTCTGAGCTCTGCACCACCAATGTCCCCCCAATCTGATTGCTCTATCTAGCCTGCAGTATTTCTGTCAGACTGCATCACCTATGTAGTGGTTCCTGATTGCACTGTTACTGGATACTGACAAAAATATCGGCAAATGGGAGCAAAACTTTTTGACAAGAGCTTCTCATACTGGCAGACATTGTCTTATTGCAGATGTTTAGCTGGGGTATGTGCTGGGCTATAAATAACTTTGCAGTGCAGGAAATACCAAAGATATATTCAAGATCATTTAGAAACAGGGTCACAAGTACGTAGTTTACCCCCTCAGTGGTTCACAACCTTTTTCCTTAAGTGACCCCTTTTCTATCATTAAGTAAACTGAAGACCCCTGACTTTGGACATTTCACATTATATTATATTACATGCATAACAATAAAAGTACAGAAGAACTGATAAACTGTGTAATAAAACCAAATAGTTAATTCAAGATTGTGCTCAGGTCTTCATCCTGTGAAGTTTATACCTTAAATTATAATCTGAACTTTAAAAACTTTTCATTGAGTTTTCTTTACAAAAATGAATGAAATGTTGAAATATAAGTCTGTTTTACATATTTTTTTAACAAGCTTTCTAACACCCCTTAAAATCAGGAAGATTCACGGCCCCCTGTGAAGCTTTAGCCACCCCTAATGGGGGTCCAGACCCCCAGGTTGAGAACCAGTGGTTTACTCTACCCCAGGGCAGTGATAAATTCAACTGTAACAATTCCAACTCTGTACATATTTGGTTGAATTTGCAAGTATCATTATCGGTACTCGCCTCAAAAATCCATTTAAACTGGTCCCTGTTTAGTTTGACTCTTGTGCTCTAGTCACTCATGTAAGAGGAGGTGCATCAGAAACAATAAATACACGTTGCATGCTGAAAGTTTCACGCTATTGCACTGATACAGGCCAAGAAACATAGCAACGTGTTTGCATACCGCTATGTACGTTTGTGAGTGTGTGCATGTTGGCCACCACCTACCTTCAGGTCCCTCTGCCGGGCGTGCTCCATGTCCTGCATGGAGCAGCAGTGGACCTCCTGCAGACGCTGCTGTCGCCTCTGGTGCTCCGTCTGCAGCTCGTCCAGCTGCATCCTCAGGTGCTCCCTCTCCTGGCTGAACTGGTGCTGCAGCTGCTGCAGCGACGACTGCGACTGGGACAGCTGCATCTCCAGACTCTGCTTCAACAGGGAGATCTAGGGAGGAGGGGACAGAATAACAAATGTTGGACTGGGAGGGAGACCCTTAGTGGCAAAGCTGACCAAGCAGCTGCTTCTGCACCTTTGAATATATATGTTTAAAAAATTAGTAGATGGTGCAGGGAGAGCAAGAAGTATAAGGAAGTTTAGGGTGTCTCTGGGGAGCAGCATCTTTATGTAGCAGAACAGGGCAAAGAGGGAGGGGAAATCAATTAGCTTTAAACAAATGTTGCCGTGTTAAGATGTTTGTAATTCTTTAAAGCCTCGAGCAATAAAGTTTTATACTTTTTGTAAACAAACTGTTTGTAATTCACAGCAGTGCATTATAAAACGCTGTAGTGCAGCAAACGCAGCAGCAGAATTCATTGTTGGGAGAAAGCAGCATGATTTACCAAATTAGTCTGTCTAGACAGCTTAAGACAATGAATGTTTTGGACAGACAGCAGGGAGAAAATACAACCTTGGACACACTTTGTGTTTAACTGCGGTCATGCCAATGAAGCAAATTAGATAAAGAGGCTTAATGTGAGTAGGGAGGATTACATCCATGATTTGGGCGACCTGTGATGTGCCACCGAAAGGTCAACCAGCTGCTGTGTGAACATCACACTTGTTCTCTCTGTCTGGAAACAGCAACACTTGTTGGCAGGATGCAAAGTTACTCTTGCCCAGGGACGATAACCTTGTCTGCTTTACCAAAGGTTCCTCGGAGCAAACTGACAGGAAGAAAGCTGAAATGAATTCTGTAACTTTGAGCACAGGTGAGACCAGCTGGGCCTTAAATCATAAATGAGTAATGTGTTGAAACACAGTTGGAATCAATGTTGATGAATTCATCACCTTCTGGATCAACTTACAGATCGTCATACATGGGATTACCACGCGCAACAAAGAAGGATCCTCAGTGGAGCAAAAACAGAAGCCAGCGCGGCTTAGTCTCAATAGCTGCGGCCCACGTTTGGAAATGATATTATGACTAAGACATGAATCATACAATGTGTCATAGTGTTGGATAGCTTTATTAACACAAGCGTATGGTTATATATTCTGTACTCTGACCCTTTTATTACCAAGCCTGCTTGAAATTGTCCTGGGTAACACCAAAAACATGCCCTTCTTTCTTCTGAAATCCTAGCTGAAGATGAAGAGGTGCACACATGGCTTTGGGCCTATTTAAATGCTGAGACACGTCTGTAGTTGTACTTTTTGAAAACCTACGTGAGCAAAAGTAAAGTCATATTCTATAAAAGTTGATGCCCACGTATGAAGGCCTCCTCCGGCACTGATATGATAGAAAAGAGTCTGCACCATCATTTAATTTCCAAACAGCATCTTCAGTCAGAGACGAGACTGACCGCCGCTCATGAGTTTGACAAAATAAGTACGGTTCTGCTGATTGCGAGGCGTGAAGCGGACGCATTAATCACCGGTTGAGAGCTGATGGACAGCACAGACGCGACGGCAACCAGCAGCCCGATTGCACGCGGCATGCAGAGATGAGCATAAATAAAGCCATCGACACGGTTCGTCTGGGCGTTGGACGATGACCACGGGAGAGCTTGGTCACGCTGCATTAATATTACCGGGCGGTCATTAGCAACGGCAGCCTGCTCTGGTGTATTTACCGCAGCAGCAAATAATGAATGTGTGAGTGAATTTGTCCACCAGTGCGAGGAAGAAATAAGTCAGTCTGGTGCAGACAGGAGGTCTAACTCATAGGGGCAACAGAAGCTTTAGAAGAGAGGCAGTTTCTCTTATTGCCTTTCTCTTCCTCTCTCTCCCTCCCTATTGATTTTTTTTACTACTTGTATAATTACAGCCATTCGACTACAGGCTGTATGCATCTGGTATTTTGTGTTCAGACATCAGCAACCCAAGTTGAACATTAAAACGATCTTTAACCAGTTAATGGGGCTGCTACCACTTAATGTCCTCTATATTCAGGACTATTTGGACATTATTTCTCCTTTAAGAGTTTTGTAACGGTATAAAACACCAAAAACATTTCATCGTGGTGTGATTTTATCCTTCTCCACACAGTTAACAGCAGTGGTCATACCTGTTCCAGCAGGTCCTCCACTTTCCTCTGCCAGCTCTCCCTGGCGTTGCTCATTTCCTGCTCCTTGCTTTGTGCCAGCTGAACCAGTGCTGACGCCTTGTCCTCCTCGTGCTCCTCTCTCAGCTCCTCGCGTAGCTTCTTACACTCCTGCCTGCAACGCAACAACACACGCAGATATTTGTGTTTATGTTCCAGATGCTTTGGCCGAGGCTTTTATCCAATGTCTGTCACCTGTTCTGTTCAACCTGCAACAGCACCGGCATCAGTTCTAACTGAGGGCTGCAAACTTTCCAAAGAACCAAGAGCAAAGAAAGCAAAGGTCAGTGCCTTTACACAGAAAATCAGTGTAATAGAACCATGTATGAGGGAAGTTTGAGAGCTAAAGAGAGGGGTAGAAGAGCGTGTAAAAGAAGTAAATATGATTTAAAGTCAACAGGTTAATCTCCCAAAACTAAGCGTGTATCTTCTAAGCACCTTTGGCACTCTTCTTGTTTTTATTGACATGACTTTTTCACAGGAGCAACAACAACATTTGCTGAACGGAAAGACACAAACAAACAGCCAGAACCTTGCACCAATGTAAAGGTGCTTCTGAGAGCTCAATATTCGCTTTAAGGGAAGCATAAATGGTCCTTCATCAGACCTCAACACTGCATCTATTGAGCGACCATCTCTCTTTAACACTGCTGCTAACAGCTCTTTGCATGTGTGTAGGTGTGTGTGTGTGTGTGTGTGTGCTGCCAATATAATAGCAGTGTGGGAGTTGAAATGGCAGCTGTTAAATGAAGTATCGAGGCAAACACATTTTTTTCAGTCGCTTCGAGAGCCACAAAGTGTCAGACTGAAGGCGGGTTCTCTTTATCTCACACACACACACACACACACACACACACACACACACACACACACACACACACACACCACACACACACACACACACACACACACACACACACACACACACACACCTACACACACACACACAGCAGTGCAGTCACACACCAGACAGTCACGTTCATCATGCAGCACGCTCGACACGTGTCATCATTCATGTCCTCATTCAGTTTAAAGCAAGCAGTCATGGACGTCGATGCACGCATGCGCTCTCTCTTTCACACACACACACACACACACACGACACACACACACACACACACACACACACACACACACACACAGACACACAGACACACAGACACACACAAGCCTTGGGCTTCAAAGAGCTCTGGTCTTCCTAATAAGCGTCATTCTATAGCATCTGCTGGGCAGGAAGAGATGAGGGCAGATGGAGGGAGGTAAAGGAAAGGATGAACCGGTTGAAGGAACTGTCAAAGATGGAAGAAATATCCTGATATAATGTGGGATAATTGGCTCCATTCTCCTGCATTGTGCTATAAGATATAAGGCACACATGCTCATTTAAGGTGTGCGGCTGTGTGCATATGGACTTCAGTATGCAAAGTATGCTGTGTTTTAATAACTGAGTGTTTGCCATCGTTATAATCCCATCGTTATACTCCGGGGGTCTCAAAGATTGGCTTGGGGCCGCTGCTGGTATTGGTACTGCATAAGTTGCAGTCAGAGCTGCCTGTTGCATGTGTGGTTTATTACTAACAGTCTTTGTATTTCCATGTTCTTCACTGAATATGTTTGTGTGGAACTTGTGCTTTTGCTAGCAGTTTAACAAAGAAGGCCTCGGGAACATATTCTTTTTATCTCCATTTTATTGACCGCAGCTACTGGCTGTATGAAATAATGATCAGGAGATGATTTATTGAGCTTGGTGCAACTTTAAACATACTCTGCAATCTCCATTTCGTCTGAGTTATATTGTTCCAATAAAAGCTTTTAATGGGATTACTGTACATGTTATGAGAGGTAATTAAATATTAGCTGTCCTTCTGCTAGTTACCATGTCAACTTCAAATCACAGGCAGATGTACAGACTTTAGACACATAGATCCAAATATCACTGGGCACAAAACATGCTGGAGGCTTCCTATACAAACTCTGATCTAAAATGATCTAAAGCTGCCTGAAGACTCTTGTACCAGGAGAGAAAGTCGGTGCTTCACCTTGCAGGAGCTACACTACAGTAGCTCTCCTGGAGGACTTGAATTTCAACACCCACGAGAAAAGAGCCAAAGAGCTTTTCAATGTGATCTTCCACTCATTAAACCGACTCTCGTTACAGCAGCTTAACAGAGACAAGCATGTTTTATATCTCATGGGTCACAGGGTTTATAGCATTTGTCAGACTTTTGTTGTGTGTGGTGGATTTTAGAATTGTATTTGTACCATTAAGCTTTTAAGAAAATTGTGTACATTCTAGCATGTCTTGGTGTGTATTGAGTTTTAAACTGAAACGGGAGCAAGACAGTAAAATATGTCCAAATATAACTAGTCTATAGGTCTTTTTTAAAGTTTGTATAAGTCTTTAGCTATGTTAGTGGCTCAGCGAGGCCATAACTGAGCTAAATGTAATGTCACCATGCCAACATGCTTACAATGACAACGTTAACGTGAAGTTTAGCAGGTACAAGGTTGACTGTGTCCTCCATCTTCCACAGTAAAACATTTAAGAACATGTGATTCGTTTTCCAGGTATTTGGTCATAAACCAAGATTTTGGAAGTGATTATAATTGATCATTGAATGTCGGTACCACATTTCATTGCAGTCCGTCCAATAGTTGAGACATTTCAGTAAAAAACACATATGTCAACCTCATGGTGGCGCTGGAGGAAAAGCGATAAGGGATATATCGTATGGGAACTGTGAAAGTAGAACATTTTATCGCCCCTCCATCTGATAAATACTGAAATATTTCACTTGACAGGTGGAAAACTGTTGATGCTAGTGGGATATTTCATCCTCAGGCGACCATGAGAGTCTGTGCAAAGTTTTATGGCAATCCATCCAACAACTGTTGAGATACTTCAGCTAAAAGAACCCACCGACCATCACTGCAATCCCTAGATCCTCAGCACTAACATGGCACACATTTAGCCGCACACAGTAACTGACCCAAGTCCCTAATATGCTCTACAGGAGTTTCCCTGTGACCGGGACAAACTAGCATGTTACTGCCTGCGCTTTAGTCTGCTGATCCTCTGAACCTCCTCTGTTCATTTGGTAATCCTGAGAGCTCTTTCCATGATTATGCTATCACAGAGAAACCGTCTGTTTCCACTGTGAAACGAGGATTAAAGCCAGCCTCCTTAATTCAGACGGCTCACTAACCACAGTGTACTCACCCCAACCACCAAATGAATAGACGTTCTCCAGAGAATAAAGAGCTCTGTGCAGAAAGACAAAGGAAGGTGAATGAAAGGTAATGAAGAGGAGACCGAGAGGAGGGGAAGAGTGACAGAGTGACAGCTCGGTATGAGTGCGCGGGTTTAATAACATTTCTTGTTATTTCTACAGTATGTGGACCTCTACTTTCAAGATCCGCTCCTATTATGAGTTTCATTAGTGATTTAACTGAAATTGGCCGCAGTCAGCTTGTCAGCACAGCAGACAGCAAACTAGAACAGTCATTCCCTAATCTGTCTTTGATGCAGCCATTTTTAGTCATTAATGTCACACAGTCATTGCTATTGCTGCATGTTTCCTTTTGTGTTTGGTTTTTGTCACTTTTAATTCAAGACTTCCAAACTGCTAAAATATTGGATGTAATGTGCCTGTCTGGAAGCCCCGTTCCTACTGCTTGAAACAGCAGAAATATTTAGCATACAGCAGGTAAAACCAGACGAATTTACATGATTAGTCCCTGGTAGAAGGAAGGTTGTATTCACAAATATTTGGATAAAAAAAAACTGCATACTCCTAGGGAGGTATAAAAAGAAGAAAAGTGTCTGCAGAGAGGCTGGCTGACAGATTTAGGTTGTGATGATTCCCGAGATAGGAGGGAAAAGGATGCTCAAGGTTCCTTAAGTGCCTTCTGGTATTTTAACATCCAGTCTTTCATAACTTGATGGAAGACTTGACACTTATTGACCTTCTATTTTTGCTGTGCGTTTCCTGACTCGCTCTTTAAAGGTAGAGAGGAGAGATCATACGGACCATTAAAAATGTTGTACATTTATCAGAGCTGCTGCGAATGTATGGAACACATGATTTCATATCTAACCTCTGTATAGATCTCCGGCTTTAACCAAATTTTATTTACCGCTTTTTCTGTGAACTGGACAGTAGGGATGGACATGAGTACTCGAGTATCTGTTTGGACGTCAGTATTTGTTCAACGTATTGGGTAGTCACAATTAGATCTGCCTATGCACAGATAATGCTCAGCGCTTTCAGTCACACATCAGTCATCTAATGTCAGAGGCAGAACCCCCCCACAGAACATGCAGTGCGAGCGATGTGACATTACACTTGTGTATCATAGAACAACCTGTTCGATTATTAACCATTTGTAGATAAAGCACAAGGAGACAGATAACAGGGAACCTCTCCGCTAATGTTAGCAGTGTTAGAAGGTGCCGTTGTGATGAAGATCAATCGGCTCATAGCATAAATGGTGAATGGAGAAATGCCCAATAAACTTTCTGAAAGGAGGAGGCTTCTGAGAGCTGATGGCGTTTGTTGAGTTGGAGTACAAGAGGCGAACAGCAACTACATGAGTGGAGAACTGTTTAGCCATAGCCAACGGGCCACAGTGGCTGCAGAAGAAAGTAAACCCACAGACTTTTGAAATTATTACAACATTTTAATGTTTGTGGATTTGTTTATTCTTCTTTTTGGCTCATTTCTACAGTCAGTGCAGAGCGAAAAGGTAGGATCTGGATCTGCATTTTCGCTTTTTGGACCCTATTCTTACAATCTTTTTTGTTTTTCCAAGTAGTCGATTATGGAAATGACTTGAAATGCCCACCCCTAGAGGGAAGTGACTTGATTTAAGTCTTTGATTTGATGATACGGGTGTTAAAGAGTTTTCTGGCAGGATTGGTCACACTCAAATAGCCAGAGCACCAAGGAGAACAAAGGATGAGAGTGAAGTAATATTCAAGAAGTGGAGTGGAGTAATGAAAAATATTGCAGTGAGGCACAAAGATATGCATGGGCCCGGAGAGTGAGGAAAGGCTAAAAATATCGAGTGTGACCTTTACAAAGAGCTGGAGCATTAACAGATTAAACAAACTTGCAGGTTGAGAATGAGCAACGGTTTGAGAGGGGAAGAAATCACCAGTCGCTGTACTGCAACTTCCTGTTACTTATCAACAAGAAATTGACATATACACTGATATACATATATACCTTTAATATCAATGCTTACATGCAGCTCTGTTGTATAAAGAGATGTGAATAGAGTTTATGTTTTGGAGGAGAAACATCAGTCAGACTCATTGAGAGAATAAACCGATCAGCTATAACATTGTGAGCACTGACAGTGAATAACACTGATTATCTGGTTATCGGGGCTCCTGTCAGTGGGGGGGATATATTAGACAGCAAGTAAACTTTTGTCCTCAGAGTTGATGTGTAAAAAGCAGGAAAAATGGGCAGTGTGAGGATTTGAGCGACTTTGACAAGGGCCACATTGTGATGGCTAGACGACGGGTCAGAGCATCTCCAAACCTGCAGCTCCTGTGGAGCGTTCCCTCTGCAGAGGTCAGTAGCTATCAAAAGTGCTCCAAGGAAGGAAAAGAATCAGTGGCCGAGGCTCACTGATGCACGTGGGGGGCGAAGGCGGGCCCGTGTGGTCCGATCCAGTTCATACTCAGACTACAGTCGATCTACATTATAATCAGTAAATCAATGTAAATATGTCTGACAACAGAGTAGCTCTACTTTAAAACAGTATAAACTGCATGACAGGTTTCCTATAATCTTTATATGGTGCCTCATATTAAACTGTATACGTAGTATTTGCAGAGTGGATTGTCAGCGTGGATCAGCTGTGACAGGACTCTCTTCGTCTCCAGTGTGAGAAACACTTAAGTGCAGTTTCCAACCAACAGCACTTCACAGTTGCGGTTAACCTGCAAAATGTCACTTGGATGCAAAACGGTTACACTACTGCTGCGTTCAAGGTGTGACCTTTTAACGTGTCTGTGCCCAGGGGACCATTGTCTCATGGTCCATTCATGTCTGAGACATTGGTCTGATTTCTACCTTCACCCCAATGAAAACAGACATGAGGAAAGCTTAGTTTGTGGTGCTCACAGCATTAAAAAATATCTTTTAAAACAGCAAATTCTCTTTGCAGAAACAGTGTCCCAATTACTCTGGATAATCCACAGACCTCACTGTGAACAGCTTTTACTGGAACTACTTTCAACCAGAAAAATAGACCTCATGAAAACAGTTGACAGTGTGTTTGGTGGATTATCCGGGGTAACTGGGACACTGTTTCTGAAAAAAAAAAAAAAAAAAAAACAAGAGCATTTTTTCTAAATTGGATAAACCAACACTGGTGCAGTTTTTAACCATCAAATCCATGTATGTGCCCCAATGTTCACCCACTAGCTGTTATATAAGCATGGCCACTATTTCACCTGCAACAAGTTGATGCCAATTCTTCAAAGTAAATGTAGGGAATCACTATCTGAAGCTACTGTAGTCATAGGGAATGTAAGTCAATTATAAAGTCAATAAACCATTTCATCACAAAAGAAGTGGTGTAAAACCATAAATAGATATCCAGGCGTTCGGCGCTGTCAAGAGTCTTTTCAGCATAAAAAATACAAAATCTATTTCTAAGTGGAAAAGCTTTCTGTGGTTATGACCATTAAGGCACTATTTAATGCTGAGATAAACTCTAATAGAGTCTTTTAGAGGCTGCCGACTTTACTGTGTGAAAAATACATCCGTTCACACCTCAAAACAGTCAATTTCATTCTTTGAGTAATTCTCTGAATAATAACACTTCAACAGTCTGTGGACGTTAACAGAGACTTTGAGCTGGAGGCTTTAACACTGGATTGAGCTGAGAAGTTGCAGAGCCCTCCTAGGATAATGCTCTGTCACGGTCAATACTGTGAGCCTGATGACCTGTGTGTGTGTGTGTGTGTGTGTGTGTGTGTGTGTGTGTGTGTGTGTGTGTGTGTGTTGCAGTAAGTGTGGGAAATGAAAATAGGTAAACGGAAAGACTTCTATTTCCCATCCATTTCTAATTTCACGCTTTCTCTTTGTTAAAAGACGAGATAAATACGGTGGGTGTTACTTTCTTTTCCCCTTTCAAATATGGTCACACACACACACAGACACACACACACACACACACACACACACACACACACACACACACACACACACACACACACACACACACACACGCCTACCTGAGTGTTTCAGTCCATTTGAGCTCCAGCTCCAGAGCCATCTTGTCCATCTTGTGTTTCTCTTCTTCTTTGGTGGTGATGAGTTTGGCTTCATGCTGCCGCTTTTGGGTCTCCAACTCTCCCTGTGAGACAGACAGACAGACAGTCAGTCAAACTCAGAGGAACAGACAGACAGACAGACAGTCAGTCAAACTCAGAGGAACAGACAGACAGACAGACATTTTTGTGTGAGTTTGTGTAGCGTGAAAAAAGGTTACCAGGTTTTTGGAGTGACATTGCTAACGGCGAGCACGAAATGTTGGCTGTGAGCAATGTTAATCCAAAAACAGTGCTGACATGGAAGATTAATTGAGGAGTTCATACAAAGAAAATAGACAGGATACATTGTGACACAGTGTTCGGTTTGTCCTTCTGGGCTACTGTAGAAACACGGTGGTTTAACATGGCGGACTCCATGAACAGGACCCACTCCCTCTGTGGATAAAAGCAGCTCATTCTAAGGTAACAAACAATAATGATTGTTATTTGCAGCTGATTAAACACTAATGAGAACAAACCTATGAATATTATATTCAGATCCTCCTAAATTGAACAGAATGGACTTTTAAATTAAGCGATAATGACAATAATCATTATTTGCCACCGAGCTTTATTGTGTAAAGAAAAGATTACATTGTGGATGGTGAAGTCCAGTCACTGTGTACGTATATGTGCGCTCTTGTTTTTCTATCTTTAGACCAATTTGAGTGTTAGACCTTGACAATGAGGACATTCTTGGGCAGTGAGAACATTTCGTCCGCTCCTCACTTTTCCAAAGGATTGTTTGAAAGTTAAAACCTGTTTTTTGGGTGTAGGTTGGAAATATATTTAGATTAGGGTTAAGTTAAGGTTTGAGGTTATGTTGTGGGGATGGTTAAGGTCAGTTATGGAATTCATTATATCAATGATATAACCTGCAGTGCAGTCAGCAGGTTGCTGGTCTCTCTCAGTCGGGCCCTGGTAGCGTCCAGCTCCTCCAGCAGTTTGTCCTGCGCCTCCTTTAGTGTGGAGATCTGTCCCTCAGCTGTCCCGATGTCCTGCTCCCCCTGCTGCACCTCCTGCTGCAGCCGAGTCACCTGCGGGGAGGACAGACAGATACACAGACGGTTAGACAGAGAGAGCTAGACAGAGAGAGCTAGACAGAGAGACCAAACCATTTTCACAACCTCTACTCGGTTGCACTTGAGGCTGTATCTCAGTGTGGCAGCAACCTAGAAACTACATCAGCATTTTATGCTCAGCGAGGTGGAATTTCCATCAAAAATGCATTCAATAACCATTTCTGTTTCTGATTTTTAAATGAGCCAGGCCCATACACTTTTTTTTTTTTTTGCCAACGTGGCAACATAGTTTGGCAATGCATCAGATATTAATTTACCTCAATGTTAAAAGCACAGTGCAACTTAGAAAATGTGTGCATGGGGTGCACAAACAACAACAACAAACACAGTGAGGCAGTGGGTTCACTCACAGGGAACTGATTTCAAAGAAAAATGAAAACAGACCTTTGTTAGAAGAAGAATGGAGTAACACACCAGAAATAAATGTATTTGGACTACAATCTCAGGCTCATACACTCACATTAGGTTTTAAACTACACAGAAAAAAAAGTCTGAATACTTCAAATTATGTAAAAAAAAAAAAACACCAATATTATTAATGAATGAAAAGCTGATATCTCCAGAGGCTTCACAACTTCACTTTGTGGTGACAGAAGTCTTTGCACTCCATTGACTGAAGCACAAACACTTTTATTCTAACTCACGTTAAATAATTTCTTGTATCTCACTCTAAAAGACGTGAGCTGTTCAGGCACACTCAGTGTCAGGTTCAAAGATAATAAGAGACTTTGAGCTGACGCTTTAAAAGGATGAGTTATCAATAATATAATTAGAAAGTCCTTCAAAACATTTGGGATGTTATATAACTTTAACATTTAGGTTTGTACAGTTTATTTTCCACATAGGTCATTTTAATGTGTCCTTTAAGAAGAATGGGAGCTGCACATTTAGAAATGTCCCGCATCTTTCTTTTTAGCTGGAAATATGACTTTACTTCATCTTTCAAATGGTAAACACTATTTAACATTCAAGTCACACACATTATTAAGGAGCCAAGGTTTCAGACTCCAGTTTCTGTAACTTTTGGAGGTGACATCACCGGCAAGAAGTTTTAAGATTAGTAAGTAAGACATTTATCACAAACAACACAAACAAAATGACTGCTTTACAAAACAACCTCGCCCTTTAGTAGCTGTTGCTGCCAACATGGACTAGAAGTTCTCAGTGTTTTCTAAAAATGACAACAAAGCAAACTCAATCTCCCGAAGAAGATCATTTGATGTGATCGAAAGCTCCACAACAGTTGGGGCGGTCATTCCAGTTTCTAAGGTAGAAAGTATAAAGTTTGAACCTTAAAAACTAGCAGTTTTGTTGGTTTCAATGCCTGCAATGGATGTCTAGTTAGTAAAACTATATACTATATATATATTTCTTAATGCACACTGTATTTAATAAGGAAGCAACCAAAGACAGTTGAAATGGTTTTAAACATACAATTGTTTGCAACTTACACGTTATCCAGAGCTTTCACTGATCTGACGTCACAACACAATAAGTCAGGTATAAATGTACAGTTCAACAGGTCCCACCTCCTCATTGGCCGCAGTGAGTTTGGAGGTCAGCTCGTCTCTCAGCTCGTCCAGCTGCTGCCTGAGGAGCGTCTTCTGCTCCTCCAGCGAGAGGCGCTCTCTCTCAAACTGCTGCTCCAGCTCCTGTGGAAACCAGTCAGAAACACAAATCTGTCAAAAGAAGTGAGCGGTAAGAGCCAAAGAGCATCAACAAGGAAGTGAAAATCCTGTGTGCGTAGCTCAGAGTTCACATGGAGGAAAAACAGTTTCCTGACTAGTAAAGCTGTGCACCTTTTATTGGAAGTAGTATTAGTATTCATGGTCTTTTACATTTATAAAGCTTCTCAGTCATCCAGGTAATAGGACATCTGAAAGAGTCAAAGGCAGTTGGATTTATTCATAATTCTGATTTAATACTGTCAAGACCACTTTCTTTTAACTTCCTACATTTTAAAGAACAACTGTGACTTTATGAAGCACTTTCACATTATTATTGTGTTAAACAAGTCATACAGTATAATATGTAATATATAATACATGTTTTTCTTGAATTCTGTTCAACCCAAAGTCTTGCAAACCAAAGTTAATGAAGTCTAAAAGTCTACAGCCACACTAGCAGCTCTGTGAGGATATTTTGCCGATATTTACCATGTCCATCATCTTAGTTCAGTGTGTTTGCATGCTACCAGCTGGGAATGTCATTAATTCTGCAGATATTTGGGAAAAAGTATTGGATAAATAAACATTTTGACTTGATGATGGTACTAAATGAATCAGGGAACAACAAAGTGATTCATTTTCAGATGAATGTCATATCCATACAATAGCTGTTGAGGTATTTCAGTCTGGACCAACTGACACACAGACATGTCACTTAAAACAAGACGTGGATGCGTTGGAGGATCAGGCTGGGCTTCATGATGCAGAAGACGCACTGAAAAAGATCTATTTGAAGACAGAGACTGATAATGGACACCTAGCGTGGTGGTGATGGTGGTAACACTCGTATCATTCAGTCATGTACAGTACTTCCTCAGTCGTGGTTGATCTTGCTCCTCATTGTTTGACATTACATTCACTGCATTCATCTGTGCAAATTTCTAAAAATACTTCAAACTATTGCATTGTCCTTGCCAGAGAAGAGAGAAAGAGCTCGAGCATTGTTACCACAATAAAGCGTATTATGCCTGCTGATGAATGAGGAACGATTTCTGTTATAGTGCGCAATGATTGCTGCTTTCCAAGGACAATTAGAGCTGAGGGAAATTGCAGTGATGTCAAATGAAATTCACCACCATTATTCATTACACAGGAGGATGGGGTTTGTAAAAAAACATTCAATGCATTGACTACTGTGACAGAACTCCATAGAAATGAATGGAGCGTCGCAGAAATTCATCTGAATGGAAGAAAGAGTGAAAAATCACAGTAATTCATGTGTAATGCTTCATGACACCTTGTATTTCACAAGACGCTTACCGGGGGTCACGGGGTGGAGAAAGTTTCTCTGCTGGCAGGATAATAACTGTGAGAACTGTTCCTTACTGACACAAATATGCATCTGTAAAACAGTTTGGTATAATTTGGTACGTAGAGTCACAGATTGGTATGTTTTAGCCTGTTATTGAAATTGTTCCCTTCCAAATGATGCAGAGTTGGCAAAATATCCTCACATGTAAGTCTGTAGGTCCACTCCTGTTCCCCCTGCTTGCAATAAATTAAGCACTATAATGCTATTCTAAAAAAGCCAAGAACGGGGCCAGTACCTGCCCACCCCTAGGCCATGGTGAAACCCCCATGCTTCATCAAGATAGCTCTGATGTACTGTTGCCGGAAGCCTTCTCGTCCCACAGGTCCCACACACAGGCTTCCTTGAACTGCTCCTCGCTTGTGAATCCACTCAGAATAACGAACTTCAAACACTCTACTGTTCTGTGGATAATTACCAACTCAGTGCTTTGTTTTACCTGCTGTGCTAACTTTTGTGCTAGTGGAGGTGTAATCCCTGCAGTCCTTAATTTTATATAAAAGCAACTTCTGCTACTTAAAGCTGCATTAATCGAGGCTTTTGACCCTTGGGGCAGCAAAACAAACTGACATATTATTAACTTCATTTGATCTGATCTTGTTAGAAAGATTTCCTACCAGTGTTCATCACAAGTTCTCAACTATAGTTGTGTAGAATATGGAGACCCTGACACTGAGTAATAATAGATCTTTTACATAAATGCATTGCAGTGCACCAACCCAGAAATCCCAACCACGAAATATAATCAAGATATGAATGAAGGAATATGTCATATTTTTCTCAATATGTTAACTTTTGGAAAAGTAAGGTGACTTCCACCAGTGTGATGATGATCAAGGACGTGATATTAGGAATATTCTTTCCATCGGTCGATCCAGAAACAGACAGATGAGGAGGAATCATAATACGACACATCAGGATTCCTGTCATACCTTGCCGCTCGATATAGGGGGCGAGACCGAGGTACTGCAGACCTATTCATTTAAATTCCAAACTGGGCCTTCTCACAGACAACTCTCATTATAATTTAAAGTGATGACAGAACGGAGGTGATGAAAGAAAAGATGATTAACTAGACGTGATTAAACTCGGATCAGACAAACGCATCAAGTGATGAGGAACAGAGGGACCAAGAGGTATTTCTTCTCATCTTTCTGCCCTCTGATTTTTGCAGAAAATACATAAAACCGGAGCAGCAGTGAGCGAATGAATGCGAAGTGAATGAATGCTTCTTCTCAGTCCGGACATTTCTGCACCAACGCTGGCAGCATGATCACGAACAGGAGTGAACAAAGGCGAATTATTGTGCATACCAGAGTACAGTGGGAGGGAATATGAGAGCATGAAAATCACACAGGGCCGAAGAGGAGGAAGCCTGCATATGTAATGCATATCTAATAACTACGGAAATGCATAACACTCTTCTCTTAATGTGGCTGTCAGCTCTGATCGGGTCTACTGTGGAATATCATTTAAAACACGTCCTCATTATGCAACTTTGATGCAAGAGAATACTTGATCACTTGCTTTCACATGGCTGTGTGTGACTGGAATAAAGGACTCTGTGGAGATTAGGCATCATCACAGGGCTATTTCAGGCTGGTGGAGCTGTATGCCTCGGCTGCAGTCAAATTAGTGGTAGGCTGTGGTTTGGAACAGCTAGACCTCAGGCTCATTAAACAAGTCCCAGTGCCCGGTTTGTAATCCTAAGGGGCAATTTCACTGTTGCATATCAGATACAGGAAGACGTCACAATGATGGAATTTGGCTTATTCCTATTATTTGAACACCAAGCACAAGAGGCAGCTTATTTGTAGTCATTTATTTGAGGAGCAGATTGGTGCAGGGCCCTAAAATGAAACCCTACTTGTTCAGAAGGTAAAGTCACCTGTGTCCTTAGCCCTGCCTCTTTTTGCTCTGTGCTCCAATAACAGTTGAGTAATCCTCGGACAGCAAAAAGGGGCGGGACTTATGAAGGGTCAATTGAAGATCATCAGTTCAAGACCCACCTGTTTAGATTAGTTTAGATTAGATTAGTAAAAAATATATTTATTTTCATTCTGAGGTGATTCTGTGATGTTCTGCACTTAAAAACTGTTCCATATATATACATAAATATAAATATATTTATTGCAGGTGAAGAGTAAAATGTAAAATGGACTGCATTTATATAGCGCTTTACTAACTGAACAGACAAAGGGCACCAACTCACACACCACTGGCAGCGGAGCAGGACACTTCCAGGACTTCCATATGTGGACAGAAGGAGCCGGGGATCAAACTGCGATTAATGGACGACCCGCCCTAACTCCTGAACCACAGCTGCCCATTACTACTACTGCAATATCTCATATCTATGTATTATTAAAGACTATACTTGTACCTACCTGAGCATACATATTCTATGTAAATTCGGTTCTTTTGTTGAACACCTCTCCACAATGTGCCGACATTACAAATGAGGTTGCGTTATTTGAACATATATTTCCATGTAAAAGAGTTTCTATTCTGGTATTTCATTCCAGAGGTGGCCTCGTGCATTTTCAGGACTAGTCCCTTTAGGAAATATGGGATTTCTAGGTTGTCTGGTTTATGTTGAAGATCACAGGAATAATAATAACTTGAATCAGCTGTTTTCTTTGAAGTACCTTCAAGAGAAATTCACATGTGCTTATAAACCATAAACCGCTTTTGCTGAACTCACTCCAGCTGAGGAAGAGAGGATAAACCTCTCTGGTTCAAACACAGAAAACTCTCATGTTCTTCCCAAGAGCTAAAAAAGGTAATGGAGTAAAAATATATACCATAGAATATGCAGTAGACAAGCGCCGTAAAAGCGCCATCTAAAAAGTGGGTGTATGCTGTATGTATGAGCTTAAGCCCTGTTAGGACCGCCACACTCTGTGCTAAGTAAGTAGCTGTGAAATATTTATGCTGGAAGTTTTAGAAACACACACACACACACACACACACACACACACACACACACACACACACACACACACACGTAGTGGTTGGCTGCCAGAGTCACATCCCTCAGCCAACATTCACATCCATCTCTTTCACCATCACATCATTTTGCCCTAATTTTGATTACTTTTCTCACTTTATACTCTCCACTTGCGGTTTTATGTGCAGTAAATGTCACCAGCGCACAAGCAGGACAACGATGAATTTAAATCGAAGGGTCCTGCACCCATTTAAATGTCAAAACTCCACACCTTTTTAAAACCTTAATTTCCTGATTTATGTAATATAATTAGTCACATAGTAATCCTGCCTTTACTTACTGAAAAATATATAAAATATGTGAAGTAAAAAGTGTTCTGAAACAAGAAAAACAGCTAAATTTCTGCACACATCTTTCTCAATTTCTAATATCTGAAACACATTCTTTCACCATGAATTTCCTCACTTCCTCACATGTGTGGGTAGCGTGTTAATCACATTTGTATTTCATTGTTTCCTGCACAAAGCCACGCTAAAGCAGCTGTGTGTGAACCGGAGGAGTAGCAGTTTAAGGATCACCCCAGAAATAGCACCGCGGAGCGTCAACACACTCTTATCACCTGTGTGACTCACCAGGCTGGCAGGATGCATATAGTGTCCACATGTGGCTCCCATCAGCTGCCACGTCTCCCAACTTTGTTTTCATTGAGAATTTATTTTTATTTGCTTCTTTTGTAACTCTCTTTTATAACATTATATCACTCCTCCGGGTTACTCACATTTACCCCAGGTTACGTGAGCTCAGAGGTGTCCTAGATGACATTTATAAGTGATAAATATAAATGCGCCCCCACGTCAGTAGGCTGCATTTCCTCCTTTGAGTTTGCCAGCTTCTTAGTCACTGCTGTAAGCCCTTTTCATGTGTTTTATTCAAAGGTGCACTCCTTTACTCAAGTAGAAGTACAGATGTTTTTGTAAAAGTAGAAGGACCTGAATGGCTTTTCTCCTATTGATATGATATCAGAGCATATGTGATTACAATCATCAAAATAAAAATGATCTTCATCTTCAGACCTTGCACACCATCTGGATCTTGTTTCTTTGTCACCTGCTGTGCTGCTAAAGTGGGTCCAACTGCTACCAGCATTAACTTCACTGACTCATTTCTGTCCCGCAGTGAAGAGCTGATCAGTATTTGTAACAGCAACAGATTGTGGGTTTTAGATATTGTTGCTGTTTTTGCACTTAAGGTAGAAGAGATTTATTGAATGTCCTGCTGTTGTTTTAATAAACACTCAGAAACTGAACAAGAAATGTAAGATAGCTGGATAAAGTGGGAATGCAAATAAACTACAAAATAAGTTCAGCTTATCTTTGTTCTATATGATGTCTTCTATAAAAATGGTCCTTTTAAGTGTAATAGATTGTGTCAGTCCGGTCATTAAATCCAAGCACTCCCTAAAAATCTGTAATGTTTCTGTACTAAAGAAAGCTGAAACCATCAGTCTCAGGGTGGACACCCTAACTTTGTCTTGAACCTGTCTCTCGTCCTTGTTTAGTAGAAATAAACTTAGAGTTCCCATTTTAAGAGCAGTTCAGCCTCAGTTAAAGACGCCCCAATGACTCCGCTCAGCTTTATGTTTACAGCAAAAAAAGAGACATTATGAGTTGTTTACTGTCCCACATCTAGTCTGTTTTCTACAAAATTCTTGCTACGCAAATATGGGAAAATACTATCAAATGGTTTTTTTTTAAACAAATCATTCATTTTATTGTTTAATACTTTGGTGCTCAAGGTTGCTGTAAAATTATGGAGAATGTAACCATTATAATGATGTGTAGCATGTTCAAAAAAATGTACGACGAGAGAGAAACATCAGTGTTAGTCCTCAGTTTCTTTGAATAGCAACTTTTACAGAAAAAGTAATCTGAGGTGTTTCAAAATGAAGAATAATATCAGGACGTCAGCTTGTATTTCAAGTAAAAATTAATTTCATTCCCCCTGTTCAAATTCATATCCTTGAATAGTTTTATATCAAGACAGAAAAGCTCCTGGAAGAATACTTAAACCTGTGTGAGACACTACTTATTTACAGTAAGCAAGGCAAAGGGAGCTCATAGCTTCTTGAAAGCTGTGGTAACAGATGGTACAGTCAGTGAACAATGTGACAATGAGTTAGCTTGGAGGTTAGAGAGGCTGCCTTGTGACCAGTTGTCCATTGAAATCCCTCAACCAGCTCACAGAGTGTTTGTGAGGAGGTAAATAAATGCTGCTATCTAAACTACTTAATGAGCGACCACAACAAACAGTAGAGGACTGTGGTTACACTTCAACTTAAACTGACTGAGGTAATAAACTTAAGCATTAAAGATATTTGAGTAGAATTAACTCAAGTAATTATTGTTAAGATAAGATGTACCTTTATTGATCCCCCATAGAAGAAATTCAGACACAGCAGCAGAATTTATCGGAATAAAGTAACTTAAATGCAACTTCTTTATACAAATGTTACCACCGAGTTGAATTTAGTCTAATATCTAATTTAACCTTCCACTACAGCAAATTATTGCATTACCTGTCAAAACATCTGATGTATGATTAAAAAACAATTTATAATTGATTGATTATCAAATATGTGTGGCTAACAACAAATCTTTACTTGGATGTATATTTGTTTATATGATGATTAATAAACTGAAATCCTGTCATATGAAGTCAACTTGAAGAAAATTAGTCAATGGAACAAACTGGAATTATGTCGCCTGTATTTAAAATACTTAACAAATTTAATTGCATTTAAAACAACTGAGTTGCTTTAATAATTCATTTTTGAGTTGGGTTTAATTCATGTGAATTATTTCATGTTAACTTAATTTTTGTTAAGTAGATGTGTTTTACAGTGTACCTCCATACAAACACAATGTAACTGTGGTCAGTGGGACGGTGTTGATCAGACTAAAACATATGCACACACCACTTTCATAGTCACCACTCAGTCATTAACAAATACTGTTTAAAATCAACAGACTGAAGTGGTGTGACAGGTCCAAATATTTGGCTCGCATAAGATACAGACGAGACAGACTCAGTGCAGACAGCTTGTATTCTGACTGAGTCATTCCTAAATATCATACTGTTCAATTTTATATTTGTTAATAATATCAGCTGGTCTTAGCAACCTGCAGATTTGTAGTGGGTGAGTGGTGGATTCTGGGCAACAGGAATAGTGGAAATTGTAAAACAATATAAGTGTTTATTAATGAGTCACTACTTGTATCCCTACAGTAGTGAAACAAGTATCTAGGTCTTTGCTATTGAGCTGCACTACTGAATATTTTAATATTTACAACGGATCAAATGACTACACTTAATGTGAAAGGAGTTGTTGTGTTGATGAACCCTCACAGAATTAACATGCAACTCTGCTGTTACTCTCATTGCTATGCAGTGTTTTAGCTTTACAGTCTGCAACTTTACTGCTTTCGTTCAGTCTCACTGCTTTCATCAACCTTGTTTTCAAGTTCTGATGGACCCACTGTACACTACCTGGTCAGCACCAAATGGCAGACAGCCAAAGTAGTAGTAATAGATGAAGTATTTAGCAACTAAAGAGTCACATTTAGTAAGTTTAATATTGGGTTTATATTTGCCAAATCTCCCAAAACACAACTTGAAATGAATGTTTTCATTGTTTGCTGAATGTATACAGTCAACTAATAGCTTACACGTTCCCAAGAACAACTATATAAGGTGCTAATATGTCAAAGTTAAGATCAGTAACAACACAATACTAATACAAAAGTACCAATAAGACTAATTACTCTTTTACTTGAGTAATTTCCTTAAATGTGGAGGAACTGCCAATAAAATATACATATTAAGAAAAGAGATGCTGAGAATTTTGCAGCTGGTTGAGGTGAAGCTAACAGTAGCTAGTTTATACATTGTTGGTTAGTTAAATCTACACCAAGACATCATGTTGGATAAGCTGATCACATGATTTGATGCAATAAGTGACTCCAACAATGTAGTGCGAAATACTAAAATACTAATACTTAAAAATCAGAGGTCCGCAAAAATCTAATGACTTGAGACTTGATGTGACAAAATGTAAAAAAAAATTGCAAGTCGACTTGCACATTAACAACAATGACTTGTGACTTCAATTGGCTTTGTCTTGTTATTTAAAAAGTCTGTCGCGAATAAGTTCATTTCCTAAAACAACTAAACCCTATTCATTCCAGGTAAGTCAACACTTAATTCCCCAGACCCACTTTGTTTGAACCAATCTGACAGCATCCAATCAAAGTGCAGGACTCACGTTATGTTACTGAGCACCAGTTGGATTAGATAATATATATATCTAAGTATCTATATATTTATTATATATATATATATTTCTTCAAACTCAAAGGACTTGAGAATTGAGTAGAAAGACTTGAAACTTACTTGTGTCTTGCAAAACAATGACTTGGTCCCACCTCTGGGAAAAATATAAAGTTGCACACTAACATTGTACTAAATGTACTTTGTTACTTCCTGTACGTGCACTCCATAAAGAGAGTGATACAAGCTCACCAAGGACACCATCTTGTGATGAGCCCCGAGCTTGATGATGCAGGATCAATTAAAACATACAGCTGTTCATTTTCCTCCAGCGTTGAGCAATAAACGCTGATTACATGAGATGCAGCGATATGAAAATTGATCTCATGGACTTTCATTCATTGTGCCCGGCGAACTCACCATCTGATGCACCCTCTGTCAGACATATTGCCATCTATATACTTCCATGGATTCTTTTGTTTTGTTTTCTGTCTTTTGTGTGAGTGAAGTAGGGTTTATAATCAGCTTCCATCACATTAGAGATGAATAATAGATTATTGTGATATAGGATTATCCATGAAGGACTAGCTTCAGCTCTGTTTGTTGGCCTCACCTTGGAGTCCATCAAAAGATGTTTGCGTGTGCGTACTCACAGCCAGCAGGCGGTTCTTGTCCTTTTCAGCGTTGTTGAGAGCGTTCTCCAGGGTCACTCTGTGTTTCTTGCCGACTTCCTCCAGAGCTCGAGCCTGGCTCTCCTTCATCTGGCTGGCCTCATCTTCAGATCGAGCTCGCACATTGCTCATCTCCTTCTCGTGGGATGCCTTCTCCTCGAGCAGGGTCTGGCGAAAACAGAGGATAAATATGCATGTGCACACACATTTAAAATATGCTCAAAGGTGAGAGATATGATAGACGACACACACTGAAACAAACAAACGCACACACTTACAGAGCTCTGGTTCACATTCACACCATATGCTGTATTATTCAGCCATATTGCCAGTGTTTACTAAGTTACAGCCAAGGAATCAATCCTGCATTCTGTCTGTCTGTATCTGAAATTTCCTATTTGGATCTATTTCTGTTTCCATTTTTTTATATTTTATAGCAGACTCCATGTGGCATTATTGGTAATGGAGTAACTGATTATGGAGCTATAAAGCATATAAATCAGTCGGCAACATATACCCACCATCATTCTGAATCTACATGGAGTCATGACTCAAGCTGGTGTTTGTCAGACGTTGTCTTTATCATCAGGAGTGACAGATGCAGTAAATTGGCCTTTTGCTGAGTCAAGCTGATAATGGCGGCACTTTAAATTCTTTATTATTCTTTAAACAAACTGCCAGCAGATTTTATCAGCTGTAGCTATCTGGGTAATTAACGTTAACTCTGTGAATTGGTTGAAAACACTGTCCCCACCAGACTCTTTACTGTTTTTAGTCGAGCTGTGTATTGGCAAGACTCTGGCGATACGATAAGTTCAAGGCCTGTTGCACCTACAGGTGCATGCTTAGTGATTTGCAAGTGATGTGTATAAGTAAGATGAGTGGCAGTTGAATCAGAAGAGAGCTGCCTCATAGATTTGAAACTGAGGGAATGATAAAGGAACGTGGTAATATACAGGAATGGATAACAGCCAAAAGATGTATCTTAGAGGGCGTATAGAAGACAGAATGAAGTCCTTCTGATTTAAGTTGTTTCTATGCTCCATATATTGTGAAACAAACAGACAGGCAAGAACAAATGTCCTCTGTATGAAGCAACAGTGCACTGAGTTTGTCATTGGAAGTCTGGTACAGTATGAATCAATGCTAAGGTCGCAGAAAACAGTGCTTTTCCTGGTAAACAAAAAAAATCTGAGGGCCATTTACTTTGAGTTTAATCAGGGGAGCAGCTGTTTCTTGATTGCATGAGTTTAACAAAAAATTTAATTAGCCAAACTTTGCCAAAAAAGCCACATGGGAACAGTAATATCCTTCAATTGAGCTGGATTTAGACACAGTAAAAGAGCCCTAAAGTAAGCCAAGAAATGAATGAAATGAACATTTTAACAGGAAATGTTCTCACAAAGATTATCTGACAAGATGAGGTTTTGAAATCAGTTGTTGATATACTTCTTTTCTCAGTTCCTTTTTTTGGTGCAGGAAGATGCAACTCTTTGCTTCGAGGCAGTTCAGATTGTTCAGGTTTCTGCAACACCACTAGAGGCACATAGATAATGGATAAATGGATGAGCTATGGATGTCCTGATACAGTTCTTTGGCCCCGTTCTGAGTCCTTCATTTTGTAGAGTCCAATCTGATACTTAGTTAAATGTTCATTCAATATGTATCTGACATATTGAAATAACATATGTAGTTTTCTAAAGTTGGCATTGGTTATTTTTATACTCCTAGTCCTAGTTCAAAACTATGAAGTTGATAAGCTTAGATTATTGATATGATATGAAAGAAAGTTTAACTGGAAAATATGAGACTCCTGTCTCTCTGTTTGAGTTGTGTGACAGTACAGAGTGATCTTTTACTCAGCCTCATAAACCGTCTTTGTCTGCGTACAGACACCAGCCTCCAGCACTTTAACCAGACAACAGCAAAGTTTTGTTTTGGTCTTTTATCAACTTACTCACAGAATTATCATTAATTAGCAACAGCTGAAAGCAACGTCCCTGGGCATTATCTTGACCTGCGAAAGCGACAGTCAGCGCTGGCAAAAAAATGAGAAGCAGCTAGCTGAATAATTTGTACACTGATCTTTGCTTATAAGAAAGAGAGAGGAGAGATAACACATTTGTTACAGTGGGTGCTTATTAAATTCTGCCAAACCAGGTGTCAACAGAGTCAATCAACGGTGCAACTTAATCATTTTCCACATTCACACAGTCTAATTATGTCCCTCATATATAGAGAAATGCTGCACTGTAGAGCAGTGGTTCTCATACTAAGGTCCAGGGACCCCCAGGGCAGTGCATGGTAAACACAGGTATACAGAGTACTTATTTTTCTGTTGGCACTGGTGATACCCACTTCTAAATCCCTTGTGAGGCGCACATTCAGTAGTGTTCTGTAAACTCAATTTTGGATGGTGAAGGCATGACATAGTTGTGGATGGAGTAAAGAATAAAGAATACTATACTCAAAATAATTATGCAGTTGTCTCAACCGTCTGTGGGCCAGTATTGATTGTTTTTGACTAATGTTAATTTCATAATTTTATATTCTTTAAAGTCAAGCAGGAGAAGAATGAACAAATAATATTGGCCCATTTTAGGGTGAATTAAATAAAAAGTAAGTGAACCTACTTTTTCAGGCACAACTACAACATTGCTCAATGGGTCCTTGAGGGAGTACCTGAGGGTCCCCAGACCATTGACTAGAAGTTATAAGTTTCATAATCTTCAGTGTTAATCTGCCAGCACCGCATAACTATATATTATCAGACAGGGATTCCCAAGACTACATTTAATCAAATATGGATCCACAGCCTGATGTGTATCAATCTGTGGGTACTTGACACCAAGATGGTTGAGAACTGACAATGAGGATAGTAGCGTTGCAACACCAGCAGACTAAGGTGGACAAAACACAGCACAGAGGAAGAAAGGATGGGATTTTGGCTTTATTTTAGCAGATACCGATCCATAAAAATATGATTGGACATCTCTACCAAATGTACTAATTTTGAAATAAATGTCTTGTAAGGTCTAGTGAATCTGGTATGTCAAACGCCTCCTTTTATCGATTGCTAAACTCAAACAGATGCTGCAAATCTCCACAACTGCGTCCTGAAATGGCACATTAACAATTGCCATATAAACAGTGTTCCATCATTGCCATTGCAATAGAAAAGATGACACTACAGCCTGTCCTAAATCGTGCAAAAATTACATTCTGTTTAGCCTTTACCAGTCATTTAATACTAGTGAGTATCTGGCAGTCTGTGGGATATATCAGACATTGGCAACAACATGGAAAAAAAACCCCTTTAATTTTCCACCAGGGATGCAATCATACTGGTGTGCACTAATTGCTCCAAACCAACGGCTGTTTTGGAAATCTACCAAGAAACGTCCATCAAACCGGTCAAACTGAGCAAGACTGCTGTGTTATCATATGGCCAAACAAGCCGGAGGAAGAAAACATCTCCACAGCGTGACATGAACGACAGGGCAGGAGAACATCCTGGGAGGCTAATTTCTCCTTTTGCTGAGAGAAAACAAGGAAAAAAAGTCTCTAAAGAAAATAAAAGATAAATGAGGAAAAGACAGTGGTAATAGAAAAGAAGACCAAGCCTCCCATTAATTAAATGACTTTTCCACAACGTTTTATAATTAAGTTAGACCATGGACATTATCTGAAATGTTCTTTCTCATCCAGTTGCTTATATTCAAAAACAATTAATCCAAAAATCACTACTTGGAAAATTCCATCTTCTACCAAAAAAATGAATGCTATTAAAAGATGACCTTTTTTTTTTTGGCATTTAGTGGTGTAGTTGCAGATTGCAACCCCCTCACCTCATGCGTTTACTGTGATTAATCCATTTCAAGCACAAGTCAGTTGAGAACTGATGTTATTAAAGAAAGGACCAGCTAAGTTTATGTGGTGCAAGATCTTATATTATCCCGAGGAAGACATTTAAATTCACAGCAGCATTGCTCAGTGGGAGAACTCTCCCCACACCCACAGGATTACACTGCACAAATGTCAGAGATAAAGGGATGGGAAAACACACATGAAGCAGCAACACTTGACATTTACCATCAGCTGCGGTTGGTCTGCTGACTACACTGTTCCTTAAATCATCTGACCTTTAAGCTTCTTGGTTTTTAAAAAGTGGAGCAGCTCACAAAGTTTGTTAATGCAGTGATCGACAGGTTTGACCCTTCTAACAGTTCGATGATTATGGGCCAATTTCTGCTTACTTTTGCTCATAAAGCATTTTAAACTTTGTTGCATACATAAGGTTTATCTTCTTCCTAATCTGTAGGAACTATTCTGCAACTTGCACATAATTACTGTTAGTAACTATTGAAGGTTAAGAAAGGTAAATAAATACAGGAAAATAGAAAAGGTTTCACACTCTTTTTCTATTTTCCTGTATTTATTTTGTGTACAGCTATAGGCTCATGCCCTAACAGTTTGTGTTCTCTATAAAGGAGTTCCTGTGATTTATCTTCCTCAGATATATAATTCAAGTCAAATAGTCTTTTTATATCTATAAAGACTGGCCTTGGGAAAAACATCAACCTCAAAAGAGTATACAGGGAGATGACTGTCTCTGTAAAGTCACAGAAATGTCAGTGTTGCAAATCTAAAATAAAAAATAAATACCAAATAGAATTGAAGAAAGAAACCAGTTTAACTATCATCTTATTTTAGGGCAAATAAGTATTATAATTGCTTTATAGTCCCACCAAACTGTCTTTTACTTTTGGGTTTTTCTCTCCAAAAGGGCTGAATTTGGGGGAAGAGTTTGGGACAAATGGGCCTGATCGTATAGAAAGAGCTTCAATAAGGTCACAGGGGAAAGACAGAGAATATAAACACATAAGAAATCTCATCTTCTGTAAATTATTATACTCAAAAATGCAATGAGAAAGAATAAACATGGAGAAAGGAAGCAAGAAGACCGAATTTAATACATTCTGTGGTCTCTTAAACTTCTAAAATCCTAAAATGCATGCTAATCACTTGCTTTGAGTTTTCTTGGTGGTATAAATTGACAGGTTTTGTATGCAAGGACATATTCTCCAGAATATGTGCACAGAATCTTTTACTAACTGTATTTGAAGGATGAAAAAACAGGTCTGGAGCAAAGTTTCCCAACAGCTTGACTCACAGCATCTTGATGGCCTATTGGTTATTCATAACAGTGTTATTCCGGTCTGAAGTGAATACAAATCACACCACCAAGAGACACACACTCACCTTCTCCAGGGACTGGAGCTGTTGTTTCTGTCTTTCGTCCAGGGCCTGGCACTGCCTCTGCAGAGACTCCCTCTCTTCTTCCATCCTCAGCACTTTGTCCTTCAGCCGGCTCCGCTCGTTGTCCAGGTCCCTGATGGCTGCTTCCTGGGTCATCTGGGTGGCCTGCAGGCTGCTTATCTGACCTATGACAGGACAGAGCCGACAGACGTGAGATGAATGCAAGTAGTAAAGTGATGTCATCTGCATATTGTCATTCTTGGAGGTTTTTTTGTTGAGGCAACACATAAAGTAAACTGTCAGCAAATGTTTTACCTTTTAGTCCTAGACTTTCAGTGAACTTTGTCATCGCAGTAAATGTGCTGAATTACCATTTGGTTTAACCTCATTCACTCCGCCTGACATTGTGTTCATGTTAGCCAGTTTCTTGTTTTGGAAGCAGAAATATATATATTTTTTTGTTTTAATCTAACCAATCAGTGGTGATGTATCAATCCAGAAACATGGCAGTTAATCATGGCGGACTCCATGGAAGGTGACCAGCGGCATCTGTAGATAGTCTAAGATGAAGAAGGCTCATTCTATGGTAATGAAAACATGATTATACACTAATGAAAACCTACCTATGAATATTATATTCCATTTCTACCAATAGATCCTCATGAATATTAAACCCTGGACTTTTAAGAGTTGATATTTCCAACAAAAGATCGGATTGGTCAACTCTGACGGATGCAAAAAAGAATTAAACCGTAAATGCAACAGAAGCCAAGACCGTCCCTGTTTAATATACTCGGTCACCAACACAAACAGCTTAGTAACACTGAGGTAAGCATAGGTCATTTTACCTTAAAGGGTAATTGCAGTTTATTACAACTTGGATCTTTTTTTTTATTTGGGCCAATTTGATTTGTTTCAATCAATTCTTGTGCTCACCAAGTTAAAATCTGAAGAAGCCTGATGGGGCCATAGACACAAGCAATGAGACAGTCATACAGGTTTTAAAGAAGCGCCTAGGTTAGTCCAATTTGCAAGATGTTATTACCCAAACTGTTTGTCTGTAAACATCCACCACAGTTTAGAGAACAACTTCCAGGCCTTGATCTACTGTTCTTTCTTTTTACTTCAGACAGTTTTTCACTTTAAGTCGGTTTAGCTAATCTGACTGAACTGTTGGTTTGTTTACCACCAGCACTTCCAAACCAACCAACCAACTAAAGGACCAAAAACAACCATTGATCCTTTTACAGTTTAAATAAATGAGGAGCTATGAGCTGCATTATGTGGTAAATGTGACTCTTATAGTTGCATTTACCAGCTGGATCTTATTTGTTTCTCTCACATGCAAGCAGCTCCAGTGGAAACTGATAAAACGTCCTCATTGGGCACGAGGAGCTCATAGGAGCTAATGGGCCGAGCATAATTCTGCACCAAGTTGCTGCTATCGTTCACACATTTCAGACAGTAATGATCATGCAATGTTGTTTCACAAAGTACTGACGGAGAGACTTCACAAGATATTACATCAGATTCTAACATGCAAGAATTTACCCAGCATGAGTGCATGCACACACACACACTGTAAACTGGGAATAATTGATGTGAGAAGGGTTTCCTCTGCTTCTGGGGGATTGTGAATAACATTAGCTTGGATATACAGCGTTATGCCATTTACGTGACACAGGACATGATGCCTCAGACAAGATGAGAGGATCTGTTAGTGGATATGTTTGATGTGTTTGCACGACAAGCCAGGGTAGGGTTTTGTGGGTAGGGTGGGTGCAAGTATTCCCAAGCATTACAAGTACATATGAGAAAAGAGAAAAGATGAAGTTGAGGGTCTTACTGGCTTTGAGCAGTATTTCAGTTGCTTGCTGCTGAACTCGGTCTCTGGCTGCCTCTAGTTCACACTCAGCTTCCTTCTGACGGATCTCCACAATTTCTGAGTTCTGGGTCACCTCGTCCAGCTGTTTGTTTAAGTCCTGAAAGGAAAAAACCTGGTTAACACATACAGTAACAGCCATCAGTAACATTACCTAGAAGAGAACAAAGTAACTGAAAACCAGACCAAAGTTTAAGTGACTCTTGCACTTGATTGATATATCCCCTGTCAATCAGCAATTAAAACTCTCCTGGTCCTCACGAAAGGGGTCACTTGTATGAACCTACAGAGAATAATCACTCATGTTTAGCTGTCTGTCTTGCTTGACTCTCACAGCATCGCTTTGTGTTTCAAGAAGCAGCTGTTTTTGATGAAAAAGCTCTAAAGACACAACCTGCTCAGCACCAAATGGCAAACAGACACAGTTACCGACTATCTGGTGAACACAGCAGAGCCTTTTGCCTGTAAAGAGCCAGAAATATCCCTCAGGAGTTGGTTAAACCAAAAACAAAGCTTAAAGAGATTAAATATTAGACTTACATCTGCCAAGTGGCCAGAAACACGGCTGTAAAGGAAAAATAATGCTGCTCTGTAGCTGTTGGATGTGCAAATAAGCAACTGCTTGCTAACAAGCTTGCTTAAAAGGTCATGATATGTCAAAGTTAAAGTGGGAAAAAGCGTTTACTAAATAATTGCATGAGTTATTCATATCTATTTAGTTGTGATGCATTTTACAAATTACTATATTCATATTTTAGGTTTTATGTTTGACTCCTTTGAATTTAGAAGTTAGTGATGTTTGACTGGAGTAAAAGTAAATGTTTTCACATATGTATCTGTTATTTATTGGTTATTAGGCTACTGAAGGTTCTGTGAGTTTCACACAACACAACCTCACAGATTTCACTAATTAGTTTAATTACTGCTACTACTGTAATGAGCTATCCTATTTGACACCTGCAGACCTCTGATAAATGCTTTTTTCATTCTAAAAAAAAGTGCAATACATCCATATTTGAAGCAACTGAGAAACAGACTGTGACAGAAAATGTTATGAATATAAGCACAGGCTCTGAGAAGTGCAAATGAAGATATAGAGCTACTGGGGAGAAGGAAACAGCCACATGCTCTTCACTGATAAATCTATCTTTAAATAAGTTTAAAAAACAACTAAGTAAATAAGTTGTAGCTGTGCCAACAGTGAGGGTTTTTTTTAGACATATTGGACTGTACATATTGGTAGCATATTACTAATACTGAAGATCAAGAATGTAAATACTGACTGCTGCTCAATTAATAAGAAGTAGACCTCAGGGAGGGATCTGATGTGCGCGCACACACACACACACACACACACACACACACACACACACACACACACACACACACACACATACACACAGTAGAGTAGCTGTGTGATTTAGCACTCTGTAAGAACTCATGAGAGGCAATTTCACATCTTTCAATCCCATCAAACAGCCTGCCTCAAACTTAATTACTGCTGCTACGCCTAAGACAAAGAAACCTCAGTATGATAATAACCAGTGAGGAGTCACACACAAATTAGATGTGATGTATGTGTGTGTGTGTGTGTGTGTGTGTGTGTGTGTGTGTGTGTGTGTGTGTGTATGTGTGCTAATTTCCCAGATGAGCCCATTGCAGGTAGCTGCACTTTGTGACAGCACAGTTTAGATAATACATATATAAAAACTATGTGTGTGTCTCGTACATCTGTTTGAGGGCCAATTTGTGTTTTAAACCTTACAGAAAGGTTAAAGGTTACAGTTTTTCTGGAAAGTGAGGACATTTTGTCTTCAAAGCACTTTTTGAGGGTTAAGACTTGATTTTAGAGTTAAAGTTAAAACTAGGTTAGGGTCAGGGTTATGGTCATGTCGTTATGATGGTAAAGGTTAAAATTATGTCAGCGAGGGTCCTAACAAGTGCCACACATAAACATATCTGATCTTGTTTTTCTGTGTATGTGAGGACCAGTCTGAGCTTTAGATCTTAAGAGGGATGACAATTATGAAAAGTGGGGACTATTTTGTCTGCTCCTTATTTCTTCACAGGGCTGTTTGAGGGTTAAGATCTGGGGTAAAAAATGGTCACCTACACTATTGTGATGGTTAAAGTTAGGATCATGTCCTGAGCATCGTTACTAGTACAGTTTATGAGAGTGTGGGTGTATGTGTGTTACTGTATTTTATGTGAGGACCAATTTGAGGGACCAAAATTGAGTTTTAATTTTAACTTTTGGTGAGGGTGTTTTGAGAAAGTGGACATATTTTGTTCAACTCCCACTTCTTCAAAAGGCTGTTAAAGGGAAAGTCTGGCATTATTCTAATAAAATTGTTCTTATTAAAGATGTAATTCTGTAAAAACAGGTCACAAATATGTACTTTAATTTCTTTAAAAAGCATCACTCATGGGCACTTCAGTTTTTAGTACACATTACTTACACAGGAATAAAACTATTTAGCAGCTTGGGAACATTGTCTCATTGGGGGTCCCTACAACTACAGTATACAAACTTGTGTGTGTGTATGAGGCTGGAGGAGGGGTCAGAATAGGTCAATAGTTTAATTAATTGTATCTCTGGTCATTTATCTGGGCTATAAGAGCAATCCCATTGTTACAGACACTTAGTCTACCTCATAAAATACACACACACACACACACAAACACACACACACACACACACACACACACACAAACACACAGACTCACTTCTGTCAATCATCCTTATTGGACATGGCTGAAACCTGCATTGTCATTTAAATAATAAAAGGCCTTGAAAACTGGATGATTTATTTTATCTTGCTAAAAGCTTCCACCAACCAGTCCAGATACACTTTACCTGAGAGTGAAGTATTTAGTCCAAATACAGTGACAGCAGCAATTTAACATAGCTTCAGTGGAATGTTTCACTTGGGGGATAATTTGTAATTTCTGGCATGCATATTCCTACAGAAGCTTGTGAACAAGTCAGCCATTAATTACGTCTGTCTCAGTTACTCCAAGCGATCATTTGCTTGGCTTTCTTTGGAGATTTTCCCACTAAATCATAAGCTAAAGGAGGATGGCAGAAAAGCAAGAAGCTGTAGCATCCTGACACAAGTGCTTTCGGCTTGTGTTAAGTCGATATTTGATGCTACTATTTTCTACCCATGTGGTGTGCCGGTACAGTAATTACGCCTTCCTGAGACTGGGGAACATTTTGATTTGGTGCAACATTTTAATTTAGTCTAAAAATGTCACCCTGCTTCGGCGAAATGCTACCGTATGGAGACTAAACGATTACTAACTATAGGCAAGAGGAATAATGAGATATGAGATGTGTATTGTCATGATCGAACCAAAGATTAAAACATCTGCTGTGAGCTTGTTAAGGTTAAATTAAAATCTATTATCTCTCAACAATGAACTCTCTGCGGGAGCTGAAGGATTAAGGGATGTGCTCATAGACTGAGGCTGTTATTAAGAGATTATTGTGATATTACCTTAGCAACAATAGAACACATCAGCTTTGAACTGTATGAAAGACTAAAAAAAGACAGTTTCTGCCCTCTTATATCTGTTTTTTTTTTTATATATATATATATTTTATCAAATGAGAGAATCTAGAAGAGCTGTCAAGTGAATCTGGTTTCAAGCTCTGTGGCTCTGTTGTTGGCTCTTTATCTGGGTTACAGTTAATTGCTCTGATAACTAATGAATTTATTAACTCCAGGCACACCAGCCACTGCTGACCTTGATCATATTCGCAGTACCACTGAGAAGGGGGCGACTCTCTCCTGTCTTGTGTGCAATCAGTGATAATTTCACACAAACTTCAGAGCATATCGTAGCAACAAAACAGACCTACTTAACCAATTCCCCTGGAGCACATGTCAACTATATTTTCAACGGTGGAGATAATCGAGCAAGCGTACTCCAAAGACCTAACAGAATTCAGAAAGTAGACGTTCAAACTAGTCTACTTGGAATATGAGCACAGCATTGCCATTTTTGCCTAACACAAAGTGCACACGTTACTGAGAGAGTAAGGCAGGAAATGGTACCACACTTAAATGGCTGATGAATTTGTCTAAAAGAGATACTAAACGACAGCCAAACATTTGGTAAAATGACCATCATTTAGATTCAGTATGCGGGTGGGTTATGGTGAACACTGTTTTGAAGAATAGAGTTCACATGTAAAAAGTTCCAATGATTTGATCAAACAATCATTTGATCGTCATCTGGTTTATTTCTGAAATGCAGCTTCTCCTTAAAGGTTCCCTGTGGAGTTTCTTGTAAACAAACAAATGTTCCAGTATGTTTACAATTAGTATTTCTTACCAAAATACATTGTGTGTATCCATGAGGTCTAAGAAACAAGTTGAAAACACTTCGCCCTCATAAAACATTTGCAAACCTATTTTTTTAATATTTAATTCCTTTGTTTACATCCATGTTTTACTGTGTTCCTCCTCACTGCCTTTACTGGTGCAATGTTACGTTTCTTTGCATGTTTTTCAGCGATAGAGTGAAAACTACTAGTAGTTGTCAAAAACTGCTCAGGGAACCTTGACGTTATCCAGGGGATGGAGTTAGAACATAGAGTAGAAACATACTTACATAATGTAAGTACCAGATTTTATATATCCATTTATCATCTGTCACAGAGGGCATATTTTGTGGTCTGTCCATAAAAACTGCATCAGAATCATATATTTTGTTCAATCAAATTACAGGACTGTCTTTATAGTCCTGACTCCACTGTTCGGGGGTTCACACTCACCTTGACGTTGGTCTCGGCGACGGCAAGTGACGCCTGAAGCTTGTGGGACTTCTCCCGGTTTTCACGAGCTTCATCCGTCACCCTGGCCAACTCGGCCCTCAGTTTTCCGAGGGTCTTCTGGAGTGCCGCCTCCTGAGTCTGAAATTCCCGCCGCAGCTCGGCCTCGGTGCGTTTCCATGCCAACAGGTTGTCAGCGGTCAGCTGCTGAGTTCTCTTCATGGCCTCCAGCTCGCGCTCATAAAAGGCCTGAGCCTGGGGACACACAGACAGACTGCGGCATCTATCACTTGATCCGAACAGATTGATGGGGATATAAAAACATACAGCAGCAAGCCTCTAGCATGGACGGAGCTTTATTTTACTTCTGTAATAACTTTTACTTTTCTCTCCTTTTTCTTTATAAAAATTGCAATTTGAACACATGCTTTGAAAAGCTTTCTCATCAAAATGCAATCTCATGATAAAATAATCAACGCAAGTAAAAGTTGAAGCCAAATTGACTTGGCTGACAGTGTCCTTTGTCAATGAGGCTGTTTTTTTTATAGAAAGTAATAGCTTCTAAATGCAGTATCTAAATTCTGCCTTTCTGCTTTCAATGTACACAAAACTGCAGATCAGCAAGGTCGACATAATAGCCCCAATAAATGTAATTTCCCTTATTTTTTAACCATTAAGTATCCAGGAATGTTCAGCAGAGCCTATATTACAATATGTTGTGCTATTTAAATTATATTATAGTTCAGATTTTTTCATTCAATAAAAGCTTTTTTAGGGTTTAAGATGGATTCAAATTCAGGAAACAGGAACATGATGTGAACCTCGAGGTTTAGAAGAAAGAAGAAAGATATTTAAAAATGAATTCTCACCTGAATATATTAGAAAATAATTTTGCATAAATACGTTCACATTGGCTGAAGAACATCATCTGATACTGTACAGGACTGACAGACCATCATGCATGCACTACGTTGTTCAGACGACTGCATTCATGTAATTTGTGGCTGATACTCCACCCCAGAAGTTGTCAGAACACCAGGGTTGTGTGAACAGTAGTGAATGCCTTCTACAGTGGCTGCGGTACGGTACCTTGCTGAGTTTGGCCTCGTACTCCTCCACAAGTCTCTTCTTGTCCTGTTTGAGCTCCTCCACCCGCTCCGTCAGAGAATCCACCTGTAACACATCAGCACAACATGAGAAGGACAGCTTACGTTTGGAGGGATCAAAAATAACAGAAGGCTGGAGTAGAAACACTTTCGTATCAGAGTTTCCTCACACCCCTTTGGTTTGATGGCAGGGACGTTACTTATAGAAACAGTTTACCCTGCAGTGCTCTAGAGTTGATGTAGCAGGTTAACTGAATGGCTTATACAGTCAACAGTTAATGGCGTAATAAACACAGCTGTCCCACTTTCTCCCTGTAGTGATTAAGTTTGTTGCTTTGGCTTTCTGCTGCTCTACTTTTGCAGAAGTTAGTGTGTTACCTCGGCTTTATGGAGCTGTCCCAGTTTCTCCTGGTCTTTACTGTAGTTTGCGTTCTGGCTCTGGTGGCTGCGGAGGAGCTCCTGGATCTCTTGTCTGTGCTGGGCCTTTAGCTCCTCCAGAGCAGCCCTCTTCTCCTGCTCGAACTGGGTCTGGGCCTGGCTGAACGTACGCAGCTTCTCCTCAAAGGACCGTCGCATCTCCTCCACCTCCCTCGACATGGAGACCACGCGCTGCGTGTGCTGCCAAGGAACACAGGAACGAAAGACTGAGCCGACAGGAGGATAGATTTATGGGTTTGTAGGCTTCACACACCATGGGTAAACTTTTTAAAAAGCCCTAAACCAGCTGGTGATGTACTGGCTCGGGGGAATTTGACCTTTTGGCTGCCAACCTGCCTGCTCTAAATTAGCACTGAAAACCAGCAAACAGAAGTCCACCATCTGAACAGTAAGCACGCTATGAGTCCAAATATAACAAGAGAAACATCATATAGCATTGATGTAGCATTCTGTTAACATGAGGTTGCCTTAATTAACCAGGTACACATGATTCTGATAATCAATAACCAAAGACTTAAAGGATGGTCTCTAAATTTGCTCATTAAGTAGGGCAAGATTCACGGCTTTCATTTAATTTGGCTGCACAGTCTGAAATTAGTGTTTAATTTACTTAGACAACAGATAATTAAACAATCAGAGACTCACACTAACTACTAGGTGCATTTTGTACCTGAACACAAGCTCAAAAGGTTCCACCGAGCTCCAAACCAGCTCTGGAATCTGGTATTCAGTGCTTTCTTTCTTATGTCAAGGTCTTATGATAACACTACAAACACGCCTCTGCATGAGTCTAAAGTCCACACCAAGAACATCTATAACAATAACTGTTAATGTATCTTTTTAAAAATGCTTCTAACTCAACTGGATGGCGATGGAGTCCACACCACAACCTGAACGCCAAAAACATTGGCAAAGAATATTGTTGGGATCACTTTCAGAGCGATCGGATGAACGAATTGTGATATAAAACCTAATAAAAGCGTGTATAACATAATTTCAGGCTGCAAATCACATAAAAAACCTAGAACTACTGCCAAACAGTCTTTAGTGTTGATGGCTTCTCTGAAGTCCTCTCTCTTTACCAGAGCCTGGATAAAATGTGTCTTCAAAAGATGACAACTCTTATATCAGAGTGTTAGGGTCTCCAAGCTCCTCTCGTCGGTGAACCCGTATTCTTCCTTGTGCTTCCCTGTGCAACGTACAGCAGTAACAGCTCATCAGTAACTTTATCCTTTGTTCCTAATAATCTGGAGCTGGGGAGGGCGTGTTATCATTCATCAGTATGGATGCTCACATCGTTATTGTTCTTGGTGTCGACAGCCCTTTTCATGTTCTTTCTTAAATCATCCATTCAGTCATTTTTCCATCACTTCCCTTCTACCTCAACACAAAGCTGCACATCCTCTATCCTCTGTATACAAATCCATAAAATAATGTCATCCATCCATCTATCCAGTCTGTTAACTACTGTTATCGATCTGCAACAGTGTTTGCTGTCTTCCAAAAGGTCATACACGCCAGCTGACTTATACTGTTAAGTTCAAACATGGTACTCCTCTCCCACTGTGTTCAGTTATACAATACCGTGCAATGTATATGTAATCAAACTAAATCATTATCTATAGCAGACTTAAAGGTAGTGCAAGTGATATTATTCTTGTTGAAATAAGTGTTAAATAGCTCTATATTCCAACATTAACTTCAGTCAATAATATTGCTCTCCCACTCCCTCCTTTCTGTAGTAAACAGAATACATTTTCTTGTATCCCGATCCCACTTTATTCAACCAGGACAGAGAACTCTACAAAGAGGCATCCTGTTCTACCACTTTAATGGACACGTACCAATCAGTGTTTTCCTTGAACTTGGTATAATAAACTAAATATACAACACAGAACTGGTGAAGAATCTAGTTTACACTTTTTGGGCAGACTGGATAGCTTACAGACTTCAAAGAGTGTAAATGCATCCCGGAAGCATTGGTGGCATAAGAAATAACGAGTGAAAATGGCACCTGAAGGAGTCCTGATCTTACTACTACTACTACACAGCAAATCAAACGTCCACACAAAACACACAGCGGGTGATGCTGACGGACAAGGGAGACTCTCCAGCCTCACAACGGGGGACAAAAACAGACATTAGTACTGATTACCTGCAGCTGTGACTGCAGCATCACGCTGGGCTCAGCTGCCTCTTACCACGCACACGCACACACACACACACACACACACACACACACATCCTTCCTCTGTCTACCTGAGCCTCGGTGCAAAGCTGCATGTCCTCCACCCTCTGACGGTAGCTCTCGAACTCGGCCAGTGCTTGTCTCTTCATCCTCTCGTGCAGCTCCATGGACTCCTCCAGAGACTGGATCCGCCTCTTCAGGTCCATCTCATCGCTGATCTTGCTCTTGTACTGTAGCAAAGAATGAAGGGCTCAGTCAGGCATATTCTCCAAATTTGTTCATTTAATAATAGAAGGTATTTGGAAATGTTCCACCTAAAACACACATCCTCGTGGGATACTTGTGCCAAATGCAGCATTTTGTGAGAAAATAACAGAAAATGTTCAGTGCTGCAAAGTGAAAACATCCATAAAAACTCCACCAAATGCTACAGTAACAAAGAGGACAGAAAATATACATTATAAGTATAAATATTATAAATAATAGTAAGTATTTTGGGGACAGTAAATAAATGGATTTCAGCTTTAATTAAAATTGCAGTTTTGAATCGGTTGGCTGACGTCAAACACTTTAGATTTGGCCTTGATTTAGCTCATTATGATCCTCAAATGAAACTGAAAATTAAAAGATTAAATTGGCACATTGAGTTCAGCTCAGTTCATTATATTTCAACAGTAAACCTTCCCTCTGGATGTAAATGTCTCTCTATATATGTTTAGTTCAAGGTTAGTCACATTGCGGTCAGTTAGACAAGTCATTCTCATAAGGAGTGATGATTTATGGAGTTAAATAATAAATATTCAGTTGATTAAAGATTGATGAGTGCTATTTGAACGTGATCTCAGCTCTCTGGTTCTGCAGCGGATCAGTTTAGTGTAGAGCAGCTATACAAGACTGTATACAGTGACATTGTCTCATCTTGTCTGGCTGACTTGAATGTGACTCTAACTGAACACCATGAGTCCATTGCAGCTGTTTAAATCCTGTCCTAAATCAATACTCGACCTCCACTTGCACTCATGCCAAAGAGAACAAAGCCTCGCTGCACTAATTAATCTATTTAACCAGAAAGTTATTTATAACCCATGAGTTGTCAGTCAAAGGCAATACTGTAATATGCATTTACTTATTCCTTCCGGGAAGCAGCGATTGATTACATTACTTATTTAAATGAATGATCACTTAACACCCACAAAACAGCTTTCTCTCTTCACTTCAAATATCTGCAAATATCTTACATCTAAATGTTCTGGACACCAAACAGTGAACAAGTGGTTCCCAACCTTTTTCCTTAAGGGACATATTTTAGGGATATTTCATATTATTATTCAATGCATGACAGTACAGCATAACTAATAAACTGTACAATGAACACAAATAATGAACACAACTACAGGAAGTTCTGGAGGAATTTTGAACAGATTATTTCCTGTGAGCCTCACAGAAGAGTTTTCCTGATATTTTTAGGACAGTTTATAAAATGTTCTCTCTGTATTATGTATTTTCTTTTTTAAAATTCAGTTCTTTATTCTCTCTGAAACCTTGCCATTGCTCCATTAGCTTTTTGGTTGTGTTTTGGTAATATTTTTTAATTATCCCTAAATAGAGGATCACTGTAATATAGTTTATACATATATAAATATACAGTAATTTACTAAAAAACTATTACTAGTATTGTACAGTTACAAAAATAAAATAACAAACTGCAGTTTTATTTCTAGTAATACACTGTAACTCTAAAATACAGTAAATTACTGTAAATTTACAATGATAAGGTTTACAGGTATCTCTTATCCTGCGATGTTTTAAAACTTTATATCTTAAGTAATAATCCATCACTTCAAAAATAACAATTTCATTTAGTTTTAGAATCCAATCAGGTGTAATGCATATTTCTTTTTTAAAGGTTTTTGTTATAAACCTTAAAATCAAGAAGGCATTGCGTCCTCTGTGAAGCTTTGTTGTGTCCTGAACTGTAAGTGACATTTCTCATCAGAGTAGGACAGATAATATAACTCAGAGAGCATTAACTTCTTTTAAAAGTCAGACGTCAGTGTCTTAATGATAAAAGAGTAGAGCGTATAAACCTGTAGTATCTTCTCTCGGGTCTCAGACAGAATCTGCTGCACCTCCTCTTCATGGGCCTCCTTCAGAGTGGCGATGGCCGCCTCGTGTTCGTCGTTTTTCGTGTTCAGTGCATAGATAACCTGCAGCAGAGAGGAACGAAACCCATTAACTCTCAGACATGTTCATAATCAGGAGTTATTACAGCATTAAAACTGGCGGGAGACCAGCTGCACCTCTCAGAGCTCGGGTTCATCCAATATGTTAGGACTGCAGTGGACACTACGGATGAAACAGCAGAACATCACAGCGTGTGGGTGAAACAAGGAAACATGAAGATATTGATGTTTTTAGAATGGAGCCGCCAACGTGCAATGCATTTACATTTCTTCTTCGTAGGATAGAAAGGCTTCTCATACAGCATTTATACTATCTAATGTTTCACTGAAAACCATTATAATGAATTCACTGTGCTTGGTACTGTACTTAAAGTATGGTTTATAATACGCCAAAAATACTACAAAGCTATTTAATTATTTGGCTACGTCCGTGCAAAGATGTATATAATCACACAGTTATTAGCCAGTGACATTTTCTTTTGTTTTATTCAATGTGTTTTTATTTGTTTTTTGACCAAATGAAGGAAATACAATAAAATAAAATTTAAAACATTTGAAATGTCTGAGGTGTCCGTCTTTTCTACCTGATCCAGAAAAGGTTGCTAAGTGGTGTAAAAGCCGAGGGAACAACATCTTGAAAAAAAAAAATTTTAGATGGGCAACTAAGATCTCTATCCATCGATTGGATTAGTCTTTTTCAACCAGTACATTAAGTTTCATTCTAGGAGCAAAGGCTATCATGTTTTTGTTACATTGGTTGAGTAATGCAATTGTAGCATGAGGTTCAATGGATATTTGTAGCACAGAAACAAAAATGTAATACAAATTGCAAAAATCTGTTAATTTTGGGCAAAGACGTGACACTGATGTGTTGTTCCACAGCCCATGTTTTTTAGAAAACATATAAAAAATTTTTTTTATTATTTTTAAAAAAAAAAAAAAAAAAAAAAAAAATTACAGCCGTATTATAATGTTTGTAATGCTGTGATATACAGCTGCATACAGTGCACACAGTGCATGTTCCCAGTATTAGCTCAGAAGCATCAGTGGTGCCCCACAGTTATGAATTAGAAATCGGTCGATGCCTTGTATAGCTGGGGATAAAAATAACACAAGCAAACTGTTGTGCATGAGATTGACCTTTAAATCCATCCCAAAAATACATGCAGCCATCCAGAGAGCCATAATCTGACAGCACAGTGATCCCCTGCTCACAGGCAGCAGAGAGAGAGGGAGAGAGGGAGAGAGGGAGAGAGAGGGAGAGAGTGGGGACAGAAATGGGTTTTACATTTCCACATGAAAAACCATGAGACTCTCTTCCCCGTGCGTCTCTCCCTGCCGTGAGGAACCAAAGCTATGTGTTGCCTATTTGAAAAACCAAGTCAATAATTCAGCACATTGAACTGTGTGATGGCGCTAAAGAGCCTTTGTTTACTTTGGACCAGAGTCCGTCAACAGAATTAGAAAAGAGGAGAGTGGAGAAAAGAGGGAGAGAAGAAAAGGAGGGCGAGAGCTCTCTTTGAAACAATGACATCCACTTTTTATGCCTCGCCGTGCCTCGCTGGGAGATGAAAGGATTTAGTTTGACAAGCAGTGGTGTTTTTCAAATTCCTACTTGTTTATTCCCCCCACACACTCACTCTGTTTCTGCTGACAGCCACAGAGCTTCGCTCAATAAGAGAAACTAATACACATTATAATCAAGAGGTACTCAGCCATGGGAGTTATTCCCTCATTTGATTTTACTGACCTTTTAATGTGAATATGTCCATCCCTTATTTCCCCTGTATGCTGCATATTAATGCAGTCCACCTAAGTGTTAGTGAGTTTAACTGCAACTGCAACTACACAACTAGAGAACTTGTCTTTGAATTCAAGTCTAAAATCTTATATTTTTATACTTATATTCCTGTTTGCAACTGTTCTTCTATCTAATGTATGTAAATGTATCCAAAGCATCACAAATGTCGACCTCATGTGGCGCTCGAGGAATCACCAAAATCACTGGGATTCATGTCCACTACATATACTGTCAATGGGTGGACCATAAGACCACACAGTAGCTCATAATTCTGAGGGACTATGATACTGAAGGAGTGAATTTACACATGCTAAAATGACATGTTTGTTCCAGAGCGTTTTGCAATCTGTACTTCAATTTGGACCTCTACTTTCTCATGTTCACACGCAAGGAATCAGTGAAATGTCCAAGATCAGAGACAAACTGCGAGGAGCCAAATAAAAGCTGTGAAAAATTCAGTTTGCTCCAAAATAAAACGTCTCTTCCTCCACACGTCTAAATTATTCAGTCGGCTCAGCCTCTCATCAGCTTAGGAAGTGAATGGAGCAGACGTAAGAGTTAGAGGAGCTAAAATCTCCATCATGTCCCGAGAGTCATCAGCACACTTCTCCAGATGAAAAGCACTAATCATAATGCTGTGGGGTCTGCCGACACACACACACACACACACACACACACACAACAACAAAATAACAAACACATATATGCACACACGTACTGAGTAAACACCATGAATCAATGCGCCGGTGTCCAAACTCATCAGCGTAAATTGCCTGACAAATGGTCTGTGTGTGTGTGTGTGTGTGTGTGTGTGTGTGTGTGTGTGTGTGTGTGTTTGTGTGTCGTCAAGCACAAGGAAAATGGCAGTCGCTGCCTGTGAGATGAAGGCTGCCAGTATTGTCATCATTGTCATCATCAGCAACGTTGCCGAAAGCAGATATTATTCTAAAAGGGGGCTGCAGATATCAGCCGATACAGTATGTCGGGGAAAAATCTGATTTTAATCTTATTGATGAAATGAACACTAGCAAATAAACAATGGTTTTAAAGCTAAAGAACCAAATTCAGATTAAACTTTAATACAATATATAGCATAACACTACCCACCATCAGGGCTTTCAGGGATTTGTGTGTAATACAATACACACAATTTAGGAGACTTTCTTACCCTGAACTGATCCTCTCAGGCAGCGTTCCCTCCCAGACTCTGCTCTTGTTAAGGCAGTACAAAGCCTTAAAGGGAGCGCTGCCTTAAGGCGGACTTATGATTCTCTGTCGAGGTGTTGTGTGGTTACCTCCTAGGTACACGCAGAGTTCAGTTCACGAACTGTCACAACACTAGACGTCTGTGTCATGCAGCATTGTACATGTACATCCTGAAGCAAATGTGTTAACATTCACTCATTCACTTTTTGATAGAGAGCAACAAACCACAAAGGGAAAAGGTTTCATTTTCTGGAGCTTAAATGTGTTCGTTATTACTGAAAATGTCTCTTCTCTTCACTGTCAACCCAATCAGTTCTGGGCCGAGCTGACCAATTAAAGCTGCAGTTGCTTCCTGTGTGGGTCTGATGTGTAACTGTGCGTTATTTGTGTGGCAGGACGCTGCAACAATGGAAGCATCACAATAGTAAAACAACACCTTCACGGAGGAGCATTCTGCCTTAAAGCTGCACTTTTTTTTGGCCACCTGGGGGCAGCAGAACAAGCTGTAAACACCACAGTGACATATTATCTTGTGACCAACTTCTAATATTCACTCTGTTCTGGTCTCCACCAACTCCTGAGGGAAATATCTGGCTCTTAAGCTGCTAAATGCTCCACTGTGTTCACCAGCTGGTTGCTAACTTTGTCTGCTGTTCAGTGGTTTTATCAGAGCTGCCTGCTGAGACTGGAATAAAGGTTTTAGAGAGACTGACCCAAACAGTAAAGCTGTGAGCCGTAAAAACCAAAACAATGAAATCATTTGATCAATTCCCTTAATAGAAAATACTGGTTAGGGCATCTTTAAGCTCAATTCAGAGCAAAAACGTTGCTTGAATCTGAAAAAATGCCTCCTATGAACAAAACGTTTTTGTATATTGACATTTATATCAATCTTTAAGTCCTACATATAGTTTATATTATTTTTTAGACTGACATAGATATCGATTTAAGAGGGAATTACCAATATGGCGGCCGATATAATTCTGCACCGGTATAACTATGGTACTAGGGTACTCAGAAGGCTGCTTTCTAAAACAAATATATTTATTAAAGAATATTTAGGTTAAATATTTAACATATACATTCTAGTTGAAATTGCTGAGAGCTGCTTCTTCTCTCTTACTCAGTGCTGCGCTCCACAGTATTATAAATCACAGCGGACTCTGCTGGGTACAGTTTGCGGTGACACCAATATATTACCACCGATATGTCTGCAATAAGCCAATATAATATTGGCCAGCCGATACACCAGTCAGGCTTTAACTCGGGAGAAATTTTAGTGTCAGTGTCTAAGGTGTGAGAAAAAAACATGAAGAGAGAAAGTGTGAGCGAGTGTGTCTGGTAGCAGTGATCCTCTCTCATCTCCTCGGGTCGATCGGTTCATGTCCTTGGAGGAGTTTGCATAAATGACAGCGATACCAGGCGGATCGATAAGGTGACAGCGAAATGCCACACATTTCATCTGTCAGCTGGGAGAAAGTCACAGCTGAGAAACTCACAGAGACTTTCACCAGGCGAGCTACAGCTGAGTCCCTGCTAGCTGCTCCATGAAATATGACTCCGCTGTCAAACACTGTAAAAGCTGGGAAATTATGGCTTTTTTTTTTTTTTTTTTTTTTATCAATCTGCTCACTTTTACTTAAACTTTTCAACCTCTGTTGTACTTTCTCTGCCTCTCCTTATACAAACAGACTATATAACCTTCAGAGGAATATTCCAGAGATGTAAACTTATGTTCTTATTTCTCTTGTGCTTTCTTTGACCCTCTTTCCACCTTCATTGTTTGGATGCAGTACTTGTTAGTAAGGAAGACTGTCAGATTGTGAATATTCTGCATTGTGCTCTTGACATTAGCTTGTGGAACCCCCCCCAAAAAAAAACAGACAGCAGGTTCAATAAACAAACTGTACCTGATGTCAAAATACAACAAAGAAATGTTAATGCCTACGAATATATTAACCAACACAGACAGCTACATTATTTACATAGAAATGGAAGTCAAACTGGGAGATAAACT